TTTTTATCTAGGAATCGAAAAAGCTATTTCATCCTGTTAGAGACCCACATAATAACACTGTATCATTGTGTAGTGTATGCTACTTGTGTCTGCAGATATAAGTAGTACGTTCCACCAACCGGAAGTGGAATGTCCACGAGTAGAAAGTTGAGAAGTTTGAAATGAAGAGAATAGATAAGGGAAATGAAAACAATCAAGATAAAAACAGGAATAAAAGAACAATGAAGCTTGTAAAAGAAATTTGAGAGTTGATCTGTAAATGATGTTTATAATATATGATTTTCGAATGTCACTACACCACTGTGTGATTGTGCATTAAGCAGGATTCGTTTCCTCCACCTGAGTGTACGTTCACTGCAATGGTAAGAAATGGTTTCAAGTTACCTCAAAATAAGTGTGAGACAAAGACACCTTCGATGAGTTCAATAACTTTCTGATCAGATGTTAGTTATAAAGGTAAATTAAAAAAAGAAAGCAACCCAGTATTTTTTCATGTTAGATTGCATTCCTATTAGCATTTTTGAAAATCTAAAATCGTAACTAATCCCCTTTTTATTTTCATTTTCAACCTCACCATTTTCACTGGTAATATACAATAAGTATTTTCGCCTTCTACACCCTTTCATCACTTCTAGGACAAATTGTTTTGACGTTTATTATTTTTCTTAGCCTACTGAATTTGCAATTAATATATTTTCGTCCTTAAATGATTATTTGGTAAATCATTTTGACACCTTAATTCGGTTTGTTGGATTTGATAATTCGGTATATTTTTGGCTGTCATTCTATAAGAAATTATGGAAATGACATATATAAATGTGTATTCTTCACTTGATAAGTTCAAAACAAATCCATTCAACTCCATTTCCTCCTCACTTTTTGATACTATATTTGTTTTTATACCTTCTTAACGAAAAACATCACAAAGAATTGCCATTATACGATTGTACATACACATTTATATCCATTTGTTTATGTAAAAGCATAATAAAGGCAGAAGATAAAACAAATAAACATAAATAAACGTCACTTACCTGACTCACTGTATTTTATTTATGATAATAAGAAAGAAATTAGTTCGTTTAAGTCGTCAACGAATTCTTCATTCTCTAATTCTAAAGCTAATTTACATAGTTAATTATAACTTAGTAGATCACGAATATAATCACACACTTATTTAAACTTGAATAAACGAAAAACAGGTATTAAATGATATCTATAGACTGTGAATATGTTACCAACATTGTTTCAGTACCGTTTCATCTATTTCTTTAGAAATAAGCTATTGTGACGTTTTTGAGTATATGAAGAAATATGTATACTAGAAACATCTATTGTCCTGAAAAAGTCTGTTGAAAATGCATATTAAGTGGAACAGTATCGTGTAGAAAGTCTATATTGTATTAAACCGAAGCTCACCTTATACTACTTCTGAAAGTCATGTTTATTGAATTAAATTTAAAAAAACATGATAGCTTTGCTTGAGATCGAAAATATACTACTTATAATAAAGTGTCATTAATCGTAAAAGTAAGTCTTTAGCTACATTTTATACCATTAACATACATAAGACAATCTTTTTAAAATCAAATCCTCAGAATTTGCAACATAATCTAACAGTGATGTGATACTACATTTACAGATTTATAACTATGAAGGCTAAATATGACATTTATTTACGTTTTTTAGGTATTTTGACTTACATATACTCGGTCTCATTAGGATATTTAAATAACAGATAAAATATATTCTTATTTTAAAACACTAGCCTTTCTCATTTCACATTTATTCATCTACTATGATCCAGTCATCATGTTTTGCTAATAAGTGAAGTCGATTTCTTAAAATCAAGTTTTTACTGCACCAATGCATGCATTTGTTTAATAATCTGTGTTTTCATGACGCCTGACAAAGAAACTGAAGAAATTTCGAAGCTTCAAATAAAACTTATTCAAATTACATTGAAGAAGGTTTCTTCTACCATATACAAATAAATCGTGAAGGATGACTTAAATCAATCATTCAAATGAAATCTAAACAACTGTTATTATTAATTCTTCACTTGAGAGTCAGACCAATTAATGTTTGGAATACAACCTTAAAGTATATTGACAGTGTACAGAAAGTTAATATTTGTCATTTGATAAAGCACTTACTGATTCATATTTAAATATTTCCATGCTCCAATCATTTAAACAGCCAGTAATTTTCAGATTAATTCGAATTATTATTGTTCATGTGTAAATTTGCTTTAAACCACATTTGATTGCGTTGGAAGCCTGTAATTGTTCTACTCATAACTTTTAAGTGATTATCTCATCTAGTTCATAAAACTTAATCAGTTGGTGTTTAGATGGATTCCTCGAAAAACTATAGACATTAAGATTTAAAATTAACTTTGTATTAACATTGGTAAAACTTTTAGAATAGCAATATTTTCGAAGAAGACAGCAATAACGAAGTTTGAAAATAACTTTGATCACTGGTAAATGTTAATCGACGAACAATAAAGAAAGGAAAACATGACTTTGTAACTTTGCTTTAGTGCCGATCATCATCCGATCTAGTAGCGACTGTTTTAACTTCAGACCACTGGGTTGGAAATTCATGAACCCTATTAATAACTTCAGCCATTCTGTTATTCGATACAAACAAAATAGAACTCATTCAAATAATTTTATTTTCGACACTCAATTCAGTTGGGTTCCAAATCAACTGATGACATTTGATACAAATTGCATAATATCGCGAATAAACAAAGTTGACAAAAATGAACCCTTAGATTTATAAAGAATTACTCATCTACATCGTGTCTGCAGCAATGTTTGATCCTGATTTATCGTGAAGTCTTCAATGAGAATTCTTGGATAGTTCAATACTACGACAAAACAGCTGTCTAGTGCTTCAAGTATTTACACGTGCATTTAGACGTAAATTCATATATATATGTTTATTTTGAATGAACCGAAATTAGCTGCTAACTGTCGTAGCCACATTACTATCGAAACCTTTTACATCCAGGTCTTGGCTTCCCAGTAGTCCATACTTATGACTTTTAAGTCATGACTCAACCTCTGAAATGCTGCGGTGGAAAACTATTGAAGAGTCATAACTTAGTACACTAGGTCGCTGTAAATCTGTTTCAAAATAATTCTCGGGTTAATATTTTTTATTGATATAGTTTCCATGTAACTTTGTCGTCAAAAGTTATTAATAAATATCTCGATCTATCGTATTTACTTCACACGTTTTAATGAAGGTGAACAAAACTTCATGAACATTGAAAATAATTCTGAAGTGGAGATTTACCTACAGTCCACAGCAAAACATAGTCAATTTGCAGTGAATATTCAAGGAAATCAAGATTTCCTGCAGCATTAACCGAAAAATTTAATCTCGTCTAATGGTAAAAAATAAATTAACTTACAAATCAATAAATACATTGTACTTATAACAACAATCCCTTTAGTCTATCCTTGCCTCATTTCTGATTATGTAAATATCAACAAATTTAACTAAATTTTCATTTAATTATTAAATAACAAACTAGAAAAGTTGAAGTTCACTACTGAAAAAACAAACTCACTAATACAAACAACAATTAATCTCTTCTATATGTTTAGATAATACAGTGAGAAGATAAAGTCTATCAAAATTATATGATATGTAAGAGCATTATATTTCAAAATAATTTGACCATGCATTTACTTGTTCAGACCATTTATGTATACAAAGGTCAACTAAACAAAGTGAAAGACATAAGAAAAACAAACATCATAAAAATGTTTTCATATTTGAAAGCGTGAGTCAATTGAGGCTAAACCACCATGGAAAACCTGGAAGTTATGGACGGCCGTTTCGTCCTATTATGAGACTCCTCAGCAGTGCGCATCCACGACCTCGCCTCGCGAGATTCGAACCCAGGACCTACCAGTCTCGCACCAGAGCACTTAACCGATAGACCACAAAACCCCTTGTGGTAATAAAATGTTTGTATGACTAAAATTTCAACAAATTCAAGTATTCTTTCTGGATAACTTTAATCATCTTTTGTAGTTTTGTATAAAAGATTAATTAGAAAATAATTTTATATTAAACTTTCAGTAGTTAAAGAGAGTAATTCGTTAAATAAAACAAATAATATCAAGTGATATTTACTAATATACTTAAAAGATATTTTCTATGCTTAGTATGGAACCACAATAACATAATAATTGTGTATAATCATATTCTTTTATGTATTTCATAAAGAACGTGATCTAACTCTGCTTAAGAATGAGCCTCATTAAATGTTTTGATGTTAGGAGTTTATTATAACTCAGGGAATATTTTATGGAATGTGTTAAACGTGTGATCCATCGTTCGGCTTGACATTTGTAGATCCAAACTAATAAGGCTAGCGCTCGTAGTCTAAGTATGTGAAAGGACAATACAACCTATCATCAAAACATGGATCGCCTGGTAAATAAACTAGATACTTATATACAATATATTTTGACAAAATAAACATGATTAAGATTCATCCCAAGGGTCAGTGGTTATTAGAAACTAATCTTTTATGTTATTCATGAGTCTAGGAAATTAAATTAAAATTATCAGGTTCTCTTACTGTTGGCCACATTGAAATCCTGAAACATTTTAGGCAAATATAAAGATTAATTTCAGTTGTTAGACCTTTATGGGTAACATCCCAATAATTCGTAGACAGTTGACTAATTTTCAGTATCTACCAAGCATTATTTTCCTATATTCATATTACTGACAAAGTTAATTTGAAAATTTCATTTATGCTTTTATTAATCTCTTCACATAATGTGTCAAAACTTAGTTGCAGTCATATTTTTATGTCAAATTAGTTATTAATTTTCTGAGTGACGTGCATAAATCTAGGCAACTGAGTAGAATATACGAAAGCAGTGTTGATGAACCCATAGTTCAATGAGTTCTTAACAGCGTTTTTTTTCCATCTAATCATCTATCTGATTTTGAACCCCTTTCAGAAATCTACAGTATTCACATTTGATAAAAAAACATTGGATCGAGTCAATAAAAATCGGAGACGGGATTTAATCTTGGAAACATTACGCAATGATTTGATAAATTTAAACAAGCTAAAACATCCACGTTTTGTACAACTAATACATGATATTGAAGAAACTAAGTAAGCAATGTAGAAATTAGTATTATATCAATTTGGTTATAGTTTCATTCCTCTTTGTTTTCAATTTTGGAAATTTAAAAAATTAGCCATAAATTCAAAATATTAAACACCTTCCTATTTATTTAAATTTAATTTGTTTTGTCTAGATTTTCTTTCTTTGTCAAAATAATCATACTCTATGAAATTAACCTAATTACATGTATACATGAAATTTATGTCTAGATAAAACAAATTTTTGTGACTAACCACCATTTCATGCCTTTTTTCATAAAAGTTCTTTCTTCCTTTTTTCATGAATGAATAGGTTTACTTTTCTACAATTTAGAAAACTAAGGTAATTATATTTTTGTAGAGAACAAACTAGATGCGAATTCAAAGTTTTACATTGATGAAAGCCGAGAGTGAAACGGGATAATATGTTTCATAAAGAGACATTTTTTTTGTAACTGGAATTCGTTATCTAATATCATGCTACAAGTGATAACTTTAGTTGCTCAAAATAATGTATGAACAATTAGGTTTCATAGTGATGTGCCCGCAGTGTAACTTTATGTTTATAAACCATACGAATCAAGCAAGAAGAGAAAATTAAGTTATACACAATAATTCTGATACTCAGAACAAATCAGAAACAAAATAACATCAGTAAAATTCACTTGGTGTTGTTTGCTTGTATCTTACCATTAGTGTTTTAGGACTGATTGATAAATCTCTTGTGCGGATTGCTTCGACATTGCCTTAAGTCATAAGCATTCTAATCAAAGATGGATAGTGGCTAGCAGTGGAATCCTTATTTGAGACCCGTCAGCTAAATGGACCAGTGTAACAGTGTCGATATTCAGAATAGTGATTAATTTCCATATTGTTTACAATTTTCCAAAATGAGTTAATTTTAACTGGGTAAAATATAGATTAATCTATAACTTTGTGAGCGAATTCAATTTGCTTGTATTAAAAGTATCAAAAAAGCGTTGCTATCAACATTAATATCTGATTCTCAAGTCATTTGCTTATTCTCTTCAGTATTTAAGCACCTTAAAAATCAAGTATATTAAATACAAATGCACTAAAATATCAGTGATGATTTCTACTTTCATTCTACTTCGTTAGATATCCTCTAAACAAGCTTAAAGTTTGTTAGGAAAATTAAAAACTCTTACACAATACTTATGTACAAGAGAAAAACAAATTTTAAGTTATATTTGACTGGACTACAAGTACCATAAATTTATCAAGAAGTCATAGTATATTTCATCCAGCAAGAATATGCAAAGTTGCTAAAACCATATAAACTAAATAATTCAAATGTTCATTGTACTACATAGAGTACTGAGACACAATATGTTCTCGAATATTTTAAAACGAAGTTTAGACACAAAACAAAAAGTTTATTTAAAGAACATTCACAAATAACTGAGCCGAAAAAATGTTTTAATGACGTACTTTCAGTATTAGTTTACTTAATTCCAGTTTTTAGTGTTCTACACAATGAGGTAGGAATATGTATATCTTTGATAGCTATAAAAAGCACAGGAGCCTTGAAAATCTTGGGTGATTCTCATGCTGATAAGTAACTAAACATTTTATGGATTAACAACTGTAGAAAAACTATTGTTTGCCAGTAAAGAAGAATTTAACTGATGATCTTCAAGTCGTGTAGAGATTGTGCATTTAGACAACTAGAGTAAGATTAAATGGTGGCTCACCAATATTTTCATCATCATAGATACCATAGGGACGTCATATACTACTATTAAATATAAAAACTATGGCCATTGGCTGTAATTTTTGCAAGTTTTTTATAAACTTACATACGAGCTTCAACTGCTTTTAAAATTATGGAAGAATAAAATAAATGACCATAGTTGATTTCGCTTTATTCATTACATAACAGCTACTGTAAAACATTACCACTGTAGTCTTATCAAAGTTGACAAAAAGTTAATTTCAGTGATTCAGTCCAATCACTGAAAATGCACGAAAATGTAATCGTTACTATCAGATAAAAATGATAATATTTTTAAAATTCATACAGTCACTTCAAATGATCCGAAAGGGTGGTGGTATGACTATTCAGTGGGTTTTTTAGTCACATTATACTGATTTTCGAAACTGGTACATGTGGTTTTGTCATTGGACCTGGAAACACAGCAAAGCTAATAGGTTAACACGTTTGCTGAGATTTAATTCAGCCCAAAACTTTACACCACTATTATTTTAAAGAATATGTTGTAATTAACATTTCTGTTACACATTTTGTACAAAGCTGAAAATTAATTTCTTTTTCTTTTCGTTAACGAAGATGGAATAGTAATATTTATTTAGGGGATTTTTCCAAATGCGTAGCAGAGATAGTGGGATAAATTTAATTCATAAGACTAGTTTATTCAAAATATACTATGAATAACTCAGCGGTACAAACCATAATATAAACGAACAATAAATGAATTAAGTAAAAAAACAGTGAGTAGTCCGACCTTGTAAATTTCAAAAGTAAAAAGACTAGTAATCACCAAAGTAATCTAGTTTACAAAAATAAACCATTTAAAATGAAATAGTTAAGCTTTTCGCAATTCATCGATCACAAAATTAGCATTCGTATGTCTTTTGAACTAAAACGGTAACATGATCAGCCTAACAGGTTTTCTTTCCCTACCAAATGCAATTACTTCAACAAACATCAGTACAATCAACTAGTAGAAATGCACTTTCTACGATGGATTACAATAATGTTTGTAAAAGCCCTATGAATGTAAATGAAAAAGTTTTAATTTTCTAATTCTACTTGTCAGAACGTAAATGGTCTATAGAATTCAACATTCATTTGATAAAACAAACCAGATCTCGTAATCAGTTCAACCTAACCTATAAACATAGAATTACTAAAAAGCAAAATCAGTATTTACTGTACTTGTTATTTTAAACAATCATCATAAAGGCAAAGTTTTATGTACAGTTTATTCATAATTGATCTCTGCTTATTTGATTTTAATTCTTATTTCATTTTCAGTGAATATCTCACTTTTATAACTGAACCAATAATAGGAAGTTTAGCAGATATGTACATAAATGATCAGGTACGTTTATAATAATATGACATTACTATTTTTACACCAATTCGATCATATTTTCGTTTTCCTCGTTTGGAAAAATGATTTATTAAATCATGCGTTAAGCTGAAAAATCTGATTGAAAAAAAATTGATTCTAAAAAATAGAATAAAAATTGACTAAAAGACTGTATTACAATAAAGTGCTTATATGTCAACGACGTGTTCATTGTTATAGTCTTTGTTTTAAGCACAGGATTCACGTTACTGTTTATGTCACCTTAGTAACAACAATATATTGTAAAAACAAAAAATAATTATTCATTTCAAGATCACAATAAAATGAACTATATATAAATCTACCACTGACTGATGGCTGTATTATTAGTTTTAGACTGTAGACAAACGTCGGAATCATAAACCTTTATTAAATATCATAAGCCTTCAAAAAATTGTACATATTGCTAGATGTTTACGATTGATAATAAGAAAGAACAGAGAATATTATGTACCTTGTCTATAATTATTAACTAGATATTCTCCATAGTAAACTAACATTGTTTATTCACAATTCATCAATTTATTTCTGAGGACAATCATTCCCATTAAATGTCTAATATTTTCTCTTTTACTATTAGATTATTTTTCAGTGAGTAAACGACCTCTTAAAATAAGTTTTAACTTATGAACTGGAATATTGAGACTTCGTAAAATAAGTATAAGCAATATTATCAGAAGGGGGCTTTGTGGAGATTTAAGTGATTTTATTGTTGAAATCATGAGTTAATTGAAGCTAGACCACCGTCGAAAGACTGGAAGTACTGGACGACAGTTTCGTCCTATTGTGGGGCTCCTTAGCAGTACGCATCCATGGTCGCACACCGCGAGATTCGAACCCAGGACCTATTGGTCTTGCGCGCTAACTAGAGACTGTCTCCATGACGTATTTCCTGGAGTTCTAATGAGAAGCCGTAACCAGTGGAGTTCAACCAGGTCTGTTGGGAGATATCAACTCACTGAAGATATTGGTGAATGGTTGCTCGACTTGGTGGATCGGTTGAAGTTAAACATTATCAGAGTTGGATGCCAGTTCAGTGGTGTAGTGGTTAAGCGCACACGCGTGAGACAGATAGGTGCTGGGTTGGAATCTTGTGAGGCGGGACCGTGGATACGTACTGCTGAGGAGTCCCACAATATGACGAAACGGTCGTCTAGTGTTTCCAGGTTTTCCATGGTGGTCTAGCTTCAATTGACTCATGATTTCAAATATCTAAGCAATATTATACAAGAAACATTATTGATTAAGTGCTTATTTGAAGAAAAAATACACTGTGGTATAAAAAACAAATGAATATCGCTACAATAATTTATTGAATGCTAGTATCTGAAACGGCTCTCTACTATTCTTCCGAGACTAGTTATAAATTAATAAAACCATGGTAACATTTAATTTACGGTATATGAAGAAAAAAAGGATCTGTTAAGTCAATGGTTTCAATTTAGGTATAATTTCAAAAGAAATTTGGTTTACATAATCTAACTGTTGTTTAAATTTGTAAATTAATGTTGTAGGGATGCATCACTGTAGTATTCCATTGAAAAAACATGCCAACTATTTAGCTAATTGATAAACTTGAATTTGCTATACAGTTCTAAATGTTTGTCTTACCTTTATTTTTAACAGGATTCGTCTTTTTGTGAATTAGAGATTATATTTGGGATATATCAGGTAATTTGATTCAACTTGGAATATCAGTTTATATACTTTTATGTATGACTTAGAAAATGTCACAATACTGAGGACTAACAGTATGTTTCACTAAGAAAGATTGCAAAATTAAACAAATTCTCGTTGATGGAATGACGAAATATTTTTTATGCGCAAGATACATAGAATATAATTCTTGAACTAGTCTAGACTTATAGAGATCATGTAGCATTCAGAAACACCAGATATGCATAAAAACACAGTAGTACCATCTCTAATTAATGTCGGAAATCAAGTTATTTGCTTTCCGTCTGACATTTTGTCTGGTGGTACTATCAAAATTTCTCCTACATTTAAAACATATGGTATTTATAAACTAAATTGTAAATAGTGTGTTTAATATTGTCACTTGTTGACAAAATTCACTAACATTTTAGTTGCTCTGATACCCCTAGTATTATTAACTAACGGATCGTTTACTGTAGTTGAAAAGTCTTATCTCATTTCCTTAACATTGGTTTTTTTATATTTTTAGGCTTTTATATTTTAATTTAGCTTAATTGATAAAATAATATTGTCACAAGTTGTACTTCATTAGTTTACTAGCATTTGACCTTTATTTTAATTTCAAGTTTGCAATTCATTATTTCGCTTTTATATCTTCTGTCATAAAATAAAAGACCTATGATTAGGTATTTTTCTTGTTCCTTGTTTGAATTGATGATAATTTGAAATGCTAAACAGTTCATTGTTATTATTCCAAATTATTAGTTCAAGATACAAGATGGTTGAAAGTTGGACAAAAAATGTCCCTGGAGCTGGGTTCATGGTTTTAAGCACGCGTCTGCCGGTTTATTCTGTAATCTTCAGGTAATTTATGCTCCCTAGCCCATTCAATCCTTGTCACCCCGCTTCACAGTCAGAGAGGTTACCACTGAACTCCTTAGACCGCAATTAACCTCCCATAAGGCTCAGATGTACCTACAGTTGATCGATCACTAAGTGGTGAACACATTGCAACATGACTAACAGCATTCTGTCGGTACTAAGACGAGCTTGACTTATACAACATCGGTCTCCACTCAAGGATTAATCACTTGCAAATGCGGAATAAATTCTTCATTCTAATTATCCTATTTTGATATTTGCTCGCTAAATCTATTTGTCATGTACCGTAACATTTAAAAACCTTTATATGTTCACCCAGTACTCGAAACTTTTATAAATTAATAACCTCATACAGTATGACACTTTGATATACCCCAATATACAGGAGTAATCCTAGTACCCCAAAACTCATTTTATACCAACAGAATAAGACCAACTACTTCTAATCAATGTAAACACAAAATACCTACCATTTTAGTTAAAAACCTTTTTGACCATTTTTTTGTGAAGCTTTGGAGGAAACTCCCTTACATCAAGTACTGACAAGTTTTTGTATGATGAAATAAAAATAAAATAGGGTTATAATTCGTTCGTTGATAAGGCTTCCAATCACAATCATATTTTATGTAAAGTTTCAATTATAAATTTTATTCACGACGATTTTTTCAATAAAGTAATGATATGTTAGTAAGCAAGAAAGTTTTACTTTCTAGATTATGGCGTAAAAAGTATGGCAAAAAGGCGATACACTGATCGATATGATATATATTCATTTACAGTTCATTAATTATCGTGTAATAATCCAAATAAGAGTGTGTTGAAAACAATGCTGAATCATAACATGAATTTTACACAAAACGTTCTTAACTGTGGAAGAGTAAGAATGGAGAAAATGTGGTGCATTGTGGTTAAGGTAGCATTTGTTTCCAGTCATATTCAGAGGTTATTATAACTAAATAAACTACTTAAGAGAGAACTACGCCATAAGCGATCTTTATTATCCCTATGTTATTTAGTTTCCATACATCAAGTAAACAACTATTCACAATAATCTAAGATACTCATATTACTTATCTTTGTTGACTTCATTAGTTTTCATTATATTCCAAGACAAATATCAAAAGTACAATAGATGATGTTTTTTAAGTTTCTTAACACAACTTATTTACATTCCCTTAGAGACATTAGCTTTCTGTGGCCTTTCTACGTAATATACTTCACACCTCCCTTTTCTTAATATTCACCTCACAGACTGTTTATTTAACCGATTAACCTACCACATGAATCCAAAAGCTACAGAATTTAAAAACGATGCCCATTCAAAAAATCACAATATTCGACCACTGAGCCTCTGACATGTGAATGCATTTGCTGAAGAACGTGTCAACCATGTGATAATAATCATACTTTTTTCATGGATGAATGAATCGATTTATTTTTTTAGCATACTTCACTAAAGCAACTACTCAGTTATTTGACAAAATCTCTGCAGTATAGTATACATTGACCTGCTTTCATGTAAACCATTATACGATCGAATTATTGAATTTGATCGGTTATTTAAAACTTGCACAAATCATAAGTGCCGTCATTAAAATAAAAACTGATGTAAGTCATGTTGCGTCTTAAGGAGAAGTGAACCGTTAGATTAAGAAATTATTGTAGTACTATTTGCTTGATATCTTGATTCATCATTGTAAAATTGGCCCGATTCTTGCTGTCCCAACTGATAATAGACAACTACGCCATCAGTAGGCAGATGCATTATCAGATTGTTTAAATCTCATCACATAAAGAATTTTTTTTTTATTTGCGTAGATTACTAATTGATTTGAATATAATTTTCCATATCGACTCCAGTGACTTATTAACAGCTGGACAATACAGTTAAAGTATGAAAATGTGAAAGAGACAATCTCAAAGTCAGAGCTTTAAACTAGGCGACGAATTTACAACTCTCATTCATCTCATACTTATTGTACTTACCACGTTATCGGCTGCAAAACTTATTCTGTTTATTAAATGATGGGACATGTTTAATGAATTAAGTAGAAATTAAATTAAATGGTTACACAGAAACTTATTATGATTTCTTTTCATCTAGATTACAGATGCACTAAGGTATCTTCATAGCACCCAAGAATTAATGCATTGTAACATAAATACGGCGTCAATCTTGTTGGTTAACAAAAGTATATGGAAATTGGGTGGATTGAATTTTTTAGAAAAGATTGTTGACACCACAAAGGTAAGTTGAATCAGTTATTGTACTAAAAATAAGTTTGATGACTAATCTTTGTACAATGATAATTATACAAAATGTTCCAAGTCAATACTCCATATAACATATTTAAAATGCGAAAAATAAGAATAAATAATCATACTAAAATTCCAAATCATTGGATATATGATACCATCAGGTAGATTGAGTATCGAATTTTTTAAACTTGTATCGGCCTAAGTAAAATAAATGAATCAACTAGATTAACTGTGACAAATCTCCTAGGCAGAATATGATATTTATCATCAAAAACTGTTCGATCCTCTTTGTGATTTTCCAAGAGCATTGTTCAAAAGAGGAATTCGAAATAATGCTTTGAGTTAAGGAAAGTCAAACTGTTGAAGGATTTTAAGCACATGTCTTTGACACAAAAGATACCAAGATCTACTGCATAAAGTATTCTCAACGTGACTTTATTCTCATATTTGTTTCCAGTCGATCTAAGCAACATTCAATCACATTTTTCAAATCCAGCGGATCATCTGAATTCCTAATCCATGATTGAATCTAATCGCAATCATAAGTTAAAAACAGGGTTTGTATATTGAATACAAGTAGATGTTCAATACATTTTAACAAAAAGTTATTTGATTATCCATCATGCATTGTTTTTAAAAACACAAAACAACACCAACACAAATTACTGTTCTTATTGTCGTATGTTTATTTTCAACCTCATTTTGAAGTCTGCTCAGTGAATAAAATTCTATTTTTCGCACAGTCTTAATAGTAAGAAGATAAAAAGAAGGAGAAAAGTAAATTTTAACACATCAAAACAAAATATAGCGTACCTTTTTATAAACTGTAGTGCCGTGATTCGTTAATTGTTCACCTCGATAACCGTTATAATGCAATTCTTAACGGTGCATAAAATCAGAAGGCGAAGAGAAGCAGCAACTACAATTGACGCAGGCCAGAAAGCAATGATCACATGAGCAAGTATCAGCGAGCAGCCAGCGCAAGCAATGACATAAGCAACTTATAGTCAAATTTAATAAGGGCACAGCAAAACAAAAGGAAAGCTGATAATAGGATGTGAGTACATACATATAAGGGAGGAGCATGAGTCATCGAATAATGCTTAAGCAATCAACATTTTTGTCTAGAGTGTCATGTACTCTAGTGGTCATAACAGTACAAAGAAATACGCAAATTGCTACTATCCAAATGACGATGTCTGTTGAGTTAATAAAAAAACTTAAGCAAAGTTGACCATATTCGAAATTGATTGTAGGATAGTTGCTATAAAACGACATCATTCATTTCACAAAAAAATTTTCAGTAAACAATTTGTGAAATTATGTACCGTTTGAAAAGATTTTAAGGAAGCACATAAATAACTATTGTCATAGTGATTAAATACAATTTTACTATAAAAAACACCCTAGATTCCTTTGCTTTAGACTTTTTGTACAGTAATTTATGATGCCTACCTGTAGATTTCTGAAATTTCATGAACGTTACTTTGCGATGTTTTACACTCTTTAGTACAATATTCGGTGACATTATACTGCAAAGAAAATGTAGACTATTTATGGACTACTTACAACAACATTCTGTTAAAAAGCGATAAATGCCAACTAGTATTGTTCAGAAAAACATTGTTAATAATTTACATTTTTACTCTTTCATAGTTATGGTATATTATTTCGCTTGACACAATCCTTCAATTTGATTGATAAGCCTACTGGTCGACATCCATTTGTATGATCCCTAACCCTGACCAGAAAGATTTGCAAATATAGTAATATATCTTAAGTATGAATTAATGTAACTGCTTCATCTTTGATGAACCAAATTAAATGTAATTAAAGGTTAACTCGAAACTACTCCTTTTATCCAAGTATAGTAAATCCTTAAAATTGATTTTAATCGAAGACAATAAGAACCAACACTATTGAAAAGTACGTAACAATAGACATTGGAAAAATGATTTACGACATAATTTTTTAACAATTATCATCAGTAGCAAAAATAGAATATGACCCAGTAAAACTTTAAACATCAATCTCTAGAATATAGTTTAATGTTTGTTTCAATTAAATTGTGACAAGTAGCATGGATTGTCATCTTGTCAGTTATAAATAACTTCTAAAACATTAATAGATTGTTCATTTCCGAAATGATTGAAAATCTAACTATTTCAACTAAGTGATTAGTCAGAGTTTTAATAATAAGAAACAATTCATTAACTTCCGGATGAATCGTTCTGTTTTACTTGGGTTAAAAGGTCTTGACTACTTTATTGTCTCGCGAATAAAACAAGAAGTATCAGTGGAATTAAAGAATGCATCCCAAAAGGAATTCCTCAAAATATTTATTCCCTTATTTAAATATAAACTTTTCAGAACTCACAAATAAATGTTAAATCATCCCACAAAACTATTTGGTCTGTGTTGATGTATTTATTCTTGAGTTAGTATCTAGCTCATAGAAACAATGAGCTGTTGAAATAACCTTGTTGATTCATCTGCAATGGATGTCAACCGCCAACTGAATGCTTTCATGGAGGCACTAAGTGCCGTAGATTTCAGCTTTTAGGCTGTCATGAAATTTTAAATGTTTTTAATCCTATATATTCACACACATCGAAGTCGATAAAAATTAGGATTGATTAGTTGATGCATCAAACATGCACGGAGGCCTTCTCACATTCTATGACCATTAGCCTGAACTGACTGCATTTTTTGTATTGTTTATAAAAACCTATATGCCTATCAAGCACGTGTTATTGAGCCCTCGTAAAGTATCAAGAACGCATTACAAACCTGATGGTCGAGAAACATAATAAGTAATGCCACAGGAACAGTATATTTTCCCTCTCCCCTGTCCTTCGAAGAATTGCTGAACGAATAATACAATATTCAGAATCACAGGGACAAAACTGATTGTAAACATTTACAGATGAATGCAATTTGGCTACTGATCAATGTTTGAAAATTCTTTATACATGTTTTTTTTTAATATCTTCCAGTTACATGATTAAAGAAAGAGAATTTTGCTATGACAGTCCAATTTTAATTCTGAGGATTATTAATTGTACGCATACATAGACATGTATCATCAATATTACTAATTATATATATATATATATATATATATATATATATATAACAAAAATGCATGTCATTTTAAATCTTATCTTCATAACGAATAAAATAAACTAGTCATTTTCCATAATCTACGTTAACACAGTAAAAAGCTTTTTAGTAAAACAATAACATCAAAATTGAGCAAAGAAAAAACCTGCATTAGCACATGGTTGTGGAGATTAATGAGTTTTTGTTATGATCATGAAGCGATAAATGTTAGACCAGCATTGAAAAATTAGTAGCACGGGAACGTCAATTCATTCACCTGACCTCTAGACTACGAGGCCGTCACCTGAGTTGTCTACGATTAAGTCCCAATGAGTATTGGCTACTAATACCTCGATTCGATAGTACTTTCTCTAGCATAATGTGTGAAAGTAATTTAGTAAACATATCGAATCCTTATTTAGCTAAATTAATTATTGAACTAATGGTTAAACAATGCGTAAACTTGTAGATGATATTATTCACTTTTGTTTAAGTCAATATGAATCAATTTTATTTGAGTAACGACTGGAAGTTCGAAAGCAATGGACATCAGTTTCGTCCTAATAAGAAACTTTTAGCAGTAAGCATTCACTATCCAACGGGTGATTTTGCAAATTACAGTTAATCATTAGAATCACTGAGCTGCCTTCTAATCGCAGACACTTCCAGGTTGAATCTGATGGCCATAGTGAGTGACGATCATTCGATCCCGTTGATGACGACTGTTTCGCTTCCGACATGTTGCAACTGGAAGAGTTCAGATTTGCAATAAAACCTAAAGTGTGATCAACATACAACTGTCTAAGTATACATTTAAAATTCTTTAATAAGTTCACATATTTGACTGAATTGGTAATATCTTCAAAGTGATACCGCTGTATCCAAATAAAAAACAAGGAAAGACTGTTTATTTGCTATAAATCAGTAACAGGTGCAGAAACAGCTCAAATAAGATTTTTATGCAACACATTGTTCATTAAAATTCACTTAATAATAATAACCGCTAATTAGAAATACAGATGATGATATACCTACAAAACAGTAATAAACTCAAATCAGTTAACATGTGACTATCGACTGAAATTCTTAACCCAGTTTTTGAAAATTTAGAACTGAAAAATCAGGCTGGGTATATAGTTGCTGCTGAACGAGAAACTAGTCATAAATCTTTCATAAAAATATCAGTTCCCTCATTTGTGATTATAAATTTTGTCTTTAAATACTTTTTTGAATTAATCAATGATTTATGAACATTATGACACATCTTCTTTATAGATAACTCCAAAGTTTACTGGATGTTCAGTAAAAGTGCCAGTGTTTGCTCAACCAGATTTAGATTTTATTGCTCCAGAAGCCCAAATGTATAATTCCATGTCACCACTTGCCGACATGTTTTCCTTAGGAATGGTAGTTTGTGCTATTCACAATCAAGGACATTCTTTGATTGACTCAGAGCAAAATCCAAATGTTTATGTTAAACAATTGCCTGAAGTAAGTTTGATTTAAAATCGAGTGTAAAAGTCTATTTTCTAGCAAAACAGCCCATCTTTGACAGTTACTAATTTTAAAAAATAACCATTGTTTTAAATATTTTTTCTTTTTTTCTAACCTAACCTTATTGTCACAAAATAATACTTCTATTTGTTATCCTCGAAAGGTTATGAAAAGAAATGAAGATATTTTAGGCTCAAATAAAATCTTTGAGTGGTGTACTGTTCTCTGAGCTGATTTCTCCTTATTTCACAGGCTTCATTGCTTTTTTTGACGTCATCACAGCTTTCTTTATTGGAAGTGAGCTATTCATTTCCGATTTCATAAACGGCAAGTCAGTCCACATAGGAATTTTATGTTAGGACAAAAATGCGAATTCCAAATATATGTAAGTAGAAATCACTAAATGATTTTTATGAACTGGTAAATTGATTGAAAATTCTTCTTTTGAAAGCATGATGTAAAACAGCCAGTTGATTTCAGCATGTTATAAATATTGTTGAATTTCAATGAAATCATGAACAGATCTAAGTTAGGACGTTCCATGATCTCAGGTTTCAGAAGTGGTCTAACTTAGATCAGTTGATAATTTCATTGAAACCAGTTGTTCTGTTCAAAAATGTACAATCTAGGCTGAAAACACTCAACATTTTTATCATATACATATAACCATTTGACACTTACTACAACTTTGCAAAAGATACTAATAAACATCTGCGACAATACATGAACAATATCGCTGATTGTATGTGTGGTCATAAAAGAATGCTTATCGGCAGACAAAGGATGATAAATTGTTCATAAAGAAAACAAATCTTTCAGAAGATTTCTAGAGAAGCTTTCTTTGACGTGATATATAGTTTAACTGAATTTACACGATTTGTTGTTAAAAAGCAGACGGGACGATTAATAAAATGAAACTGAGCAATAATACATCGACAATTGTAATTTTGAATTCCTGTTTTCCGAAGTAACGATGAGAAAATAGAACTGTAAAAATTATACAATTAATTTAGTTGAATAGATAAAATAAATTATTTAACTGATAAAAAAAATCATTTCACAAACTGATTAATGGATATACACCATTTTTGATAAATAAAGATGGGTGGTAGTTATCAGTGTAATCCAGAACGCACATTTCGTCCTATTGGGGACTCGTCAGGTGGATGTATCTGCATCCCAGGGTTGATGTTCACTGCTGTCTACTATCCATTTTTGCTTATAGTGCTTGTGACGTAAGGCGATATCGAGGTAGTCCTCACAGGATGCACATATACCAATAAGAGACTGATCAATTGAAGTTCTAATCATCAATGGGGAGATTTAAACAAACAATACAAAACGAATTTTTGTCAAATATTTATTTCGCTTCTAGTCAAATTAACACTAACTAAGATAGAATGTAATTTATTAGGACCGTTATCTTCGATTTAAAGTTCGTTGTGGAGTGCTATAACAAGAAGCAAACCCATTTTTTTTTAATTGATAGAAAAACAAATTTTTTGTTTATAAAGTAAGAGTTTTGCCGATTTTGTCCAGTTTGTTCACAATATCAGAGATCTAAACAAACAATGAGCAACCTCAAACACTGACTAACTTCGTAAAGGATTTCCCAAGTTCTAGTGGGTAACATTGACTGATAAAGTTTAATCGTATCGAAAGTCAGTCACTTACAATGTTTAGCAGTAAATAGTCGTTGCATATGATTGTAGATTGATTGAATATATAAATATGAACCAGTGATACCAACATAGTGGTTTGAAGGTAACATACTCACAGTGGTCTCAAGTTCAGTCCTTGATCATGGGTGTGGACTTCCAGAGTTTTGTAGTAGAAATAAACAACAATAACTGCCGTCTTGCAGAGGTCGTTGATTCAAGTTACGCTTCTTTTTTCTTTATCTAAACTCCCATTATCTAGTCAAAAAAGATTTTTTTGAAATTCCTCAATTCATTAGATGACTAATAATACTGCATATCCAAATGTAGCATTCTCGAAACTGATTATCTGCCTTTTACTTTTTCTCATATTTGCATCAGCATGTGGAATTTTTGTATTTTGTGTGTACAGTCACATTATATAAGCACCTGAGGAAATCTAAATGTATATATTGCGTATAATCCAAGTTTAAAATATACCGTTCAGTTATCATAAATGTTCAAAACAAAACATCGAAAATTTTCTGTTCATCAGTTAACTTATATCTGATTACTATTTACAGAATTCTTCCACTATCCCCATTAGTTGGCAATTGTTCCATGTTCTTGATCCAAATAGAAAAAGCATTTAATATGAATCTAATTTATTGATTATTTCATGATAACAATTGATCCAGTGAAACAATGATAAAAAAAACTTTATTTCCGATACCAAAAAAAGAAGACCTTTTAATTCATTTACATGAACATATAATAAGTAGATAATGAGACTAAATTTTTAATACTGGCGTCATAAACATATTCAACTAATATCTTCCGAAAATAAAGGTATCAGTATTGATAGAGAAGAAAAATAATAATAATGATTACTACTACTACTACTACTAAAAAAGTATCTATAATGATATTGTTGATTATCTATTTTGTAAATGGCTAGTAGAATAAATAAATAAAGTATGTAACAATTAACCAGGTATAAATTAATTATGTCTATCCACTTCTCATTACTGATGTTTGTTGTTACAGAAAATACAGATGATTATTAATAATATTAAATATTTCTAAATAAACAATTCAATAAATGTGCTGGATTTACAAGATAATTGTCATAAAAGAAACAAATTGGGACAAATATTGGAATTTATGTCTCACCTTATAAGTTAATTCATAATATGAAATGGGGTTAGTTTTAATACCATTACATGAATGTCTGTATTGTCCTTAATAAGGATTCGTTAGCAACTTTTAATTTAGGTCTCTTGGAGGAACAAGTTTACTATATTGAATGCTCGATGAGATATGAACAACTTGAAACTACGTAGTCGGAATCTCCCACAGTTACTTTGTGATAGAGAACATAAAATATTTAATGGTGTTAGTGTATTAGTCAGTTACTTCGTTGACTTTATTTATTATGGCTTTGTATTAGAACTTTAAGAATTCGTCTTTTGATGCAGATAACCTACTGGATATTGTTTTAAACAGAAAATGCATGAAATTTTTTGTTTGAATTGGAGAAAGTTCACATCATAGCCTGATGTCTACTATTAGTCCATTAGATTATCGTAGTAACAATGGAAATATAACTGTTGGTTAACAAACAAATTAAGATGCTTGTTATACGGAATATCTCTACTGACAGAAAATAATCATAATTAATGGATGTATATTTATCTGTTTTCAGTACAGAGTTGTTGAGATTTTTGAGTTTCAATGAAATCAGGAGTCAAACAATGTCAGACCACCATCGAAAACCTGGAAGTACTGAAACTCTGTTTTGTCCTAGTATGGGACTCCTCAGCAGTGCGCATCCAAAGCTCCACATGCGGTAACTGAGCACAAGACCTTCGGACTGGTGCACATTCATCTTACCTCTAGAACACTGAATGTGCATCCAACGTTGTTAACGACCAACTCCAAAATAATAATAATGATAATAAAGTTAATTATGTTACTAACAGAAAATACCCGTTTAGCAATTGTGAGATTTCAATAATTCATCAACTGAGGTCATATGATTACGAAATTTAACTTCTTAACTTAAAAAAATATTTTGTTATTAACGGACGGCACTTTAAACTTTTATTCTCATTAACCTGAATTGTCATAGCAATTAACTCTTAAAATCTATGGTATCCATGAGAGAGAAACAATATACAACAGACGAAAATGCAGTGTTTTTTGACGTTACACACCAGCCTTCAATTAGTTGATAAACATCGTTATATATATATATATATATATATTTATATATATATACCTGGCTCAGACATATAGCAACCAGCCATAACATTGGATTGAATAAGTCAAAAGTAATAAAAAGGTATCCACATGATGGATAAATGAATAATTAAAATCCTAAATAACATGTATAAAACTATTATTGAGTGTACATTACTATTTGTAGCCAGTTACTAGGCAACACTTAAAAATAGCAAACCCCAACATCAATCCGAACTTCACCACTACAAATATATCGATACTGATATTTTCATCAATGAACCAAGTTGAATATCAGTGGAAAGAAATTTGTATAAATGAATAAAGTTAGATAATTAGTTTGTTTGTTCTGTGTTCAAAGTCATGATACAAAACATAATGATGATAAAAGTCAACTTACTAATTATCTATTTTTCGTCCTCTTCCTTTTTTATAGATTCCAAATAATTTTGAAAGAATATGTGAACGACTACCCAGAACTTTATTAGAACCTGTACGTAAAATGATCAGTAAGGATGTTCGTGAAAGACCAACATCACAGCTTTTTGCTTTAGTAAGTTGACAGTTTTTAGATTACTAATTTTGCTTTGCTAACCATAGGGCAGAGCTCTGTTGGTTAGTTCATGAAATAACAGTAGAAACCTCTTCTAAGACCATTGCATTAGAAAGTGTAGATAAACAATATGCAGTTTACACCAAGTTAAGAAAACGAAATGAAATAAATATTTAGATTCAGTAAACCAAATGAATACAAGCATGACTACTAGGTCAATCAGTCAATCAGATTCAATGTAGACTGTGGCACAAACTTACATCTACCAGGTAAATGAAGGTGGGTCCATTACAAAAATAAACAAGCGTGTTTTAAGCCAAAGTACCATATGAATGATTGGCGCATATCTAATTCACAAAACCTATTTATCTTGCAAATCATACTTCTAATTTATGGCATTTTCATACATAAAGCATACGCATTAATAATGAATCTAGCTTCAAACTTATCATTAATGGGTGTGCTAAACACATGTAGATCAATCATTTCTACACCTATCTAACGGAGAGTCATCTTTTCGATCAAGAATACAGTGATTTTTTTATTCTATTTCAAATTTACGCTTCACATTAATCCTGTCATATGATCGTACAGCTATTTATATTTTTAAAAAAATAGCTGAGAAACTGTTAAAAATGATGTTTGTAAGTGGAAAATTCCATCGGAAGACGAGTTTATTTGAAAACTTAGCTACTGTAATTGTGAGTGCTGCCTTGACGTTCGGATGGGGAAAAGACTGTTAATAAAATTAGACTATTATTCTGTAGTTTTTCATAAGATTAAACAAGAAGCATCCGCCCACTTTCGGTTTCCGAAACAGCAGCCTTTGTTATAATTGACTTCGTGTATCCAACTCACTAAAAAAAGCTAAACAGGATATTACCGGTTGCTTAATCAATCAAGATCTCCAGGTCTGCCTAACGTCCACCACGAATATTTGTAACTCTTATCGTTGGGTTGAGACTCCAGGGGCAGATGTCATGCGATATAAATAGTAAACTGAAGAATAATTTTCTTTCGCTGTGCGACCAGAGGAACTTCGCTAAGCATTGACGGTACCTACAAGTGTAACAGAGAAAGAATACTGCTTTGCTAGTTAATGATATTGGATGCACCTATGGAAGCTTCGCGAGTAACCTTTGGATTTGTAGCCAGTAAAGTTTCCGACCCGAACGGAAGGCTTTTTGAAGTGTTATGCCCTAGATGCAAGTCAGATGTTATATCAATGAAGACGGCTATTCCATAAAGAATGAAATATCTATCAAATTTCTGGAAGAGCATCAAAAGTTTTAATAAATTCATGTAATACCCAACGCTTTGCATCGAGTACTCTGACCCCATAATGTGGACACTTTTATTTAGAATGTATCAACCAGTACGTTGTGGATGTATTTGCAACTAATGTATACGAACATCATTAAACGGCAAATAATGTTCTTGGTTTGCCAATAGAATTTATGGTTTCTGTATTTACTTGAATGTCATTCAGGTTGAAAGTTCCAGCTTTTTTCGTTACCCTGAAGAATGATAGGCTCATATGCTTAGGCTGCAAGATAAACTACTTGTACCAAAAAAGCTGACTTCATTTAATCAATATAAATTTTCAAGATATTATATCCAAACCCAAGTACACTGTCCTGTGACATACATTTCATTTATTTGGGGGAGTAAATTAGAGCTGCTCACAGGCTTGTACAAATTGGTAAAGCTGATCCAGAAAAGATGATTACCCGTAGGAAATAGGATTTCTAAGACTTACAGAGGATGGGTTTTTTTGTGGTGATTACGAATGGTTAACTAAATATAAATTACTATTTTATTTATGCACTAGTTCTAATTTTTTGAGTGATATGTAGAGAACCTTTATGATAAAATTTATGGGATATGATTATTACTATTTTTACACTCTACTGATTATTAAATGAGACATTGAAAAATCAGGATGACAGAAAATCTCATTGATAAGGCTCGTTCATAAAAAATCAAGCGTGCTTCAGAGTGTATGTTGGTGTTGTGTTCTTTAAGGTTATTCGTTATCTTTAAATGCGCGTTTCGTTCTATTTGGGGCTCGTCAGTTATCCATCTTTGCTTACAGTGCTTGTAAATTAAGGTTATATCGAGGCAACACGCACAGTATGCACATATGCTAATAAGAGACTGACCGGTTTCAGTCTTAAACATCAATGGGAAGATTCAAACAAGTAATACTAAGTGAATTTAAATTAACTTTTGTTCTATAGATAATTGACAACCGTAATAACAAGAATCAATATTCTCAATATCACTTGTTTACACGATGATCAACTTTCTTCAAACACTGTATTGAACAAACGAACAATCTTTGCAATTGCTAATATTTTATCATCATCATCATCATCATCATCATCATCATCATCATCATCAATTGTTTACAGATAAACATTCATATCATTTAACATGTTTATTAAGATAAATAGATTAAAAGATTGGTAATTGTTCTGTAGATTCTGATAATCAACATTTTAATTCATGGTTTATGTGATTAAAATGAAACAAAATGTTGATTCCCTAGTCCAAGTTATTGATGTTTCTGCATTTTATATTTGTCAACATTATTCATGACAATCATTCCAAGTAAACAAGAATAAATAGTTCTTATCTATGATTGTAAACATATTTTATGATAACAGTATGTAAATAATCAATACTTTCGTCAGATTATTTATTATTCTATTTACAAGAAAACTATAGAATGAATAATTAATTTGGTAAAAGAAATTTAATGACCTGTGGTTTTAGCTACCACTTTGATCATGGATGTCATTGTCTATGTATTTAGTAAAATAACGGCAAGGCTTTTAACTAAATGACAGCTATAAATATAAACATACTAGAAGGATTGTTTCTCATTGACCCAATGTAATATGGTAAATTAAGCATTGATAATTAAAAAAACATCATTAGATAATATAAACGGATGGAATGGGAATTGCTTTGGTATTCGTGATGTACGTTTCGTTCGTTCTGAGACTCTTTAGCTGGATATACCGCCAACCCAATGTTGGCGTTCACTCCAGGGTTCGGACCCAGCACCGTCCGCTTTAAATACCAGTGCGTTATCCACCTTTCTACTGTGTCCAGAAAACCACTTACTTATGAAAAGTATATGAGTTTTAATCTAGTTTTTACTCGTTCGGATGATCTTGTTGTTGATGTTTTGACTGAAATTGTATCAGACTTGTTTGACGTACGTATGTAGCCAGTGCAGATTGCCTTGATATAGTCATTATGACACGAGTTTGTATGGAATGTGCCACAACGATTATATCGAGGCAATTCGCAGTGGATTCACACATGCCAACCAAGACTGATCAAATTTCAGTCAACATATCAACTATTTTCTGAGTACGAAGTTGACAAATCTAATGTTTAAATAAAATAGATAGCTGTGAATCATGGAATGTAAGCTGACATGTTATAAAATCTATAAAAAAGAAAATAAACACTCCTCAAATTATAGATTGAATCATTATAGAATATTACTACAAACTTTCGTTTACTCTCAAGTTAGTGCAACTCTTCTCACTTGCATTATATAATACAAAATATTGTTGATAACTGAATATAGTATATGACTCAAAAATAAAATTAATTAAACTGCCTAACTAACGATAACAGTCTATTTTTAAGTACTATGTTAGCATACGTATTAACGCAGGCCCGACAGTAGTACTTCGAATGTTCTCAGTAAATATTAAGATCCCCTTAGTGATAATACATAATAATGATAGTACAGTCAAAAACACGAATGCCATTCAGAGCCTGGGCGTAGAAGTAAGAAAAAGCCAATACTTTAATATCCCTCGGAGTTAAGTCACTTCAGTTAAAAAAACGAATAAATAAATACATATTCTGAAAACGATTACGGAATACAGGCCAGTTCATGGACATGACCAGGTTGATAGAAAACAAATGTAAAATGTAATGGGAAATATAATATATATATATGGGATTACATGCTTTGAAAATTCCTGTCATAAATTCTTTTAATAGAACCTTTTCTACTAAGATGTCAGTAATGCGAAGCAGAAGTTGGAACGCAATGAGATCTTTAAGGATAAATAATGTAATGAACAACGATTTCATTGTCTTTACACTGCACTTTCAACTACTTGCAATTAGTTGAACATAGAATCATATACGTGCTTGACTGTTTTGTGACCTGCTGTTTTATTTTCGTTTTATTTAAACTAATCAGCGGTATTTTATACATTCCTACAACAGCAGAGTAAGTAATACAACAAGAATAAGATTTGAAATTAACCAGAAATAGCTTACTGCTAAAACATCCACATGAAGAGAAGTTTATTAAGTAAACTCAGTAGAAGCAGTGATCAACAACAACTATGAGTATTGGTAATAATTAATGTATCAATCCTCATTGATACATTTTTCATACCCACAAATAGCTTTTCAAAGATTAGTTTATAAATCGAAGTTCACTGACTTAGTGAAACCGTTCAGTAAATGAAGTAGAGGCGACAGTGTATGATAATCATCAGTATGTGAAAAACATCTGCTTATCTTATGGCTCAACCTCTTTCAACTGGATTATTGGGCATCACCTTTACTATGAAATTCTAAGATTCTTGTATAGGTTATGAAATCTTTTTCCTGGCACTCCTATATTAATTATTCCGTAATTGACATCATTTCGTGAAGATTATGTACATTCATATTACAAAATATTATAATATACATATGTACATTAGAAATACTCCATACTTCATGCATTATTCATGTTATCTTTTCAGTTAAAGGTATTTAACGAACCAGTAGTTCTTTCTTACGAAGGTTTACTTACATTAAATGATAAATCATTAAATCAGAAGAAAGAATTCTTTGGCCGACTCCCTAAAGTTATACCCTTATTTGAACCTGTAAGTTGATTACATGAATATTGATTATCATTCGCATTGTATAGAAGTTTATTTTTAAAATCCTTATTTCCTTTACTGCAACAGGATGATGGATTAATGAAAAATTAAACACCTTCTTACTTGCCTATCATGTTATTCGTAATAATTATAGGCAGCTTGTGTTTATTTGCATCACAAATGAAAAATACGTTCAGAGCAGAAAACACCAGATATCTGTTCCTTCTCTACCCAAACTTCATTATTGATCAAAACTCCTTAAAACTGTAACCACTTTGACACATTCTGCCATCAGCATCTTGTTAATGAAGATCTAGCCCACTTATAACTTCACAAGTCAAAACCATGAGCTAACATTGAATGAGATATTAGGATGAACTCTAGCTTACCATTTGAAATTATCCCATCTACACACATTATTCTCAAATTTTCAATTAATTTTGTTAAAGAACTTAATGTAACAGGGGGATGCTTGGATTATGCTTCAACTACATAGATTGTAAGCCGATTTACAATAAAAATAATAGGCTAACTACGTTACATGATTTAACGGTGAACAACAGTACATTAGATTTAAACATATGACCATTGCTCATTATTTTAAACGTTTTACCGTTAAATTCCAATCTTTAGAAATCTTTTTTAGCTATGAAAAATTAAAATCGACATATAAGTTACATGTCAATACCACAAATTTCATATAAATCCATCCTCAACATACAAATGATATCTGATATTTCTTTCTTCAACTAGTAATCATTTACTGGATCTACTGTAATATCTGATTACTTCTATGATATCTTCATATTTTTCCATTTGATTTCAGAATGTCAGATATAAATATATTCTACCAATTATTTTACAATGGTTATATGAGTCAAACGACTTAATTTCCTACATCCTACCATCATTTTTAACAATGATTAAAGTCGCGAAATCTGATGATTATGACAGATATTTAAAATCCCACTTGCACAAAATTTTAACTGAAACCAAATCACTTCAGGTAAATTATTTAAAGTAAAACAAAGTTGAGAGAACTTATTATGTTTATCTTATTGTTAGTATAGGGTAGTGAATACTGTTGAGTTTAGATTGATATCATGAATGGATCAATGTTACATCATCATTGAAATCCTAGAAGCACTGGACGGCCGTTTCGTCCTAGTATGATATCGAGTACAACTATTTAAGAATGTAATATTTGAATGTTGAATGCATGGATAAATGGAACTAAATGCAATTTTCCCAAAGATTTTTTTCAATATTTTTAATGGTCGAAGCACTTTGTTTTCTTTAGCTATCATTTGTAATCAATACATTTTTACCCATAAATAAATTTTCATAGCTCAATTACTTACTGTGAGTCTTTGTATAGACGCCTATACCACTTAAAATGAATTATTTACTTTCAGCAAAATTAACTAAAATTATATACAAATACTAATATAAACAAAACAGGAACTATATTATTTGCAGACTGCATCGTTCTTTCTTTGCTCAGATTTGTATAGTGAACCAGTTGCAAGAAACACTGATATTTCCTGTGACGTCATCAGCGATGTTTAATTAACTACTACTAATAGTCACAAATATTTTGAAATATTTCATATCATCTGACTGACAACTAACGTATGATGGATTATCTTGTTCGGAAATAAACCAACCGACAGATGCCATTTATTTTCTGCGTAATTACTATATAATCACTTTGGCTTAACGGGTACCTCCTTAGTTACCCCTTGGAAAGTTCCGAATAGTTGAAGCCAATAAAAGTTTTGTATTTTCCTGTTAATCATCAAAATCCATGTACGACTTGTGATTAATTTATTAATTATTAGTCGTCCTGATCATATAGTTTTATACGTTCTACACAATTATTTATATTAAAAACGAAAATAATGACTTAACTACTTATCCGTGAAACTATTTCACTGTGTGCTTCTAAATGATTATTAAATTTCGGTAGTTGTATCCCAAAATAAGGTACCAAATACTGAGTCACAAAAATAGTGCTTATACTGCATAACGTAGACATGTGACCTTTCCCAGAAAATCGATAAGAATTCTTTCTGATATGGTAAGGAATTAGTTGATTTGAATGTAACTGATGTTCGACGTTATCTTATTTTTCCAATCGTCTTTGGCATGCAACTACATCTTGAGAAGGTGTAACTAAATTTGTTGTATCTGCTGCTCGTAGACGGTTAATTTTTCTGATATTGTGTATCCAAGTTGACTCAGTAAACCATTGTTTGTTAAATATCAAGTAGTACTCAGTTTAATGAATATAAATCTAGCTATAAATCACACATATTGGTTTAAGTTTATATTACAAATGCAAAGAGATTATCTTTGAAAGTGTTATAGCCAATACTAGATTATCAGTACTCCTCAATAAACACAAAATATGGTTATAACTTTCCATTGTGTCGGCGTCGTAGAAATAAAAGATAGCGATGTTAATAAACTGACAATAAATAAAGTAGACAGTGACATGATATTTGAAATTTGTTGGGAAAATATGAGTAAATACTCCGACTCAATGATATTCATAAATGCGTTAAACTAATTAGGAATACTAGAAACTATAATTCATGATTTCTACTCAGATTTATCCCTCTTCAATAAGAGGTTAAAACCATCATGGGTTAAAGATTCATGAACAGAGGCTTTATCAGTATGGGTCAATTTGTTTTAAAAATATGATAGGAAAAATGTGAAATGTTTACTTAATACATTTTGATCGAGTAAATCTGTGGCCAAATCGTTCGAAATACACAGCACAAAGACGTATTTTTTTATATCACTTCAGTCAGTTTATGGTAACCTTATTACATAATCAAACAACAAGCTATTAAATATCATCTAAAGACACTTAACACTTGAAATATACTTTAGAAGTTCTGTACACAATGTTGTAACAACTTTATCTTCAAGTTTACTGATGTGTAACCATTTAGTTATTAGTTCTACAGTGTGAACAATGAACTATCTATCATAATATCTTGCGGACTAAATAATCCTCACCAATGATTTTAGCCTCTTTTCTTCTCTTTACTGTTTGAATGTGACTTTCTGTGTGTGTATACTTTAATATTCTAGTGATTATATCACACCAATTAGGTATATATTTATTCAACCGTAATAAGCATCTGGTAGGAGTGTTTCAAGGGTATCAACAAGTAAGCTAATGTTTTTGTTGATAGCAAAATCAAAATAAATAGTTTGAAAAAACTACATTGTTTTCGATTGTTTTTTTCATTGAGAAATAAAAATCTATTTTTACACTGAGCAAATCTTTATAAGTCAACTAAAAATCGCTTCATCGTGAATAGTGTTGATGATAAGAATGTATACATGTAGATGAAACTTGTCAGTAATAAGATCGACAATCACGCCAACCAGTTTCATAAGATTCTTGCTCGAATATATTCATATAACCCTGACTTAACGATCTACAATTAATGTCCTGCTGGACTAAAGATTTTCTTTGTATTAGTTGACGTCAGATATGATGATCAGTTGATCAACACTAAATAAATGAGCCTGAAATAATTATTTCATTTTGGCATTTTCAATACTTGTTTACTTTCTTAGAATAAAATGTTTGGCTTGAATAATCTAAGTCAATGTTTAGTTTTAGAGCAGTAGATCATTTCTGAGTTACAAGCCTATTTGATTCAGGATCTCACAAATACATATCTTAGTTGTATGAAACGTTTTATGAATTATTTAATATCTTAACGATTTATATTTTAGAAAGCTTAATAACTACTAAATGAGCGCGTATTAGATTCAAGAAGCTTACAGTGAGGACTGGATAAGTAAACTTTATTTTCTGAAGTTTTTAATTAGTTGAGCGGTTTACGGAGATGTCCTCTTTCAGACGATAGTTTTCCGTGGGTACTGATATCAGCTTCAGAATCACTAAAAGTCAAAAAATACAATGCATCTAGGTTTTTCTAATTTCGAGTGACGTACACAATCAGAACTCACTGTTCTACACAAGGTTAAACCTCTGGCCTTCAGCTCCATAGTAAGCACGAAACATTAACACTGTTCAGTGACACGGTTTTCGGCCCCATTTAACTCATCATAGAGTACGGTCATTATCTTACACAGTCCCCTTACTCTTAACATGCTCATCTCTGTTGTAAAGCAACTCCTATTCTGTCTGCTATGCTGACCGCTGATCGAACTTACAACTATACTCTGTATGATGGACTTTTATATCTCTTGACTATCTTTTGATCGTTGAAAATTTGATTGACTTAAGGGATCGTTTTTTCAAGAACTCTTTATAATCATAGTAATGATAATGTATTCTAAACCTATTTGTTAGTTGGCTTAACTTAGTTATTTACTTCAAATAAAACTGAGTTTAAACTTTTAATTAATGGTCATTTTTTATTCTTAAAAGTTATGGTTGGACACCATTCATTAGAGTTGAAGTTACACGGATGAATGATCATTTTTTTAATGGATTATCATTGTTTTAATATTATTCAATTAACTTATTATATCAATATCAAGCTTAGGTCATTTGGGCTTTAAAAATTATTGTATAAAAGTTAAAGTGAAAAAAAATCGTTTTAGTTTGCCTGATTCTAGAAAATGAGATGGAATGCAAAGTCTGTAATAAAGTTTGATTATATTAATTTCTATTGTAATAAATGTGTAATATAAGACAGGTGTTATTTTTACATTATTATTGTGACAAGTTTGTGTAATCACGTTTTCCCTATTAATTAACTGGATTCCGAACAATCTTTGTTGCTATATATGACTTCTGTGTGGATAGTTTTGATATAGTTATTTTTTTACGAATTGTAGACTTGTGTTTTATTCTATTCAGAACCTATTAGATGAATGTATTTGAATCCCAATGTACATATATAAATTACCTTTTTTGTCTCTAAAGTGCTTTAGAAAAATGCACACAAGATCTAACAGTTCCAGAAGCGAATATTTAAAAGTTTGTTTTTTGTAGAATTAACAAGTTGTTACGAACTGTTTGATAATTATCCATTTGAGTTACATGTCCACCAGAATAAGTCCAATAATCTGATATATTAATATTAGATCTTTAAACAGATGTTTTCCGGTTTTGTTAACACATTTGTGATGAATCAACTAATTTTTCTGGTTCTCAGTTAAAAGGTTAAGCATATATATTTTCTTAATTTAATAATCTGAGAACGTTCAAGACTAGGATAAAGGGTGATATCATTATCAAAAGTATCTGGATTTTACATCTAATTTATCGAAAGTACTTTTGCATTCAAACAACTCAATGAGCACTATACTACTGGATAGTTATATTTTCCACGAAATTTCATCAGCTAAGGAGCTAGTGAAAATCTAGAGGCACTGAATAGCGCTCAGGGTCCTAACTTTTAAAGTTTCCAGCTAACAATATACTTTTTGACTGCAGGGTAGCGGCTTATGAGGTCACACACCTTGCTATATTTGTCAGACAGCAAGATTTTCATACGTTTTAAATGATGACCCAATTTCTCAACCTTGACCTCATCGACTACAAATGTCACGGCTTCCCACCAGAGTTTTAGGAAAACCATGATAATCCTGTTCACTTCTTAAGTATATTATATGTTACTTATTGTTGCAGACGCTTCTCAATTATTGAAATCAATTTCTATTATAAGTTATATTTGAGGATAAAATTGAAGCTGTAGCTTACAATTAACGTTGTATCTCAAAGTTATGGAAATAAAAGCTATTCGAAGTGCTGGACATTAAAATATCTTTTCTTTGTTACTTGATCTTTTTTAGACAAGTATGGTAATTTTGGACCTTTCAGATCTCTTTACTCATCATATTAGTCAAGATGATATTGGAAATCTTCTCCTCCCTGAAATATTTGTCTGCCTTGAGCCGGGCACTCCAAAATCACTGGTAAGCTGTCATTTTCACACATATGATTATGCATGTAAAAACTCTTAAAAAATCTATTGCATTCCCCTTCAGTTTTGGAAAACCGGTACATGACATATATATGTTTTTGTCTTCAATAGTTACGTTTGAAAATATTCAAAAATCATTTATTTTAATAATAACTAAAGTATACCTTACATAATGCTAATAAGTATTCCAGGACGATTGATAAATATAAGCCAAATACTAAAATCCAAAAAAATTACCCTCTCTTATTTATGACAATGTTTACCGTAATAAAGAAATAGTTTTCACTGGAACGTATACATCCGAATCTCAAGTTTTATCTAAAATCATCAAACGCTTTTATCATTTATTTCAACAAATACTCTGATTAGATCATCAACATCAGGCCCTAGAAATATCTGGTAGAAATTTTAATCTCCAACCGAAACATGATTTTACCAAATCATGAAAATTATGGGTTACTATTAAGCAGTCATTGAATAATACAATGAGTGATAGTTTGAGAATAATTATTAATAATCAGAAGGGGGTTTTGTGGAGATTTAGTATCTGCATAGTCGAAAGCATGAGTCAATTGAATCTAAACCACCAAGGATAACCTGAAATCACTGGACGGCCGTTTTGCCCAGTGCTTCCAGGTTTTCCTCGGTGGTCTAGCTTCAATTGACTCATGCTTCCAATTATTTATAACTAATATGTAAGTGCGACTCAACTATTTTAGTGAGGAGCCCTCAAAAATGAATGTCTTTGAATTTTCGCTGTGTAATTTGACGGTTAATGATGTTACCTATTCCAAAAAAATTTATCATTTCTCAAATATGCATCTGACTTCCAATCAGCTGAAAATTTACATTTGAAATATCCTACTTAATATTCACCAACTGTTTACAATTTTTCCGCATATTTTCTTTTCTAAATGTATAACCAAAAATAAAAGGAAACTGTTCAGAATGCAATTTCAGTATTGTCAAAATATCTTAATAATACACAAATTGTCCAATCAATTCTACCACAGCTCAAAGAAATATATAATCGTAAAACATCAAATCCCAAGGTAAGGTAAACTGTAAAAAAGGTGAAACATTTTTATTCGAATAAAGAATAAAACAAAACATGTTCAACAATTAACAGTTAAATCGTAAAGATTTTTTTTATTTTTTATGTTGATTAGGGCTTACTGGCACTGACATTGTCCAACCATTATGAAATTGTTATCTAAAAATTAAGATTTCATGTTTAAAAAAATAGCCCATCTATTATCGGATTGTTAAAATTAATAGCTATGTACATTGAAACATCACTGACACAAAAAACCCGGATAAAACTGAACCAAAGAACAATTTCTTAACTGGATCTACTTGGAAATTTTAGAGATTTTCAAGTCAATGATCTAAATACAAAAATTTTACCTAGATGTAAATCACCAAAATTAATTTAGCAAATTATTTAAAAAATCAATAAGAAAAGAAGATTGGATACTAAATGAATACAAGTTATTGTTCTCAAACAAGCTTCAGCCAATCAAATGAGTAAATTATTATTCAAGTTTCAGATTAAACAATGAAGTATTCTCATATAATATCACTGAATATCTTCTAGTTATTAAATTACTTAAACAGTTTTTTTCAGGTTTCCATATAAAGCCTTCAACAGATTTGGCAGATAAATCAGCATCTAAGTCAAATAGAATTATGATTTTTACTGATAATTTTAAGATTAGTTTCTCAAAGTCTAAAGATTTACCAACAGCCAAACACAAGAAAGATAAAATCAAATGGCAACCATGATGAAGAAATCAGACTGACTAAAAATGAGGTATATCTAATTCCCAACATTCACGTTTGATTCTATTTACGGAACAGTCACACCATTTTAGCGATAGTTTTTTGGAGAATAATCACTCGATCTTTATCGGTTCAAAATTATATATTACTTGAAAACCAACAAGAATTCACGTTTTTTCATACTTCCATGCATGAAGTTCATGGGCTGAAAATTCTTTTAAACTTCAGAAAGTAATAAACTATATCAGAAGGGGTTTTGTGGAGATTTTAGTAATTTTATAGGGTTGAGATCATGAGTCAATTGAAGCTAGACCACCATGGAAAACCTGGAAGCACTGGAGTCCCATAATAGGACGAAACGGCCGTCCAGTGCTTCCAGGTTTTCCATGGTGATCTAGCTTCAATTGACTCATGATCTCAACTCTATAATAAACTATATGTTGTGGCATAAATAGCAGAGCCTAGTTATTTATAATTATCTTCTCACAACTTTCAAATAAAACTCTTTCAGTTCAATCAAATATTTAAACGAACGTTATTCATTTTGAATAAAACAACCAGGTTTACATTATAAAGTGAATTGGTTCTATTTTGAAGTTCTTTATTAATATCAAGCTACCTAAAATTACAGAGTTGTGTGTTTAGAAAAATCATTTTAATATACTTTGTCCTATGATGAAAATATGAATAATCGAAACTGCACAGAAAACCATGAGAAAAGGAAATAGTCAAAATAAAACCGTGAATGTAGTAGACAGAGTTATATTTCCATATATATGAAGAATAATAGTCAAGTAAACTAATTTCAGTGAGGTTATGACTACAAACGAAATCAGGTTTCCTAAATGGTCAACAGGTACAATTGAAATAAAATTGACTTACTGGTTATATAGAATTAAGATAACCTAGGACTGAAATCATCTTATTCCAGTTACCACTACCGTGCAAAGGAAAGGTTTACCACGCATCCCAGAAACATACTACACCGATTGCCTCTTTGAGTAATCAGTGCACAAGTATTATAATATAATAAGAAAATTTAAACTCCCAAATCAGATCTGTAAAAGAAACTTTATCTTTCAAACTTAAAAGGTGAATAACCCAATAGTTCTTATAACATTCTTTTTGCTCTAAAAGGATGTTTCTGGAAACTTACAGAAGATACCAACTAATAAGATGTGTGAAATCTGTCCTATTCACTCTGTTGTCACAAAATACTGAGATTACCATATTCATTGTAACAATATGAAACCTAGTCATTTCCACTTTCTTAATAAATAAATACTGATTTTTAATGTGAATAATTTAGCTACACGGAAGATGAGTCATCAAACATTTTAAAATTATGTTTCTTCTTACGGTTTCTAATATGATATTTATTTCAAATGGCATATTTTTAAATCAGCATTTATTTGTACATTTTCACTGTTCATTTTCCTAGATTCGCATTGCATGTTTAGAATGCCTAGGAAAACTTTTTAAAAAATTAACTTTACCTACACTATGTGATGATGTACTACCATTTATTAGCTCAATTCGAACAGTTGATCGTGAATTAGTTCTTGCTGTTGTAGGTAAGTATCATCAGGATTTTATTGTTTCTAGGCTACAAATCTTCAAGAAATACATATTAGCACAGTCACTAAATTTGAATAAATGGCTTCAAAAGTGAAATTTCTTTTATTACTGACCCTGTTTATAAATTTAGTCTATTTAAATGTAGATTTCTGATGCATAAGATCTTTAAACTAATAGATGTCTGAGCAGTAACATGTATCCTGTTGTTAGATCCTTAATGTTGAATACGTTTGCACGATAGTCCTTAGATATAATGGTCCGATTTATCATCTGTATATTGACCGTGTGCATCTAACAGGAAGCAGTGAACTGTGTTACATGTTCCTTTAAATTAATCAGAAAGATAAATCAGCATTTTTGAGAAGAATAATGAACTTCCAAAGCTTTAACTATATGTCAAGCAGTATAATAGCCAGGGACGTTGCTACTTTAAGTACCACTGAGAATGAAACATGAGTTTTATGTTCCCAGAGATTTCCATTAAACACCTAGATAGTAACTTGGCCTAATAGTTACATGACAAATTTGATTTGTAAAATTCATTTGCTTCTCAGGACGAGACAACGTATTATTAACGACGACACTGTTGATTAAACTTGGTCTTGTCGAGCATTAATTACTTTCCAAGTGCCTCAGTGTGTCTGACTGCCGTGCAGCGTAACACTGGGTTGACTTTCTGTCGCAAAACTAAGAGATTTCCCAATAATATTGATACAATTCACAAGTAAGTCATAAACGATATAAAGATTTGTCCATATTTCTCCCGTTTATTGCTTTCAGCTATCTAACATGTATAGTTTAACTGAGGCAACAATAATAATGGTTTTCTAACTCATGACAGTTCTTTGTATGAAATTATTGCACATGATTATGCATTAATCAAAAGATCACCAGTCAGAAATAACATTTAAGCAACAAGATGTTGATGGCAATAACTTTACTATCACTTTTTAAGTAGACCTAATACATTACGGAATAAACAGAAACGAATGAACTGAAATTTGTGAGGAACTAAACCATTTTCAGAATTTAGATTGGACAATTTGTAGTTGTTAACATAAAACGCCGTTGAACAAACTTATAAAATTCATGGATATACTCGAACTATTGTCAAACAACCAAAAAAGGAAACAACGCAACTAGTAAGTGTGAACACATTATAGTAAATCAGCTAAGAATTTATACAAAACTTTCACGGAACTCTTATGTGAAACATGCACCATTTCAGAGAAATAAAGTGCATACATCTATAGTATACAGTTTCCTCTAAGTGTTCATCAGATATTCGATTACAAGAAGTAAATTGTACGTGCATTGTTTATTTGATATTACAGTTATTGTTGTGTTTTTTTGATAAAATGAAAAGGCGTAAACAATATCACCTGATATATATACATAAGTGTATGTATTTTTTGCATTCTATTCTATATTCAAACACAGATATATGAACGAAGAATATTTTCTTCATGTACAACAATTATATATCCAAATTAATAGTCCAGTGTCTAAGTTTGTAGCATGTGAATTCAGAATTGTTCATAGAATATATGTTGAGACAACTAATACGAAGTGTTCATTTGAATAAGTTCATATGTTAAAAACGTAAAGAGAATTTATTTATTTGTTATATCCCGATAACAATAGTTATAACATATTTGTTCATGCATCTATGTTTTAACATGGTGAGTGTTTTTTGGAGATTTAAATGTTGTGGTCAACAATTCTTCATATGACCATTTTTTTACATTCATTACTTCAGCTTTGAATCGTCGACTCATATCAGACAGAAACAATGAGATTCCATATACTTACATAGCTGGGATGTTATTGCCTTCTATGGTGAACTTTCTGGCATTAAAAACGCTAACTATATCTGATGTGAGTTTCAATTTAATTTGGATTCTTTTTTGGTGTGTAATCCTTTTTGGAGGAATATAAAAAATGTGTGCCAAGTTATTTCATCCCTAAATTTCGAAAAATCCTTGTTATGAATGAAAAAGGATCATTGTTATATTAAATTAAGGATTGAATTTGTGAGCCAATTTACAGATTTTTATTTTTATTTAAATCCTAGCTTCTAATTCTACTTTACTGTTTTGACAGTTCTTGAATAATCAATGGAATCATTTTGGGTAAAACCAAATGACAGAATATATTATACAGACACTGATCTGACTGATAAACATTGAAGTAATATCTGCATCTACTGTATTAGAGTATAAATCTATGTGTAAACAGGCTTTTCATCACAAATAAATGTCCACATTTTAACAGTGATAAACACTAGTTGATAACTGTTTCATCTGTATTGGCCCCTTCACAAGTATTTATGATTATATCTTTTCAACTAATAATAAAATATATTCTATCCAAATACTGATGATCTCTGGTGGTGGGGTCACGGATGCACACTAACGAACTGAACTATGTTAAGATGAAGCAGTTATTCAGTGATTCCTTGCTTTCAGTGGCTGTTTAAATAAGATCAATTGTGATTCTAGCTGTAATATTGATAAGTTTCGGTTACACATGAGGCTAATTGTGAGTTAAGAATACAGTTTGTGGATTTTATATGGACAATTTATTTATACATTTCAAATAACATTCTACTAAATTAGTCAAAATGTTGCAACTTCTTGGAACATCTCCATATACGAATTGGCGAATCCTGAAAAAGAACAACAATAAATTTCATTCTTAGACAAATATCTGCCATTAAACACTAGGTCTATTTTCCTATTATCGTCCAGCTTATCAGACACGTCCCTTCTTCAACTCAGAAGCTTGCTGTGATCCACGGAATTTCATATCAATAAACCCAAATTATGAGTTAATAAAATTTTCATATTATCCACCTTCATAATGGTTACTATTTACTGAGTTGAACAGCTTACACTAAACTAAATCGTAAAACCTATCCAACTAATGTTTCTTATCGTCATGGGAGAATTGCAACTTAATTTGTTAACTTTTCAGCAATTTCCTTGTTTGTCTATTAGAACAGCACAACTTATTTCAGCCTTAACAGTTTTATTTTACTTAGTTAATTAACTAACTAATTTGTTTAATAAGGTGTTAAAATTCTTGCCATTTAGTATGTTATCAGTAAAAATCTTTTTTTAATATATTGGGTAGTATGTCGGAATAACTTTATTTATAGATAGATTCCTGAAAATGGTGAAGATTTGTAGCTCAGGTGGATGATTTAGGTGGACAGGACAAGCTGTCAGTCATATGTAGAGAAATTCTAACACCTCACTTCTACCTGAAGTTTGTGCTAATGACGTTGTTTACAAGAACAATGCGAGCTCTAAGAACAAATCATCCGACTTAGAGAACAAAGCTCCAGCTGAATTGATGATAGCCTATATTTGGATAAACTTCTTACAAAGGATTACCTTCACAGAACAAGAATAACGATGTTTAAAGAATACGGAAACGTTATTATGTTTTACTTGTTTATCCTCAGCTATATATAACCAAATAATTCCGATTAACTAATAGCCCTTAAAATTACTAAATAAATTTTTAAAAATGGATTATGTATTGCCAAATATTAAATTTCTTAAAACGTTCAAGTAAAACTAAATCATTCCAAACGAATGAAAACCCATCCAAATTACAAGATCTAGATAAATAAGGAACCTGTGTTTTAGATTCGTCCGCTATTCAGAATAACATATTGTACTGTTTTTGAAACTGTCATTATTCTTAATGAACATAACCATAATCATAGATTATAGTTATGATAAACAAGATATTTGGTACTAGTGGTTTGGTACTTTAACAAGGCCCAATCTAAAATTTAAGAAAATTTAGAATTTAGCTTCAGATATACTTTTATTACCTTACATTAATTACCATTGTTTTGTCTCATTATTAATATAAAATAATAACTGATTCAGTACTTTGATTTTATACACAGTTCCGAGCTGTAATTAATTTAACTCGAACAATGCTAGATCTCATAGATCGACAGCGTTCAGTTGAATTAAGATCACAAACTGGGTCGAAATCGGTTGGTGGAAGCTGTTCTGATATGAGGTTAGTAGTACATTTTTATAAAAGCGTTTAGGGAACAACATTATCGTCAGTATTATGCTCTTATGATCATGAGTACAGCATATGACTACACAGAATTTCAAATTGAAAATTCACTCTACGCTTTTGATTGATCAATTTGTCACCATTTTATCAAAATATCAATAATTAATGTAGTTCACAATTTAAACTATTCGAGCAATAGCAGATAAGAAACAGTAAAGAAGACAATTTAAATATATATTTATTTACTACCTATGAGTAGTTTACAGTTCATGATAAAATTTATTTGACTTTTATATGTAAATCGATCAGCTCATTTGTTTTTCAGGGTTCAACGACTAACAGCATAGCATAATTTGTAAATCATTCTAAGTGATTTCATTTATTAGACAAAACAAATGATCATTGATCCCAGTGAATGAGGAATCCCAAACTAGAATATATCAGCTGTATGTTGCTCCTTGGTTTTCACAAGCTGATATCACAGAACCTATCTTAAAATACCGTCATTCCTTAGAAGTTAATATTTGTTTGGTTGTGTTATTATTCCACAGGTCTTACGCATGTGTCCACATTTTTTATTCTACTTTTTCGAATTTCTGCTATTCAGGTTTGTTTTCCTTCTAATCTTAATTACTATTTACTCCTTGAAATATTGAATACTAAGTTTTCTACCATTTGTTTTCCCTGCTCTAACAGTTCATCATTTGGTGCACCTCGAAATCTTCCGTTAATTGCTATGCAACGTCCAACTATAGATTCTGAATTATTATACGTTGATATGGAGGATTCAAAGCTTTCAAGGTCAAGTCTAGGTGAGAATTACGAATTTACAAAATAATTGTTTGATCACAACATATTTGAGGGTAAACTATAACAATGCTTCAGAGTACAAAATAAATTGTTTCGTTTGTCAGTTTCTTAAAAGAAGTTCACCATGCTCTTCTTAACATATTATAGGTTTATTTGTAAGGTTAATTATCAGGAAAAACTTTTCTCATAAAAGGCAGTTGAAGAATGGATAAACCAAACGAAATAGATATGACGCAACCTAAAGATGTTTGCTACTGTTAACAAATATGACTAGGTTTACTCATTTACAGATTATTACTAGAAAACTATATAGTTAGTAACGAATTTAAATAAAATACACTTAGCTAGATAGTTCGACTCACAAAGATTTATAATACATCTCATTGAAACTATTTGGTTCAAGACGAAAAACTAAGATCCAGAAATAGATTTATTGACCATAAAGGAGGAACATGCTTTTTGCAATTTTATTCCATGTGGTTTTTACTAGTATTGATAAGTACATGACAATTGTAGAATTTTCACAGTTTAATGGAAGAACTGATCCTGGTTAAACCTCATTTAGAACTAGGAAGCACTAGACAAGCGTTTTGTCGTAGTACGGGACTCTTTAGTAACACTCATGCATGACCCTACCACATGGAATCTGACTATGCACATTCAACTTCTCGCGTGAGTGCCTAACCTTCAAATCACTGAGCCAGCATCCAATGATGCCTAGTTAACTTGATTCGTGATATTGTGTGATCATCTTCCATGACGTAGCATAACAAGACTTGAACATATTACCCACCAAATGACTTACAAGCACACAGAAAAACCTATGCCATATCTTATTGTGAATAAACACTTATTTATTATATTTTAGGTTTGTTGCCGTACATGTCTTAAATAATTTTGGTTCCTATTACTTCCTTGGAGAATCTACAACCAGACTGTCAAGCAAAATGTCGAGCTATTTAATTTCAGTCGTTGAAATTTTTCTCTCATGACTATGACTTTAAATTGTACCTGTTTACATATCAACATTTAAACTAATACTACATTTTTAGACCCGTTTTTAATGATTTCCAGAAAACTTAACACTCGGGCTAAATAGAATCTACCCGTGATTACATTTGTTTAATCTAACGTTGGATTTATATAGGACTGTATTCTTACACGAGCTAAACAACTGCGTTACTACTTTTGTATAATAGTTTTATCAAAACTCCAAAATGAACGGTATTTAAGCTCCTCTAATAAATACATTGTGTAATACGTAAACAAAAAATAATCTTTATAAAGTAACATCAAGACTCGATTCCCAAATATTGCAAACGTTTTTAATAGAAATGGCTTAATAAATATCAATGTAACCCACTTAGCTTTGTAGACAATAAACCCTCTAAAATTAATTTTTTGGATAAAAAATTTAATTTTAACCACACTGGAAAAGTTTACAGAACTAAACAGGTAGTATATTACTTCCCAGTATACTGTGAAATCGCGTCTTAAAGAAATATACTTTAGACTTGAAACAATATAAATTTTCACATACGTAAGAAACCGGTGACCACATTATCCATCTACAAAGTTAGTGTTTGAAAGGTTATTCAGTCACCTGAAGCAAACAAGATCCTATCCAATATTTAATTGTTTTATTACATCTCACAGATTATCGTCGAAGTTCTGGCAGTGAAGTCACTGGAACTAATCGATGGAGCAGAAATAGCTTGTTAATTCAAAGGTTACAGGCATCAAAACATAGATCAGAAAGCCTATTGTTCAATACAAAGCACAGAAACTGTAAGTTTCACTAAAGCATTCATATATATATATATATATAATTTAAAAAATTGACAGCAACCATATACTTTTGTTCGTGAAACCTGATTTACTTCACATCTGTAAATAGTCCACATAATTTGGTAGATAGAACTAGTTTACCCCAAAACATAGTTGATAGTTTCGGGTGTTTTTTGCCTCTCATTATAATAATTAGCTAGTTTGGTTTTATGGTGTACTCATTTAATCGCTAGTTCTGAAACCTGAAGACCTCATAGTTAAGATCGAAGTTTACCTTTTCCCTACATTATACATAATAAAATCCTTAATGACTATAGGTTTTCGTTAAATTTCTAAAGGTTTAAGCGAAATATTGAGTTATTTAATTTCAATCGTTGAAATGTTGCTCAACGGCCTATGATAAAAATATGTTAGACAAAAATAAATCGTAACCAGTCGCTAGGTTAATTATTGCGAAACTCTAAAACTGATTAAATTCAATCATAAACTATTGATATGAATTGAGTGAGGAAATTAACAATATTCACTAAAACGTTTTAATTTAACGATTAAACGAGAAGTTGGTGAAGCATGAAAATTAGTGTTCGGCATACAGAATGATAAGTGTATAATTACTTTCTGAAATCATTTAATTGAGAAGTATTTTCTAGTCAGAATGTACTTTAAAATAAAAACGAAACAAATTGTTTGAATGCTTATGCTTAAAAGTATCCGACAGTTACCTTAATAAATGGATGTGCTGATTTTTTTAATTAATTAAATTTATTCATTCTGACTATTAGTTGTTAAGATACCGAAAGAAAGGATCTTTTAATATGAAATAGTTCCATTCACTTCCTATTGAACCGATTGATTCTACTTTGTAATTATTATAAAACCAGTAAAATACAATATATTTGTCAAAAATCTTTCTGTGGTCATTTTTACCGTTAGCCATTGGTGATCATAGATTTTGGAATGAAAGTGCAAGTAATCCGAATTTTAATTATCATGGACATTCGAGTACAAATTCTCGTATAGGACCAAGTCCATTTTATAATTCAAGTCCAACTTGTGAAGATTTATATAAAATGAGAAGATATTCTGGAAATATTTTAACTCGATCAACAGATAATCAAGTGAATGTATATGTTAGTAAACTCAGTTTTTAAAGAAAAAAATATTTCCCTAGAGAAATTTAAAGTTTAGTATTAAATGGAATTTTTTTAATTTTAATTATTACTAATAAACCTTTTATTCTTAGAAAAAAAGAATTTTACGATGGGTATAACAAAATGCCTAAGAAGGAACTGATTCCACTTTAAGTAAAGTATTAAGATAACAGTATTTAACCACTTCAGATAAAAAAGAGCAGTCGAATGGGTAGTTCTTAATTCTTTTCACAAGCTTATGTATATATATTTACTTGATATGAAGATAAACGCAGTATCATGTTGCAAGATGTACACTATATTTTGATAAATTGGATCAATTTCGCTAACCAGTATATGCATAATATCAGAATCCAGTTTTGCTGATAAACATTCACTGAAAAACCTAATAATTAACTCCAAATAAAATGACTCAGTGACGATATGTTAAAAGAGGTGTTGGTGAAGTTTCCTACAATATAATACGTATTGTCGTAGCAAATATTCAACACCAAGATGTTGAATAGACAATCAGAAATAAAAAAATAAACACACCAACAACTGAACAGTATTATAAACACTTGTTTGGTAGTCATGTTTGTTTGATGATTAATATATTTGCTTAATAACCACAAATCGTTTGGGAATTTACGAATTTTAGTCAACTTTGCTTACTTTCTACACATACGAAAGTATGAAACATTTTCTTAATTTGTATTAACTATATGTCTAACCATTAGGTACCTGGTTTATAATAAGATCAAAACTTATGGGATTTACACAACCCATCATTAAATATAACAAGTTTTGTAAAACTATATTTAGCAATGACTAATGAGAAGCATAAATAATTGTTTCGTCATTTAGCGATTTAGAAACTTCTGTGGTACATATTAGTTTCCAGTTTACACTGCTAATAAATTAAACATTGAAGTAAACCAATTAAACAGGTTCTTTCAAATTTTAACGACCCACTAGTAGGTGTTTTTTTATGTGAAAAATCAGCTTCATAGTTCTGAAAGTATGCCGCCAAGTGTCGTTATACAACCGACTAGTTTTTGCAGCTATTCGCTAACCATGGGGACACTGGTTAAATTTACAGTCAACCAATAAAATCAAACAATAGCAATGTGTTTTAAAATCACAAGTTTATTTTTGTCAAAATTCAGAAAGATTTATGATCATACTCTCCTGAAAACGATCAAAAAAGAACTATTAGGCAAGAAACTAAAATGTAAACACCTAGATAATAATATGGCCATTTTCTTTGTCAAATGAGCGATATGTGACTCTATGTCACACATAATTCATTCGAAATTTTACTGTAAAATTGTGATTGTCAACTGGTAAAGAGATAGAATATGTTCTGTTCCTAAATCAAATGAACAAATAATGTAATTTTAATTTTCTTGCTTCTTTTATTTCAAAGGATAATTTAGGTTCCTTAAATGTTCCAAGATACAATAATGGTTTTCTAGACCCTAGAAGACATAGTTATGGTTTTACACCTAGCACATCGACTAAATCTTTAATTACAGTCAATGTATGCGAAGGTCCTTTCGTTACTCCGCTCAGTTATCGTGGTTCAATACGTCGAAATTCTGGTTGGAGCTGTGGTCAATTTCCAACTTCTCAAGTATATTTAACTATTTCTTTAATTCATCAATATGATCTTTTTTTTATGATAAGTACGTATGTATTTTGTCTGTTATCTAAAAGTATAGGCTAAAAAAAATCAAAACAAATTTTAAAGATTTTAACACAACGTACATTATTGTAGTGAACGAGAACATCTTAGTAAAATCTGAGAACGATACAGTAAATACTTCATTTGTAAAATATTAGTTAATCGTCTCAGACTTTATTGTTACATCGTTTCCACAGCAATTATTCTCTGTTCTCGTTCTCTTTTCTTTGACCTTTCACTTTCGATTGATGATACATACTACTTATATCTATCGACATCAATGGCACACGCCACATTAGTACCAGTGAAGTTAATACAAAAAATACTGTAAGAGAACTCCGACTGTATAAAATCAATTACAATTTCTACTGCCCGTTTCCTTAAATCTGACAATCCACCTGAAAATACTCTATTACTAAAACCCAAAGAGACTTCTAGCTTACAGCGAAATAGAAAATTAGGTATAATTACTACAGCACTTTCGACAGATTCCATTACTTCTTTAAAGGGGGGATAAATGTCCTTGAGGATACAAAGATGGTTAAGCGATATTTCCAACGAATATACTATTTAGCTTACTAACTGTTGACTTAAAACCACAAACGAAACTGATTAAATAATGAAAAACTAAGTGGAAATTTAGTTTCCCAATAACGGCTTAAATGAAGCAACCAGTGAGAAATGGATTTCATGGAAAAATATGGGTTTCGTCATAAAAACTTTTATACTTAATATACCTAATCCGATTTTATAGCTCAGAAATCATTTCAGGAATCGGAAAAATCCTTTTAGTGGATTTTGTTTGGTCAGATTATTTTCATCAGTAGGAATTTTCATTGAATCAAATCAAAGATTAACTTAGATCAGATGGAATACTACTGAACACAAGGGAGCATAAGACAGTTGTTTTAATATAACTCTTCACTCCTTTGCAGAACACATCACCTCTTTAAATGAGATTAAATTCAGTCAAATTAAATAAAGCTAATAACTTCATACTACCAATGAAAAAAGATATAAAAACTGTCATTGTATTTTAAATAAGCATTCATCAAATTTGAGTGAATAGCTTGATAGAAACTGGACGCCGAGTATACAGAAAAAATCAAATATAAAAATTCTGATTAAAGTAATATCAGAGATTTTAATTTAAGTAATTCCACAGTTCCTCCTTGCAAACTAGTCACAGCGTTTTCAGGAAGGTAGCCAAAATCAGCATAATCAAAGAATTTCTGAGGTTTAATAACAAAACTATACTAAAACTTTGTCCAATCATGTTCATTTTATTTGAGCAAGGTCATAAGGCAGTCTGATGTTCTACTAGTTCGTCGTGTGAAAAATACGAGAACGTGTATGCGTATCTGTATGATATTATCACCAGAAAATAGTGAGAAAACGATGCCTGTGGCTATGACCAAGGACAAAGAAAACATTTTTGTTTATTATAAACCTAATAGTACATATGAGTAAAAATATAAACTCATAGAAATATGTGTCTAATGAAATCATTTACTTAGTTTCTGGGTTAATCTTTAATATAATCCAAACATAATTTCCACCTAAGAATCCGATGTTATTGATACTAAGTTGGAAGTAGTGGATATAAATGTTCATGTGTTCATTTGTCAAGTAACAATTACTATAAAGTACCTAACTGTAAGCTTTGGAACGTAAAAATTTAGTATTTTTTATAATACACATCTAAAAACGCTATGACTGTACACCAAGTCTCTCAAAATGATGATATTGTGTTAGTAAGCTCGTAATGAATGTGGAAAGGACTTAAACAGAATAAGCACTTTAACTTTTCATTCACCTCAGTTGATTTCACCGTTCCATATACTATTCAGGTCATTCAACATGTTGCAACTTCTCCAAAATTATGGAAGTGAATATAGCCATGTAGATTTCTGTGGTTGTATATAATTACCATGAAACAGACTGCTACACGCAAAGCGTTTGGTAGGTTGTAATGATTGATGATATGATTTATACATCAGTTAACTATTTCTGTAAAAGTTAAGCGTATACAGTATACATACCACGGTAATTTCCATTACATTACAACAATAACCAACAAATTTTTATCTCAACTTTTCTCTTGTGGATACATTAAAATGAGCAACGGGTTCTTCATAAACGTAAAAGATTTGTCCATAGATTTTTACAATTATACGACAGTCAGGTGGTAAGTGTTCAATAATGTCGACCGTAATATTACGAGAAGACTATATGAATAAAGTAATAATTTGAAGATAAATACATTAATCAAATAAATATTATGTGAAGGTAATAAACATAAAATCAATTATTATTAAAAACCTGAAAGCACTGGATGAAAGTTTCGTCCTAATATGGGGCTCCTCAGCAATGAGCATTCACGATCCCGCACGCAGGATCCGAGCCCAGGTTCTCAATGGCGGTCTAACATTCATCGAATCATGATCTTTATCAAAAGCTCGACAATCTCTACAACCCCACACTGATTATTATCAAAAACTAAGTATCACCAACATTCTCCGAGTATAAGACTAAAATTTAGGTTGTACTAACAATGAAACAAATGATTCTATAAAAAATGTTATAAAAAGATACTTACTAGACAAATAAACTTATGTAGATTAGTTTGACTAAATAATTAATATATCAAGTCAGTTTATTAATCAGTGTATTCATGACTTTACAACGAAACACTTTAGAAATAGCCTTCCACAATATAAATATACATAAATTTCAAAAATCCAAACTTCGGATTTAAACAGTAGGATATTCTAGTGAATTTGCCCAAAAATAATCGTTTTGTGCACGAACAAGCTACTGTCGTAAGTATTGTAATCTATAGAATAGCTAATACTCCACCAAAACAGGAAACCAGACAAAGACCAATAGTTTTAAATCATCGCATTAAAAATTGTTTGCCATTGTGTAAAAATATCACACTTTAATGTACATAAAATGACAATCTATTGAAACACTCATTTTGTACAAGCTGTCAAAACTAACAGAATTTTATAGCTGTATGGTTTCTAACCAAAACATTTCTGCATTTCTCTAATTTGCTGCCTGAAGACAAAACATACAATAACAGAATGCTACACTCGTCCTAAGTAATTTCACAGTTATTAGAATACTTGATCGTTAATAAAATAGTCTAAATACTGAGTGCTCTTCAAGATTATTCTGTACAACCAGACAATATTAGCATTCCCATAAAAACCAGCAACTTAGAACATAAGCCTGTACTTAGAAAATGAGTTACATTAATTTTCATACATTTCTAAGTGGATTACACAAGTTTTAACAGCAATATTGTTAATCAAATTATAAGCTGACTTTAAAAAGTATATGTCCAGCTTTTTAAAAAGGGTTAATATGGTAATCAAATAAATTTTGATAAACATATATCCTATTTTTTTCTCTAACAATTTTGGGTCGCAAATAGTCACTTCTCTACGTAGTTACAACAAAAATTGAAAATTACACAGTAAAATACAATTAGTACTCCATACATACATATATATGTATATTTTTATTCTGAAAATCAGGTCATGAAACCCACTGATGAAGATATTCAAAGACGTTGCAGCTTGAATGCTATAGGTGATCTGCTGGTGAGCTGATTAAGTGAAACAAAATTAATTTACTACTAACATTTATAGTTTAGTAATAAAAAGAAATACATAAAGTCATCATAAAATGCGCACCTAAAGTAATATCTGTATACAATGTTGTAAATTTTAGTTACTGTACATATATATATATATATATATATATATATATATATATATATATATATATATATATATATATATATATATATATATATATATATACTATTCCTTCTTATTGATTTCGGGCATTTTCATTTTCCCAACGAGTTGTCTAATATATGTTTTGCAATCATTATTCTTTCACACTCTTTTTCAGTTTAGCATGGTTTGTTTAACTGAAATAATAATCGTTTGTGTATGTTATGCATTTGTGAGACAAGTCAATGAAAATCCATTTGTTTACATTAATTTTTTTTGCGATTCCATTTTACAAGCACAAAAACATCGTAATGTTAAGGAACAAAACAAAAACCCATAATAAATCCAGAGCATTAGTTCACTGAACTTAGCCAACTGAATCTAAATTCACTAGTTCACGTATTCAAATTCATTGAATTTAATGGAACGAGTGAGTTTCCGTCTCACTGTCAACTTGATTGACTAAACCAGTTGTAGCTTCATTATTAAACCTTCAAAAATCTATCTAATGAGCAAAATTATTTATTGATTCTTCAAAAAAGACATATATTTTGTGTTCATTAAACTACATATTCAAATTATTAGTTTGTCTCTATATGCACACAGATATTATTCCTAGCACAGTTTAAGAATAGACCATATAATATTCCTAAATAGATTTGTAGTATGAGTTTTTAAGTATCTTTGCAAAGGGTTGACTTGGTAATTTAAAATAAAGTGATCTTTGGGTGGACTGTTGCAAATAAAAATAATATATTTGTAATATCCCGAACAGTACAAAAATTAGACTTTCTGGCACTTCATGACTCAGTGTAAGCCACTTTCTTAAGAGAATGAATGAACAAATTAAGTTAACCCAAGTCTAAATAGTACGAAGGAACAAATAAAAAACATTTAGTACCATCGACCAAAAATCAGGTCCGACCTAGTCAATGTCACGTCACTCCGGTCGAGACAAATTATGTGAGTATGAACAGTTTCTTGATTAATTTTCTAAATAGTTTATTAGCATTTTTAAAGAAAACAGTATTAATTTTTGTACTGATTAGTTAAATTCATTTTTTTGTTAACTTGTAAGATGTACTTCATCAGAACTATATTCGATGCCATAACTTATTTGCTAGTTAAGTTAAGAAATAAATCCTGGAAGATCAAACATATTGAGATAATCAACATTCAACATAAACTATCAGTTAGTTTCATTGTAATACAATAGGTTATAATTGATAAAATTTAACTGATACAGTTGATCGTATTCATCATTGCGTTGACGCAATCAAGTAATAAATGAGGTTAATACTAATGAAGTAAATATGAAGTTGTTTGATGTGCATATTTATAAACAGTTCAGCGATGATTCTTAGCTCAATAATTTAACACATAGGTAAAAGAGTACATAAATCTTCCAAAGAACACAGTTGGGATTTTCAGTCTACTGTTGTGCTTTGAGATTTTAGAAGTCCCATTTTTCCTACTAAAAAGTAATGACTTTCGAAACCTACAGTACCACCTTAGTGTGAGTTAGTGGTTAGCACATATGTACATTTGACGTAATACCAAATCAATTCCTACTTATTACACTAGGCAAAGCCAGACCGTAAAAACTGTTTATTACTTGCTTTGCATTATTAGTTAACAGTCAAACTAAATATTAAAGTTTAAAAGCGTCCCATACACTACTCCTTACTTTAAATAGGTAATCAGACTTCAATGTTAAATTATGACGTCGTTTCATCTCTATTGAACAATTCTGAGTACTTATTTTTTCTTACATTTTGTTTTTAAATTCTAACTAGGTATCAACATTCAAAAAAGTTTTGTGAAATATTTACTAAATTAAAAGAAGACGCTTTTTATGAAATTATAGTGAATAGTATTGTGATTATTATTATTACTATTTTATTATCAGATTTATGTTTATGTTCGTTACTTTGATGTGTATTCAACTTCACTTTTAACTCCGTATTAACTAGATATGTAAAAAAATTGATTCGATGTTTAATACTCTTACAATGAAGTTTCTTTTATTGTCTATTTATAAACTGTAAAAATTTGAATTTAATGACTGGAAAGAAATAATGTTCCATAAAACATATTTTTCTTTAAAAAGTTCGCGATTAAACTTTTCAAATATTCTTAAACATTCAAAAATGTTCCATTTAAATTTTGGAAAAAAAATAAATTTATGTGAGACAAATACTTGGTTTTTAAGTAACACATCTTTATATGAATACTTGTATGAATGAAAGCTGTTTGGTATTTAGATAGTCTGAAAGAAAATTGAAAAATTTAAGGATTTTGAGCTATACAGTTGTTAATGTATAACTTGAATGTTCAAATCCTGATTCGTATACTTCAGCCAAAGCATCAGAATAATTTGTTTAATTACACTAAAACAGAGAAATGTGCCGGGTTACGATAGATTTTCTAACCAAATAAAATAAGCCTGAGTTCTATAGCCGCATATCGGACGACCGTTATTAATATCATTATCATGAAGAAGAATAAAAAGAAGAAATCTAACCATACGGAAATGACTTCCATCATATAATTCATTCATTTTTGTGTCTCAACTTATTTATTGCAAACAGGCAAAGATAATGTACATAAATGAGCGTAGATCTGCTTCTAGATTTATAGGAATTTCATATGAATGAAAGAACACTATTGATATTATTTGGATTTATATAATATAACAAATATAACCACAATGATACATAAAATAGACGAATAAGTGTTACACTTCGCATCAACTTACACAATAACTTGTGTCAATTTATGATAACGATTGTAAATTTCAATTATTGTTTATTACATCCCAAAGCTGCTTCAACTTCATAACAAACCAGCAAGCACCGGATAGTTGTTTTGCTATAACTCGATTCACTTTATTAGTAAACATACACGATTCCGCATAGTTCATTGGACCCACGCTCTCTGGGAGAGTGTGGAAGCTTCCTATCACCAACCCGGAATCTAGTGTCCACACTTTTGAAAATCAAACAACTTGTGACCTTAAGCTAAATTAATCATTGACTGCCTCATTATCAACTTTCTTGACACAAATGGTCAAACATTAGATTAGGATTGCGGGGAATTTAAAGTAGTTATTGTTTCTATACGTAGTATTTTCCCAACTGTGAATAGTATAACTCTGAGATGACCGGTGTTGACCAAATATTTGAAAATACGCTTGTACTATTAGTTTTTGTCAAATGTGCATTAGCACATTGTGAAGAGCAGACTACAATGAGTGAATTACGAAACAAGAAATCCAGCTTTCTCTCGTATCTTTGAAAGGATATGATTTGAAATCATAATATAAATAGGTCACTTTAAGAATTACGTAACACAAGCACAATTTATTCTCTTCTGACAGTTGAGGGATGTAAGGATTACTTCTGTATTAATAATAAACCAAAATTGCCATTGCAGATGACTAGAACTATGGTACCACTTCGAATACTGCACACATACCAAAGGCTAACAATAAACACATCCTTGACGAGAGAAACATGCCTAATTTAAAAAAAAGGCAACGAAATAAAGTGATCACTTCATTTTGCTTACCGAGATTTGTAAGCCAGAATTAGTTGATAATGCGATTGCTCTGAATTATGAATAACATTCTAAGATTTTAACTTGTGAATGTTAAGATTTAAGTTGCTTCAAGGAATACCTCTCCAGTCAGAATTCCAGTGTTGATGAACTTGCAAATTGATTTTCTCATACATGTATTCAATTCAACATCTTAATTGCACATTCATCGTCTTTATTTATATGGTTTTTTAACTTGTCATAATTGCCAAAATTAGTGTGACACATTTCTCCTAGTTCGGATTAATTTTATATGACTGGATTAAGTCCTATCACATTTTGTTCAGTATTCAGAACACAAATGACGTGAAATCTACCATTTAAATTTACAACACGGACTTAAACATGATTTGATAAGGTTGCCCTAATATACTGTGTGCCATAACAGTGTATAATAATGAATACCTGTAGAGATTGTAAAAGTCATTAGCGCAAATATTCCTAGTTTTTTGAATTTGTTATGGGGGTTCTAAATTATAACAAATTTATCTACGTTCAGCAAATTCTAATGAGAGGAATTATACTACTTTATTTATTAATTTTGATCTTACACGAATAGCTACCAGAAATTAATCCATGTTCAAACCCTATAAGAGATTCCTAATCCTTAACTGACAAACTGAAGGTAGATTCATGAATCGTTTAGAATAAATATAATAAAAAAAGTATACACAATTTCCCGACATTTGCTTTATTGGTTTTTTTTAAGAATAATAGATTTATGAGATACTCTTAACTTTGGTACATATAGAATTATCAGGATAAATTGCGCATTATTATAGCAAGTATCTACTTAGCATATATTCAAACTTCAATCATTCGAAATATATCCTGAAAATGCTTTTAATAGTCAGTATCTTCCACTAGTATCAATCATCAGTTTTCTACCAGTTCATCTGCTATATCTATTTTCATTCATAGAAAGTATTACTAAAGTAATCTGGTCTTAATACTGTTAAATTATAAGGTAGCTTTTTCAAGAAGCTAGAATGTTATTCTCACGTAAAGGTTTGGCTTTAGGTGTCTTTCAATGAACAAGGGAGAGTAAACATCTTCGGTGAGAATTCGCCACATCTCGTCCATTGTGTCCTCGATATGTATTCCTCTGATACTAAAGCTATAGTGCATGGTTAAACTTCCTCTCTTCAGTATCAAAAGAGTTCAACTCTGGAACCTTTTATATGCCGATCTTTGTAGAGAACCATTAAGTCTTCGTCTTAGCATCGACATCATAGAAATAAATGAATGCAATAATGAACTTAAGTCAAGATAAAACTTTCATATTGATCGTTACCTACTCCAGTAGTCCAATTTGTTTTCCATGTGTTTTCAAATATATAATTAGGTTTTTTTATACCCCAAGTGGAAAATTATGATCCTTTTTAATTGCATGATTCGGTTCAAGACAAAACAAAAGTTTGATTTGTTAGTTGTATTACGAATGAGAAACGTGATTAATTTGAAGACAACTGCGATACCATATACACCAGCGCTACTCGCTGTTACATCCTTTACTTGATTACGGTAGAATAAGGTATACAACTGCCAGTACTTGGACGTGTAGAACCCCACAGTCGCAAATCAGAAGACAAGAAGCAGGTGAAGTGACCATTGTGTAAAAATCAAAATTGTACAGAAAAACATGTGTATCTATAATTATCAGCGTTGGCTATAACATTATCATAATTCAGCTAATCCACATGGAGGTAGGTTATGCTATCATCCAATAATAGCATGTTACGTTGATATTCTAGAAAGCTTTGTCAAGCACTGATTGGACGGAAACACTTCGGCTTCTTTAGAGCCCCAGGAGGCCTCGTGATGCTTCTTGAAGCCGTCTCAACAAACGCCTCTACTTCCCTAGTCACTACAAATGAATAAACTTCTTAAGATTTGTTGGAAAAGACTAAAACAGATTCAGTTTACATTCAAGCTAATTCGGTGATTATTAACTACCAAGATTTGTCAATCTAGTGACTGTTATTGAACATAAAATCATAGTGAAATAACCAATACAAGAGAAATGTGTTGAAAAAAAGTAACTAAAAACAACTGATAAACACAGAACTGATGAATAATGATTATAAGGATGCATCGTAACTGACTGAATGAAAATAAACTTAAATCAATATGAGGACTAGAAATTGATCTTCGTTCTCACGTGATGTATTTGGGATCATTATCACCAACGGGTTGGACAAACAACTTTAATCAATGTACAATGATATTGAACCCACCCATCATGAGGGTTGATTTACATAAAATTAAAAGTATTCTGTGTATTTCTAAGTTAATTTAATACAATAATTTGAAAAATGTATACTTTAGTATTGAATTTTATATAATTGTATGGATGACGCCAAGACGCCATATACGTTATCTGATATGATAGTTCAAAAGTAGTCATTTATTCTTTCAACTGAAAAATAAGAGTTCAAGAGAAAAATTAACCCTGAAATGTAGATGGGTCTATCTGACGAGTCTCAATAAGGACGAAAGGTGTTTCCTTCATTCCACTATTAGCTACAATCCAAATACACTTTATGTTTTCAAGTGTTTCAGAAAAATTTTCTCATTGGATATAACTGAACCGTTAATAGACTTTTCCCATAAAATATATTTCTAGTTGCTGACAACGCGTAATATCACCTAAGAATCGCTTCATAAATTAATTGAGATGTTTATTATTCAATAAACATATAAAGGGAATACATTTTTTAGTACAAACCAGTTCAGAATAAAATTCCCACTAGGAACTGACATTATCCGAAAAAAACGGAGCATCGAACACTTGAGTATTGTCGCCTGTGGTCACTCACACCATTGAACCCATAACTGTCAAGTGCCGCGACGAGGATAATGATACTAACCGATTAAATCCCAACCCAACGGTCTGTATTTCAAACGTCGTGAATCCATGAGACAGACTGTGATTCTGTTCATCGTGAGAATGAGACAACTAGATGAACATCAATTAAAGTGCGTGGTCTGCCCAACATTCCGAATGGTGCCATGAGTGTATATATGAAGATTGTAAGACATACTTCTATCAAAATCAAAGTATAGAACCACTATTCTTAACGAGATTTGGGTTAGTCACATCTAAATGTAGACACCAAATAACTGTTTACTTGCTCCGGAACTGAAAGTGATAACAACACACGGTATGAGTACTGTAAGATTATAAAGGCTTTGTTTGACAGCGCTGACATTATGTATGTAGTCCCTGGCTTACTTGTCACACATCTCCATCACCCATATTTACTGTTATAGATTGTCTAATACTGAGATGTTTTGCTTTAGTTATTCATTGATCAAATGACGTTTTGCAGAGTTCAAAATACGTACAGAGTTGATTTGGTGAATAACGTCATCTAGTGTTAATGATAACATAATCGAGTAACTAATTTAAACTGTATATACCTGACTTATAGTTGTGGTAAAACCAAAGACCATACCATGACTACTTGGCTTATAGCTAACAATCAGTGTGTACCGTCTACATTCGTTATATATTTAGTTCATTAATTCTATATATATGAATCGATTAAAGCTAGACCATCACGGCAAACCTGGAAGCATTAGACAACCGTTTCGTCATAGTGTGGGACTCCTCAGCGGTGCGCATACACGGTCTTGCACGCAGTACTTCCAGTCTTGCAGGCGAACGCTTAACCTTTAGACCACTGAACCGGCATCCAACAGTGTTAATGTCTAACTCCAACCAATCCATGATAATGCGCAACCGTCCACCATTGTCTTCAGTGAGTAACTGCCTCTACAAGAGACACGGTTGAACTCCCGCGGTACCGAAGGTCCTGGGTTTCAGTCCTGTGTGCGGGATCGTGGGTGCGTACGGCTGAGGAGTCCCATATTAGGATGAAACGTTCATACAGCATTTTTAGGTTTCCCACGGTGATCTAGCTTTAATCGACTCATGAATTCAACTGTTAAAAATTATTACAATGTCCATAAACCCCCATTCTGATAATTCTATATACAACTACTTATTTAAATTTAAAACTAATATAAATAAGCAAGTTCATTAATTCAATGTACATTAATTAGAAATCAATTTGATTTGAATGAGACAAATTTAAATGCTCGAAGATGGTTTCAAATTTTTATTTTTAGTAAAAGATTATCAGTAATAAATTAGGTAAGTAGGTGCGCATACGGCCGTTGTTGATAATGTATGTATTATAATGTATGAACATTTTCATATTTTCTAGGAATTATGTGAATCATATGTAGAACAGATGTCCAGTATTTGGTAGCTTTCAATGATTCTCTATTTGAGAATTTGATATCAGTGCAGCATTCTGATCTTTCTTAAGACAGAAATTTAGAATTACTGACGCAGTTATGCTTTGTGAAGTCGTGTATGTAACGACTGAAGATAGGTATTCACCGGCCATTAAATGATGGTTACGATACACATTTACATTAGAATGTGAAACCACTGTATCCCAATCGATTGGGTGATCAGTTTCTTAACACATTCTACGTTCAGTGCTTCACTTCTGTTCGTTACCCATTGATTCCTAGGAGATTTTCGGTTGAAATTGGTCTATTACTCAAAATGTTTTAAACCGGATATATTCTACCTATGCACTCTAACCGATCTGATGGCCTTTGATTTATTCTCACTTGTGATGAACACTATTTCATGTGTACTAGTTCCACAGTAAATCTATGGTTGTGTAAAACAATGGCTACAAGTAGTCACTTTGCAAAATAAAACTTAGAGACAGTCAGCTAATTCCACACCTCAATAAAAATTGAGTTCGCAAGCTAATAAGGTTACACGTGCAGATTTAAAATAAAACTAGCGATGAGATCAGATAACTGCTTAAAACAATAGAACAATCAACACTTAGCCCAAACACACGTTTCCTAACCTCCGTATAACTAACGTATTGTTATTACTAGACGTTAACCATCTTTCGGAGAATAAGATAATTGAACACAAAAAGCTATCCAACATCTTCAGCTTGGAGAGACCAGGTTCTACAACCACGTGGCGAAAATACTCTCGCTAACACATAGTAGACCTGAACTTTTACAGTATGACCAACATCAAGACGGCACCAATGATGGCCCCGATCCCTATAGACCGCCTTAATTCTTATTATATATAGACTGATCTCATCTGTAGCGTCGCCACCAACACATAAACCTACTCAGATACATGGATTTTTTGAATACTTAGCACGGACCACCATAAAGAATGAGAGTGTACACAGGCTGGTTATAATAAATCATACGCTAACCACAATATTACTTTTCATTTTTTGTGCCAGTCTTTAATTTACACACATGTTAAGAGAAAAAAAACAATTAAGTAATAGAAGTTAGGTATAAAAAGAAAATTCTCTACTTTGAATAGCATATTATGCGTATATATATATATATATATATATATATTGTTGAGTATTCACTGGCCAGAATGCAATGTCCGATTGAAGGCATTATATCCAGAGTCTAAATCAAAAAGCATCTGTCGTACTTCAGCTTCAGATAATTCATCAGATGCTTGCATTTGATCCATTTTGTCTAGCCTAATGAAAGGCAAATAATAAATGGAAACCTATTTTAGGAAACATTTAAAAGACTGCTTTAGTAAAATGTGTACCATGTAATTGAAATTATTTAAGATACTAATTTTGAGTACAGACAAAAGCCTATACATTCAATCATATATATTTCAATCCATTTTTACTCGGAATCACAAACATGTAGTAAACATGTTTTTAAAAGTGTGATGTACCTGTACCTAAATATACAATGGATGAAAATAATCAGGAAACTTGATGAGTAAAATGTTGAAATGAAGATAATTTCAAACAGTAGGTTGATATAGATTTGGTTGACAAGTCGACTGAATAAATGGAAATAACTAAAGGGACTATGGTCAATTAGTTATAATAATCGATTTTTATTCAGAGTAGGTCATGGATTCTAATTCCCCGACAGACAGAAGTAAAAACAGAATCTATGGCTTTTAGACATGTGACTTGCACTTAACATAATAATAGATGTCAGCTATTGTCACTTCCGAATTTCTCAAAATCTGCTAAATTAAACTTACCAAGCTTTAACTCTATCTTTACCCTCAAAATCTGAAGGCAGAATACTCAACCGATAAAGAGTTTCATACAGTTCTCGAAGATCTGGATGGATCTGTAAGAAAACTTATCAATATCAGAATAGTACTACTTCATCCACTGCGCGAATATCTAGTCGCAGCTTATCCATAATCGTAATAAACAACTAGAACAAAAAACAAAATTGAAACAATACAATGTAAATTTCATGATAAACGCTAAGAAAACTAAAGCAATAAATATGACACTTCGTAACTGAAGATTCGGAACAAGAAAGATTATTGTAAGGAAACATATTTGAATATCTAATTCATTCACTGTCCAAATGTTTTTTGTAAGACTGAATATCGAAAATAGGGGTGACTGGTTTAGGTAATTCGTTTTTTTTGTACCTATCAACGCAACAGCTATCCAGATTAAAAGCTGGAACTTCGTGTACGAAAAGAATATGTTCAACCGCTCCTCTGCATCGGTTAACTTCGGGCCCAATAAGTCAAAAGTCGCCTTAATTACGGAATGACTTAATCGGACTAATTTACATGTAACCTCCCCTTTGGTATATTCACAGATTAAATTTACAATATCCAAATATTATTGCTACTATTACTTACATATCTTTTTTATCACCATTTCTATTATTATTACTTTACTGAGATTATTATCCCAGCCCTCACACAAATGGAATGATTTATGTGGCGTATATCCATTTGGTGCCTCCCTGTACCAATGTTCATGTGTTTAAATAAATGAGGGTGACATTATTATTAATTTTGTAAACACAGAGAAGTTAGTTATACTTAGCCCACTCTATAATTTCCTACTCAATTCACAGTACGTAACCTACGACTAAGCATTTGGTCTGATCGGTAGTTATATTACTCCCCTAACTCTATGTTATCTATATTTATTCTGACCTATAAACTGATTCAAGTTAACATTACAAACTAGTTGTTTCAACACTAACAACTTTATTTTATTTTACAATTCTTAATCTGTGTTGCAATTTTAAAAGATTTGTTTGCCTTGGACTTGTTTATCCTCTTTGTAAGATTAATTTGAACATATAATTATAGAATCTGATGAAAATTTATTGGAAAGAAACTCTTGGGTTAGTTCATATAGCAAGACTTTGATAAAAGTGGGAACTTTAAACAATTATAAATAGATATAGAAATCAGTAACTACGTACACTGTCATATTAGATTATGAAACAGACAACCTTATGACACTAGAAGAAATAAAATTTCGGCAATTTATATTGACAAGCTGTTTAGTATATAAACGGGCAACAAAAAAACCATAAAAACCGACAGTATCACATATTAAGTTATCACAACAAAAATTGTTTCTTTCAAACAATGTTTTCACAAAGAACACCATTCAGATTACTTCTTAGGGATAAACCTCAATAAAACACTATCAACATAGTCAATATGAAACCTAACAATAGTTACGTTCCAAATTTATTTACTAATCAAAATTCACTTACGGAAACAGTATCAGCGATACTTTTATTTATGTTCTGTTTATCATCCTTGATGGTTATCGGTCTTCCTTCCTTAATACGCTCTAGAGCTGCTGGACAATCCATCTAAAATGTAAATGAAACAAATTCTTGTAACTGACAAACCTTATATTTTCTCATGAAATCCTCTATAGTAGCAAATTCATCTCCTTGAACTTGTTTAAATGCAGCTTTGTACTGGACAAGAAGCTTTGAACAGGCAGCAGTATATCTAAGTTATTAAGAGCATGATAAAAGCCTATTTATCTCAACTCTTTTGATTCCACATAATCCTTAATATATGCTTTTTGTAAACATTGTATAGTGTTAATAACAGCATAGAGTTCAGCAAGGTTGTCATACCTAAAAAAAACATCTCGATTCCTAAATGGGACTTACTTTTCTCTTTCGCGTGCAGTACGATAAAGTTTTACTTCCTAAATCAGAAATAAAAACAATATGAATACTGACATACTTCATACAATTCGACACGGCCATCCACTAAAAAAGAGGAAATATCTTGTTATTTACTTGCGTCGAAAACACTAAAACCAGTTCTTAATCAAATGAAATGGTGAAAATTATGTTTAAATTGGTGATCAATTTTGGATAACTCATGAAATCAGAACATGTTATATACTGGTCCTCAGTTCAAATGCTGTGCGACTTGTCCCCTGAAAATATAACCTGCTTCAGTTTGTCCGTTCCAGCAGCATCCCACCACAAACAAATCTGACGATAACTAATAAAGAAAATGTCCTACTCGCTCTGTTTTCCTATCCATTCAAACGATATTTATAATCAATTTATTACACACAACTTTATTTTTAACTGTTTCAACTTTCTATCCCGTTTTATTTTAATGGTACATACATTAGCCGACATAAATTTTGTTCTCAGACGCACTCAGAAGTACATTCTTGTTTAACTTTGTTCTACCTAACCGGTCTCAAGTCGTTAAATGATAGATCTTTTTAATGTTGTCATCGAATACAATAACTGATACAGATTTTCTGGAGCCATGCGTCTTATTTGATACTGCCGATCCCAACATACACACTATGATATAGATCCGGGGACTCAAAGGAACTGGCGCGTCAGTGTGAAACTATCTTATATTGTGGGCATTATTAATCAACTAGATTTCTTTTAGGTCGTGCTGTTAATCCAGAAGGTTCAAAACAGGGAAAAGCTACCATGTGAAACCCTGCCTACGCACTGACGGACTGAGCTTCAGACCCAACAAATAATGAGTTTCGCCAATGATTAAATGATTCCAATAAGGCGCGCTCGTAAAATGTTTCGGTGCCAAATGAGGACTTGGATGTGCAGACAGAAATAAGTCTTTGGATAACAAGTGGGAAAAAGAGCATAGTCTACTGAATCCATGTATATATCAGAACCTGCTTCTAGTCAGAACTAACTTCTGTTACAGTCACTGATGATTTGCTATTGACATTTTTGCTATGAAATTTAGGTCTTGACTTAAACTGATCATACTGCAATTAGCACTGGGTGGGCTGGATATATGCAGAACTGATATTTTTTGGAGCACCTATTTAAAGTTTTGTCATGCCTATGTGTATCAAACTTATCTTGTGCCTTCTTGGGAAAAACATCGCTCAAGACGGATTGATACATACAAAATGAGGCATCTGTCATTGTAATCAAACATCAAAACGACTTAGACTCAAGGCTAGTTCCCGTCCCATCGCAAACTGAAGACGATCACTAGCTACACTTCCATGAAAATGGTGAGTAAATTCATCTGTGGTTTGGCAAACACGAGGTTGCTGTAGGTCCCTTGAAACTTCTGAAGGTACATTAGTCTTCTCCGGTGAATCGTGAGTTCGACGGCACGCGCATACACCAGAGAGTTTTACAGAGCTTGATTAAAGTTTGACACATCTGGTAGTTATAGTATGTTAGCAAGTTGGAAGCAACATTTTCACCCGTTAACCGACAAAGTTATTTCAACATGCGCGAGCCACAACGAAAAAGAAGTACGCTGACAATAAAACAACCCGTAAAGTTGGAAGTATTTCAAACAGTAACATCCAAAGACGTTTGGACGCCGAGTGGAAGACTCTAAAAAGTAGTATAACTGGCTTATTACTCTTAGAACCTCAATTCGTTCTGCGCTCTTTATTCCGTGACGATCGATCCAGGTATTCGTAAAGAACCTCTACTCCTGATAAGTCACAAGCAACCGATCTAAAACAACATTTCTCCTCTCCTGTTCAAAGGAGAAGAGGAAATTCAAGTCAGATGACTGATTGGAATGTTTGGAAACAACTGATATACAAAGCGTCTTACATCATTCTGGAAAGAAGAGATCGTGACTGAGATCTTGAAAAATGTCACACGTAAGTTACACGGCAACTATCAGAGTACAGGTCTGCTCATTACTTCATAACTAACGACCTCCACCATACTCCTGGGACTGTACAAGGCTCATTAGACTGTATGGTCAAGAGCAGGTACAAAACCGTCCGTGCCTCAAACCACTGGATGGAACTATCTCTAAAATCTCATCCGAGTAGTTGTGATGGACCGACAAATGCCAATCCTATACAACATTTTTGTGCTGTGGCACCATGTTATCAGCCGGTCACATTGGTTTATTCCATAAAGTCCCAAAGTTAAAAACTAGTGCACAATATGGAGACTTCTGGGGTGACATTCTTAAGGTGTCTAAGCCATCAAAGTCAGTATTTCAAAAGTGACATGAAAAGAATAATCAGCACTAAACCCAAACACACGTTTCCTAACCTCCGTATAACTAACGTATTGTTATTACTAGACGTTAACCATCTTTCGGAGAATAAGATAATTGAACACAAAAAGCTATCCAACATCTTTAGCTTGGAGAGACCAGGTTCTACAACCACGTGACCCGGACTTTTACAGTATGACCAACATCAAGACGGCACCAATGATAGCCCCGATCCCTATAGACCACCTTAATTTTCATTACATATAGATTGATTTAGTTAGTCGCATTACTATCAACACACAAATCTGATTCACCACAGAGAGCATAGACACAGGCACTTGCCAGTTCCCCTGGTGTCATTTTTATTTCCAGCTTATTAATTGCGATTCGCAAATAAGATCAATTATCGCAGTCAGACAATGTAATGCACCTAGGATCAAATGATTTTTTCCAGGAAACAGATTCATGGCAACAAAAACTCTCGCTAGAGCTGATGCCAGATTATTACTAATGAACTTGTTTCATGAATTATACCAACTAATAAACCCCATAGGAAGAAACTGGGATAGCGTTTTACGAAAAATACTTGACTTATGAGCCAAAACACACTTCGAACTGTTTAACATGCATTCCGAAAATGGTAATTGTCACTATCTCCCAAGATGGATGAGTGTGATAGAAATTTCAGAAGTCAGTCTCAGTATAACAATAGTGGTGGTAGAATTTGAATAAACGCTGGGTGGCGATTAGGAAATCGTGGAACTGCGTTCTTTTGTTTGTGAGAACAGGTCAAAATTAACTACATATTATGAATAAACCCACTTAAAGACTTGAACCTCAAACCTACTTCCCGATATATGAAGTACCGCTTACTCTTTTTTTGTGACCTCGTGAACATACAATGCTCAATATCTTCGTCAAGAGCCTGTATAAACTAATTGACTTCTTTCCTCTCACGTCTTGCTATTTAGCTTCAGTTCCATGTATTTGGTTATGTCCAAAGGATGTTATTCTAGCCATTTGACCGTCTTAATTCTAGCCATTGTGCTAGTTATTTGTGGATTTGTATATCTTGTAGCTGTGTGAGTGCGTGCGGCGGTAAACAAATCCCCAGAATAAGTAGTTCTGTAAGTCTTAGACATTTGGTGACAACCACATTAGTTTTGACAGACTCACCTAGAAGAAGGCTCTCGTTCAGGCATCCGCACCAAATCACGAGTGAGTACGCCTTGTTACTCACTCCTTTCATCCGCTAAGCAGCATAGATCAAACGCTTCTCGAGATATCGATAGCCTTTCAAATATGACTTCGAACATCTTGGCTTCTGACTTCTGATCCGACCAGTCTGGCGTACTTCGTTCATAAAGGTGCTACTGGTTAAAGCATGGCCAAACTAAAAATACCTGTGGCATTTTTATGCGTTTGTCTCATGGCAGTAGGGTTTTTGGATGCTAAGATCTATCACATTACCAGGCTGGTTGGTTGATTGCGATGTGAAAACAATATAGTAACAACTTTAGTGCTGAGAGATGAATGTTTCACGAATAAATAAACAACCCACTTAGCAGATAATATATAAGCAGTCAGAATTAAAATAATAAGAGGGGACGGAGATGGTGATACGAGACATAGGAAGTAGTTACTGATTAGAGGTGATGATGACTGTCATAAATTACGATACAGGCATCAGACACAGCTGATAAAAGAATATGGTACCCTTTGGGTGTGTACGTGTTTGTCAAGTCTCCTCTCAAAGCTCTTCACTGATAGGATTGTGGTCAAATCGACTGGCGAAACACTGCAAAGTGGGGCAACTCCTATTAAAAAAGTAAACGCGTATACATGTGTTTAGCCTTTGATTTGCAATCTTTCAAGGGTTGCTTCGGAGAGCCTGGTGATAATGTTCTATTGATGTGCTGAAGTTGTGGTGGCTTAGCGTACTTACTATGCTGTATGTCATTATCAGACCATCTCTTATTCTCTTAAACCTCAAAACGAATTATCCCAAGTGTTGGAGTCTGTCCCCATGAGATTTGTTTTTTAGACCCATCAAACACTGGGTTGCATGTTCTAAACGATGGGCCTCTGTGTATATTGCAAAAAATGTTAGGAACCACTCTGGAGTGACTGGAGCAAGTTGTCTTCGCATAAAGTGGATATTAGCGTTTGTTTTGGTTGCATCCACCAAGTAGTTTGAGCTGGCTTCTAAGTTTTCAATGGTTACAATTCTGAGATCACGCTCTCCCTATCTATTCCTCTTATAACCGACCCATTCAAAAAACCTGCCAATATATAGACTATAAGCATGCTGATCAGGACCTCTTGCACTCACTGGGACGGATTTTTCCCATGTAATAGTCTCATGGATGCCATCCACAAATTTTATTTGATCGTTAACTATTATCTAGATTCCTATGTATCAATTAAAACGCACAGGTTTAGTAAATCTTACGAATTATATACCAGCTAAATATCGCAATAAACTAAGACACCTACAGAAACGTTATCCTAAGTCAAATGACTTTACGGCAGTTGCACAAATAACAATAATTTTTAACTAAATTAAAGAGAAACATGGGTTAAAACCATTATTGATGAGCTATTAGCACTTAATACTAGCTCAAAAGTACAAAACTTAATTCTTTTCAATAAACGCTTTAAAGCAACTCAAAATGTTGATATACCATGCATCTTACATAATAGCACTTTTATATATGACTCTAAAACTAAAGCAGACCTTTCAGTGGTATTTTTGTGAATGGTTGGGAGTTCCTAAATGGCACTGTTTCAAGAGTTATGTGCGTGATTATTAACTCAATAAAATCTATCTCCTTCACATGCTTAAAAATTAGTAAGGCTATAAATACCCTTAGGGTTATTACCCTGTGTATATCAAACCACATTACTAACCTGTATATAAGACTGACATCAACAATTATCGGCCCATAAATACTACTCCAGTTATCTCTAGGATTAGGGGGAAAATTATCAGTGAATTACTCTCCAACTGCTAGCATAACAGATATTAGGCCACGTCTTTTATTTTCAGGATCACCTACGATGGCTTCATACCCAGTGGAATTCGTTTAAAGAGTTTATCGCAAGGGTATAAATGCTTTTAATTTCCTGTGACTTTCAACCTTCATTAGTTTTACCTTTAACCTGAGGTATATTCCCTTGCAAAGAAATGTAAAGACCAACACGTGTGAGAGTTCGGAAGAGTAAAGAACAGCCAAAAGAGTGGTCTGATGACTCATTAACCAAATCGAACCTATGAACATTCAACAGCGATAGCAAGCGAAAGCGATTTGCATTTACCCAGTGGTAAAGTTATTACCATATGTCTCAAGCAATCGCACTGTTTCATAGACGCTGTAACTACAAAATACACCAAATCAAATACTCAGGAGCATAAGACATATGTGGCGGCTGCAGCAAGCAGCGCCAAGGGTAAATTCCCAACCGTGTTTTCAAAGGTATGCCCAAACATCACTTTTATTCACTTGCCTCTTTTTAAATAGTATTTTTCTATCTGTTTTTCTTATCTCCCAAGCACTATGCACAGTACTGGCGTCTCCAATAGTTCTTGCTTCGTAACAACAAAGACGACAAGTTAGAGTCCTATGATAGGGGTTAGTATGGATTGAAAATTCGACATATAGGACCAGACGTTTGTTCGAACCTAGAACTGGAGATGGGAGACATACCTGAAAAAAGTACTGAGAGTATTGACCGAACAACTAACTCAAGCACTTTATTGTGAGAAACCAGTACCCCAACCTGATGTAATATCCCCTCTCTAGTTTTAGAAGGCAACAACTTGAGACCAGTAACTAAGGTTAGTCTCAAAGACGAACTTCGAATACAGCGTGTACTGGGAGAGTAGGACATGACAACAGCTGTCTTATTGCGTGTATCTCAATAGTTGCAACAAGCTCCGCCTCACTATAATGAAACGTTTGCGGTGGATAATCTCACTGACTTTAGAAAACTGATCCAACCATGTAATATAACGGGATCATAATTAGCCGCTCATGCTACTGGTCCGGATAATTGTGTCGTGTAAGTCTCTTGGAGCTCAAGCAACTAAAGCAAAGGTTTGGTATGAATAACTTAACTATCCAGATATCCCCTCCTTATACATGATCTACAAGGAATAAGAAGAACGTGACCAAAAAGATTAACCGTAAAATATCGCTTTCAATCCATACATACTGGCTGAATTAATAACCCTCTACCATGTCCATTAGCCACGGACAACGAAAGGTAATAGTATGTGGCTGTTGCGAAGATAAACGGTAACCACAGAATGAATGGCGTATTGAATATTTGGGAAAAATTGAACGGAAAGGGTTAATTTTTCGATTCTTTTTAGTATCTCAGTATCAGAAAAGAACTCATTGTAAATTCAAATGAGTTTTGACTAATAGATGCTTCTAGTTTGCTATTAGTTGTAAACGAGTGAATGCCTTAAAAATCTACCCGGGGTATGATTTGAAATCGTCCCTGTTTCTTGAAATGCTGTCTTTTTATCGCTTCATGCTAGCTTTTATCCAAGACATGCGCAGCCTTTAAAGAGAATCTTCACATATAAATCAACAGTATATACTGAATAACAGATAAGCGTTTTACAGTGTCTCTAGACTGACAAACGTAATCCAGATTAAATGTACGTGAGTGATATACAACAGTAGCAACAACCCTCATATCATTCAAGGGTATGAAGAAGAACTGATGTTAGTGTACACTGCCCATCAGGTCCCTGGCAGAACTCAACGTTCAGCAGTTCCTCACTCAGGCTTAAGAATCAAGTGGATCTTACCGAAATTCTCCAAAGGGGTTCTGTGCGAGAAATGACCAACACGGTCATGTCCGGTGTTGTAAAGGCTGACTGGGATAGCTACAATGAAAAAGGTAAATAACGTGAACTACAAAATGTCATCGATTTCCGCTGAACAGAAAACTCCGGTCCACGAGTTAAAGTACGCCTCTTCAGGATACCCGGTGGCTGCGCTTATCACGCAAGGATGTAGGTCTCTTAGGGAAACCCCATGAAATTCCCAAATCATCCATTTTTAAGCCACCCTCTGCCTACAACCCAGCGGATGGATCTTGTTTTAAACAAGCCCTGAGTAGTGTAGAAACAAATGTTTTACAGAGTCACTGTTGAATCTGGGGGTTAGATAAGAAATCTCTGAAACCGATTTACCCGTCCCGAACACCTGATAATATTTCTCACAGATACCAAGGGTAGTGAAGTAAGCATGCAGGGCAAGAAACTTTAGATATAATACGATACATAAAGCGTAGTAAATGTTGGAGATATGTGTCAACTGCCACATCAAAGCCAAAATTTTAATTAACACTGGGGTTCTTAAAATGTGGTTGTTCCGATGGTAATAGTTCAATGGAAACATCACTAAGCACCTATCCACAAAAATACGTCTTCCCCCTCAAGGTAAATGTATGATGAGCAGAAAATTTAGGTACTTTCACTGTTATCCCCCCTGGGGTCTGATAAGGTACACTTAGCCGTCAATTTTAATACTTCATTCCTAAATCTGAAAAAGAAAATGTGGTGACCGTTAACAAGTACTAGAGAGCCGAATGACTGTCAACTTCATGAGAATTAAGAAGGCCAAATGACCAGACGATCCCGAATGAGCGCTACCAAATACATGGAGCCGTACTGTAACATCAAGTAGCTTCCATCCCAAATCAATCCCCAGCCAAAGTTATCTCAGTCCACTCAATGACGATTATGAAGAGGAGAGTAGGGTTTCAGACATTGTTGAATGTCACTGAAATCATAAAATTCATACTGAAGATTATTATCTATTTATTGGTGACTAATTTGAGAACTGAGACAACTGGAGATAAGCCGTGTAGGATCTGAGGCATTTACTCACCGAGCACAATGAAAGGTGGTTGTGCAATGTTGTGGATTGGTTAAAGTCAGGCATTAACACCGTCGTACACCAATTCAGTGGTCTAAAGGTTAAGCATCCGCTCGAGAGACTATTGGTCACGTGTACGAATCTCACGTGCGAGACCATGAATAAGAAGTGCTGAGGATTCCCACACAAAAGCGAAACGGAGGTTCACTACTTTCGGACTGTTAATGTTGGCCTAACTTAGACCATTTCTTGTTCCTAATGAAATCACTTAATTTATTTATTCATTTATCTAATTGCTCATTTAGACAATTTTCTACTCCTAGATCTGCATTCGAATCTTTTTATAACATTTTCCATGCCACAACTAATCAGCTGTATGTCCGGCGATTCGTTGGCCTCCGGTTAGAGAAATGCTACTTCTTTTAGACAAATGCTCTAATTTAGATTACAAAATAGACAAGTCTACAAATAACTACCAAACTGGAACTGATCAAGTAGAGCAAGTAGCCCACTGTTTGTTGAAAGTGATCGAAGACCTGGAAAAGCACTATAAGAATACGAACCAAACACGAAGACACCAACTGATTTGAATAAGCTCTTTACAACGACTTTGAGAACATATTGGATACTGAACCGTTGGTGTAGTGACGGTAACGTGCATATTATGAATATCTGTCTACAGTGATGTCAAGTATAATTTATTCCTGGGTGTCACACGAGTTGAACTTAAATGGTTAGCTGGATTCTTTATTATGCAATATCTTTAACTTATAGGTCAGTCAGTGGAGAAGTTGTTTGCAAACGGTTATTTTTTGGGGAAACTTCTGAACAAATATAACAAATTCCAAAAATTCTACCTCCTAAAAAATTCCAGGTATAAGTGACTTTCCTAACTTCCATTAAGCTCGCCGGAATCTATCGTTCGAAATTTTTCTCACCTCCGACCAGCACTCCACGAAATGGGAATAAATATTGATGCCCACCTAAGTCATGACATAATCACCGAAAAACCTGGTAGTATACAACAACTTCTGTACCAGATTTATGTTATCTTAAGTTGTGTGGATGGTTGCAATCGATGTGATATAATCGACTTCCGTAATGTCGAGCATACACAGCTGAATACTCTCCAAAATCTATCTTACAAAAACGTGAGTGATTATGCCCATAATTAGATCAAGATAAGTTTTTAGTAAATTGTTCTGGATTCATGCAATGTCTACAAGGCTGTTAGGACCATATCATCATTATGTTTAGAGTATCAGTATTAACAATTACAAAACGGAACTCTTCAGTTTGCATGAATATTTTTAATATAATGCATGTCTTTTACCTGACAAGATAACTTAACATAATTTTAATTTTTTATTTAGCTAGGTAACCAAAAATATATGAGATGGTGAAACAATTTATTCATATTTAAAAGCCCAAAACAGCACTGCACAGCGGGGAAACCTGTAAATCTCCTTTTCAAAACTGAATAATAATGTTTTGAATATATTTAGTGAAAATGTAGGATATGGTTCTATTAATGTTGACAACAAACTGATAGGAGGAAATGTAGAATGAAATTAAATCAAACGAGACCTTCACCGACTAGCACCATGTGATATATATACATATGTTTCTTACATAATAAATACCAATATTGCTTTAAACTATTATCAAAGTATGGTTGACCAAAAGCACATAGAAGTTGATTCAATCAATGGATGATCAGACTCATTTCTTCGATTGTTTATTCTGAGGTTGATTCATAGGTGCATCATGCTGCTCTATCATTTTATACACTTCAAATTTGTCTAAATCTTATTTTGCTTATTATTGAGTACAGATCTCAAAAACCACTTTATCTTGTTCCTTACAATTCAGGTCTCTACAACATTTTCATAAGCCGTGCAACAGAGAACAGTGGCCAGCTTACGAATCAATTTTGATTAGTTAGTTGTAGTGTTTTATATTTCACTACGACATCCAAAATAAGCCTTTTATATGAAACCCATAGAGTCCAGTATATTATACCTTCCTAAAAAATACACACAGCTTTCAAAATATTTTGACTGTAGTTGACAACATTACAGTCACTGATAATTTTATATTGTTATACTTTTAGATCCGTCATGACTGTCCATAGATCTTAGTGATAGTCATATCACAACTTCACATTCTCTAAAAACAACAGTTAATTCACTTGATATCCGTAATAAACATTACTCGGAAAGCAGGTTCTAGTGGTATTTATAATAAAAATCAAGCTGATTATTGCTATACCAGAAGTCATATGATCTAAAATCCTTAAAACTGAAGGGCGAATTGTCAAAAATTGCCTTACGTGGTTCAAATAAATTCTCACACGGCTGGGTAACCATGGGAGATCGGCTATCCAAAATGCAGCTCAAAGCCAACCAAGTATTTTATCCCCAGTTTAACGAGTTATTACGAGTTCACTTTAGTTTTTTATGCCCTTAAACAGATATGTTCTGCAAACGAGTATTTATAGACATTTAGATATTCCATTACACACAACATATCAAATGATATGATTACGGTAGGGTTGAAGGATAATTCACCTTAGTTTACCAGCAGGTGTGCTTGCAAGATTCATTAAAATGTAGTTTCATAGTGCTGCACATATTTGCAAGGTTTGAAATAACTTGATAATTCTTCGCCGATTGTAAGCAACATTTGACGTCATCCAACTATCCAAAACAACTGAGAACAAGCTTCGAAGTAATTACTCATGAACCCAACTGAGAGTTATTTCCAACAAATTACATTTGGTCACAATAGTGAAAAGCTTCTATTATAATCCATAACGCATTTAATTCAAATAGTTTATAATATTCGGTACTCTGTACACATTACAATGTGGGTTGTAACTAACTTGAGCAAACTTAATGAAAATGATGCATCACTTTTTACTCATCATTCGCACTATCAACGTTCTTTATTTTTATACGATGTTGTAAAACGAAACTTAAATGTAATGGTTAAAAGAAAACTGAATTACATTCTCTCTGAGGAACCTATATGTAGTAAAAAGTTTGTTATCAGCGATTAAATTTTACACTTGTTTGTGTTTAGTTTTGTTTTAAGTTGTAAGCGTCACAGGGCATTGTTAGTTAAACTATTCCTCGTGGCCATTCTGTTGGTGTTAGTCATAGAGTAGATTGTATTCAAGGACGATTGTGTATGTTTGATAGAAGCCGAAAATATTGCACATTTCAAACTTCAGAAATTGTACAGAAGTATTACTTAGTTGTATTTTTAACTAGTTTTTAATTTTAGATATTGTGTTTTTTGTTTGATCATCCTTATGTTTAAAAAGCAATTAAAACAACTCATTCCGAGACAATCTGATGTTAGTTTGGCACAAATTCTGTCACGTTATGAACGACAAATGAAAATAAACAAGAAGCAAATTAAAGAAGCTGAGTTAATGGATACGTTAGAAAAAGATGCTCTTGTCCAAAAACGTCGAAATTCAAGACTTCAAAGAAGTCATGATTTGCGTTTGATGCAATCTGAATTAATGGCCAAATTAGAGTAAGCAGCAGTTTACACATCGTTTTAAAATATATTGTAAAGGATAACAACATGTTAGTTTATCTTATTTTTTTTAATTTATGCTCTAGTTGTGAGTGAAATGGTTTTAAGGATATTTTCTACACTATCAGAAAGTAATTTTCATTAGGAATCAAGCCATTTTACGAACAACCGAAAATGACTGAATACCTTTGAGATGTTTCTCTAAATCAGAACTTCTTATCAGGCTATACTTACGACCTTATACGGGATCAACCTCAGGCGTTTCAAGAGTTACAATGGGTATGGTTTCTTTCGTTAGTAACTAGGAATTTTGCATCCAAGATGTTTACTTTGTTTGATACTAAGACATTTATTTTGTTACTTAAAATTTTTATTTTTAATTCACTGATTACTTATCAGTTTAATGTAGTTTTAAAGCAACTGCTGAAGTAGACTAAGGCTCGACATATCTCCCGACGGATTTACAAATAACACAAATTAAAGAGATACAGAGAAGGATTTTAAGCATATGAATTCGTCACATAGATTTAGTACTGATAAATTAAAACAATTAGTATTATGCAATGATTAAAATGAGGAGATTACTCAAATGCATTTATTTTTTTCAATAATTTCGTTTATTTTTCGATATAACATAAGACATACTATACTGTTGTACATATATTCTAAATTTTACTCATAAAAGTTCTAAGAATCGTGTAAATAAAATCTGCGTTATAAGAAAAACTACTATATTAAATTTGAGTTAAAATCATTAATTTATTGGTCATCTGTGTACTGATAATTGCAGGAACATTTGTGAAAGTGCTCAAAATAACTTTAGTTAATCTTGCCATATATTGCCATCTTTCATGGTCGTGAAAATTTCTTAAGTTATTAGCAAAAACGCCTTTGATGTAAATGAGTTTAGCACTTATGAAATTATAACGCTTGTTTATTTTTTACACCAATTCTCTAACCGATGGAGGTCTACAAAATGAAATTAGATAATTAGTCCGAACGCAGTCACTTAAAAAATAAGTGAACGAATATATATATAAAAAATATAGAAGGTAGCAAACTAATATTATTACGTTCGAGCAAACAGCAAACTAAACTGCAAATCAAAACCTCAGACCTGAAAACATGATTCTCAAATATGAAAAGGATAATGCTTCTTCCAAAACTGTATCAGCGATAATATCCTGTACATAAATTTTTAAAGCTATTATATATTCTTTCTTAGGCAGTGACCGATTGTGATTCGACGATAGATATAAAGTCATTAAACGTATAGATCAGATGTTTTAGAGTACCACAAGAACAACATGCCTTAATAGTTGAGAAAAGGTTCATGTATTATACGATTAGTAAAACAACTCAACCATTGAAACAGAAGTAGGTAAAGTGATGTTTGTACCTTCAACTTAGAGATTGAAAACCAAATACTTTAAACGTTAATCCATTTGCTGACATTTACTATGAGGAATCAAAATATTGTTTAGCATATGACTACCACAAATCGGCATATCATTTCCTAATACGACTTAATAAAATTTTAATGAACAATATCTTGAAAACAAAACTTACTTTTTCCCCGATCTACTAACTTTTTATGCTCAATTTTTAAAGTTTATCTTCAGTACTTACAAAATAACCATTTTTCCTAACTCATCTCCAGAGCATCTATCATCAATTTGCCAAAATCTGATCGGAAGAAACTAGCAACTAAAAGTATGAACACGCAGCAAATCAAGCAAACACACGCAGTAATGTTTTTCTTCTTCTTATTATTATTATTTTCTGTTACATTGACATGTGCTTCTTAAGCGTCGGTCAAAGATTTCAATGTCGTCTTGATTTAGCGTTGATGAGTACATAGTTTAATATATATATATATATATATATATATATATATATATATATATATATATATATATAGTTAATGGTAATTATTAAAACGCCTTACACATTCTCAATCAGCCAGCACTTTTATTTTGGCGCTAAGGTGGTCTGAAGCCAGTCAGTCATACTCATTGTAGAACCTGACGCACATGTGCATCGGTCCGAATTTCTATAGAGAGGTCAAAGGATTCAACTGAGTATGATTAACTGCTTTCATCCAATCCACTTATTTGTGTTTCAACCCCAAATGTTTACAACCACGTCTTTTGAGCGATCTAAGACTACGTTTCAAATGAATTTATGTTCATAGTAACTAAGTAAGATTTCTGTAATGATTAGGAGTATTTGAATTATAGTACAAACTGGGATACCAGAAATAAAGCAATTTAACCAAGAAGTACTAGGTAAGCATGAACGATCATGCTGTATTCAGAATTCGATATCAAGCAGTAATCAAGTACAAAGGAATCATTAGTTCATAGAAACACTACATTTTTTCATATTCATTCGTATTAGTATTTCTATGAGCGAGAAAAGTAAGCAAGAGAACTAGTATCATAAGACACTGGGTAGACAAGATTTACAATTAAAAAAGTGGTGTTACACTTTTCAAAAACATATGGGTACAAAATTTACAAGAATAAAGCTGATGTAATAAATCTAAAACTTAGTATAATCACAGATATGTTTGAAGTTTTAAGAAAGACTTCATCTTTAAGCAATCAGCTATGACTTTCTGATATTAGCAGGACCTTGTTTGAAATTCTTACATGTTATTATACTACGGTTACTCAGTCACTTAGTGAATTACATAATTGTTCGATCTTAACCAAATAATTCCATTCCTGCTAAGAACGAAACACTGTTTCAAGTGTGTTTTCTAAGACGTTCAACTAATATGGGTAGGAACTTAGTTAGTTAAGGCGTTCAGTGAATATACAGAGGAAGTTTATTGTCCTTTAGGTGTGACATTTTGCTTTACTAAAATTTTTGAACATCATAAACAGATGTATTTACAGTTCATCGTAGCTATCATTCAACAACCCAGCAAGATACATCGTCATGTAGTGTATGATGATTATTACATTTAAGATTTATTTAATAATACCTTATTACATTCACAGAGTAGTATGAGTTTAAAAGAATTGGATGACTTTGACTCACGTAAAGAAAAATGTGAATTGTATAATAGCAATGCATCAAGAACAGGAGATAAATCTAGCGAACAATTAAGTCCAAATTTAACACTTAACATCTCAACAGACGACTTTAATAAAGCGACAATGAATTATATGAAACAGATCCATAAAAAGGTTGGCGAAGAAAAAAAAGCAATAACTGAGCGTCAAAGAAGAAGAAGACGAGTTATTATGGATATACTGGAAGCAAATCACATTCGACAAGTAGGTTACCTTTAAAATGATTGTGATAAAAATAAATATTAGAAGAGAAACTCTTAGTTTATAGATAAGAATAAAATACATTTTAAGTGCTTAACGTAAATTAGCATTGTTAAATAAAGAGCACAAGCTTACATTAGTTTTATACCCACAATAGGACGAACAACTTAGTTACAAAAAATTGGATTTCTGATCCAAATTGGGAAAAGGTAGTTTAACCTGAACAAAGGTTCTGCAATCCCCTAAACGTGATTCAGTAGTGGCCAAAAGTGGTTGGATAAAGCATTTATATTTAGACAGAAAATTCTTCATGATGTTATAGCAGTGGAATCCCTTTTCTTTTTGTTGGTGAAAATGTTGACACAATGGACGTGTCGTTCTCACTAACAATACTATACTCAGAGTTCAAAAGATACCTCATTTTTTTAAAATACGTCTCTTATAACACTGTCAGGGAGGATGACCTTATCAGAGTTCCTATTAATAAACAAAAATTATCCAAGTATTCCAGAAGTTTATTGTCGAATATTCTGGTCACTTACGAATTCTTCTCATTGTGAACTGAAATCGGATAGGGATTTAGTGGAAGGATCAAACAATGAACAGCGATTCCCTATCGATATGAAGTCAAGTTTAATGATTTCCAGTTAATCGGACTGTAATTGTAGTACATTACAATTAAACTAGTTTTTCACAACCAAATTAATGAGCCAATCTTCTGATTGACTAAAATACAAATACATTCACATCAAGAAATTGTAATACAATATTTTTTCTTGAACTTATTCTCAAACCAAAATTCTTTGTGACCAATTAATCTTAGGAGGAAATCAGATCAGAGCAAATTATGCAACGATTATCACGTCAGTCTCACTTAGAAAGTCGTATTTCTGTGCAATTAGAACAAATTAAACAAGAAAAATCAATAATTTTGGAAAATCGTCTTGAACGAGAGCGACAATATGAAACTAGAAGAGAATTGGAGTTTCAATTAGCAATGGATCATGAAAGAGTAAGGTCAATTACAAATAATATTATTTAAAAGGAATGAACTGAAGGTTCATAAAATGTTTTCCTTCCTGATATTCAATTTTATCCCACACTTTCAACAATTCATACCTTTTATGGTGAGTAGTTTTATGTTGGTTTGTATAATTTGTGAGTAATCGGCATTGCAAACCAAGTCAAACTGAAGAACCATTGAAAACCAGGTAGCAGTAAACATATGTTTTGTTTCCGTCTGAAATTAAATGGCAATACGTGCTTACGATCTTAACCAGTAAGAATTCTTGAATCTGTGATGTTCTAACTAGCCGATAGGTTTGGTCACCCCAATATTAGGTAATTAGGCTACTATCTAAATGATATACTAGCATCTTACAAGGAGTTGTAGTGTCGGTTGCTATGTTAAGCCCACATAGCTTATTCTGGCTTCCGGAAAAGTCAATTTATTCATTTTTCTTGAGTCACATCTTGACGTTGTTAATTATTTGCTTATCAACCTTGACTATTTTTGTGCAAAGCGTATGTGTGTGCGTTTCTTATCTCACTGATTATATGCCTGAAAATGATTTTTGTCTGACTATAAATATCGATTAACGCTTGATTAAATTAAGTTGGCTCACTCGCCTCCTTCATTTCATTTTGCTTTGCTTTCCGATCAACGATTGTATGAAATGCATGTATTTGAAATTCATTATCGCATTTTACGTATTTAATTCCCTTATACACTAATGCGAGTTAAGTCGGTGATTGTATACGACGACACCCAGTATTTATATTCTACAGCAATCATTCGATGACTATCATTCATACGATATAACTGGAGTTAGATCACGGTCCACTAAAAAGTTACCTCAGTAGTAGTGGTTCTCACAGGGACGTTAGATGATGTGGGTTTGAATATTATAGGGGCATTATTGTTTTATATGAACAAAAATTAAATGAATAGTGACTGCCAGGAATTATTTATGGACCATTATTACATATATTTTGATTGGATACTTAATGAGTAACTAGATTATATGTATATTCATATTCCTTTTATCATAAGCTTTTATTTGACCAATTGGCTATTGTTATGCGATACACAATTCTTAATTTATTCCCAGTATGTTAGTTACAATCACCTATACTCACAGCCACTCTTGGTTTGATGCAATGCGGTCTGGTCTACTTGTATATAAGCCACGTGTGTCTGAAATGTACAATTCACACAGTAGAGGCTGATATTCGCGTTTTGGACTGAACGTGCTGGGCTAAGCCAGAAGCTACTATACAGAGGATCAACAAAGATTCAGAGTTGACTCAAAGCTACTCGTGCTGGTTAATGCATTATTGATTTAGCAGAAGAACAAGGTCACGGAGGTTGGTATTCTGGTTTTGGCGATCTTTTCATGCGATATTTGATGGAGCATATGACAAACAATCATATACATAAAATTTAAGGAAACGCCTCGATATATAGTATCAGACAGCACGGATCCTAGATCAGACCATCTTACTGATTGCTTCCAGCTATCTGATAGCTAAAATAATTCGATTTCCGCACATCTGTGTATTATTACACAAATAGGGAAAATAGTTAAAAAAAACCCTGGAAATAATGAATGGGTTCAAGTAGTCAGAAACTTAGGGATCAATCTATGAGAAGATTAGAAAGAAATAACAAAGATAATGAAAACATCAGTAACACTGGATAGCTATAGATAGGAAAATAACAACATACTGTTGGTGAAATAAAATGTTTATCACTATTGTTGGTCAATAAATAAATTCACTGATACTCCTGCGAATAACTTTACAGTGAGCCATGTAGTCTGGAGGTATTACTTACTGTCGTTTCACCAATTTAAATAGAAAAGTTACGGTTTCTTTTACAAATAAATGAGCTATCTGAGACCACATGGATTTCGGTAGTAGACAATAATTATAGATCAATATAAGGCTACAAATTACTCAGTCTTTCTGAAAAGTTGTTAGTTAATTTCTACTGAAATCAACACTAATGTTGATTACTTTATCAAGATAGTCTGAAATCATGGATGGAAAATTACCAAACTGTTCTCTTGGCTTTACGTTAATGACCAAACCTATTTAGTTTAGCTTGAATTAACTCAATTGCTCACTTTTGTTGTTACCATATTCTACTGTCTCCCTTAAATTATCGGAGGGTTTATAGAGGAGTCAGCCCATTTTTGATTGATAATTTGTACCTGAAAAGGCAACAAAAGCATTTGCATTAAATAAATGGAACACATTGTCTACTATTAAAATTGAAACTAAATAGAATATGTGTTTATTGAACTGTCCCATTAAGATATGATACTGAAAAATACACGAAACTAAGAACAGAAAACTAATTATCAACATTATTGTTTAATTTCACTAACTTTGTTTTTTTTTATTTTGAATTTTTATAATAGGAAATGCTGCTTCAACAAAAGGAGGAAGAAAAAGAGAAATTTGCAATATTAAAACAATTTTGGTTTGAACAAAGAGCTAAACGACAACAAGCTTCTTATAAGCGTCATTATGAATTTATTCAAAACGATATCATACCATTATTACTACAATTTGTTATGAATGTTGCAGATTATCGGATATTCACAGGGAAGTAAGTTCGAAAGGTAGACGGTGTATAACTTTTAAATTAACTAAGTCTTTTAAAAACCACCTTTGCAATTTTTATATATGCTGAAAACTAAAGAATGAATGGAAACAAGTATTTTTCAAACAATTAAGTTAAAATCTTAATTATATATTTCATGTCAAGAATTACAGATAAGCTGTAACCCCACTTGACTGAAGTCCTTGAGATACTGGAAATCAGTGGTTTTTAATTTTAAGGAGTAAGATTTTAAAATGAACATAGTATATGCAGAATTGTGTTCCTTTCAAATCTGCTTCCTGAGCACTAACGTTCAAGTAATTTATTTTTATATCTTCCTGTACTGCTGAAATGACATTACCTTGAAAATCGAAGATTTTATAAAATTCTATATTATTTAGATGTAAGTCAAATACATAATTATCAGCTGAAGAACTACTGGAAACAAGAAAAAATAGCTGTACGATCCTATTTGAGAATTCCTCAAGAGTCCTTTCGAAAATGAAATAAAAAAACGTGAACTATTAGATCATGATTCACAGATCTGCAAAATCTAGAAGCCATGTATGTAGGAGCCCATCACTGAGGAGTATTAGACTGAAGCGAAATGCTGTATAGTGATAACTTAATCCCAGATAATGAAGAAACTTTTCTCCAACTACTTAAATTGGAAGAAAAGTTTGATAGATTATTATCATTAAAAAAACACATTTTCAGATAATAACAATTCCAGCTCTAATAGGAACAGAGTTAGAGTCTAAAATACATTTTGACAAGAAATGGATATCGACTTTACTGGGAAGACTATAATTTATGGACGAACCAATAAGGTTTATGATAACAGGTCTTGAATTTCGGTGCGAAATTCGGTCATCCAATCGACAAAATAGAGTTTTTACATTTTAGCTAATGTCAGTTCGCGATAAAAACCCTAAATTTAACTTATAACCATAACCATTAACTGTGAATCATAATTCTCATCCTTTGCACTGGTTTACAACTCTCATTTAGTTCTCATCAGTAGGTGAACATTTTCAAGGTCAAGTTAGCGTCGCTCAAAGGTTGTCTATAAATTATAGTCTCACCATTTTACTCAAATCCAGTATATTTTGAAGAAATTAAAGGACTGACGAAATAACTAAACTTATATTATGATTACTTACGAAGTTTAAGTTCTTTTAATATATGACATAAAATAGAATTTGCACTGTATTACAATGTCTTCTGTTACTTCACACTACAGCTGAACGAACTACTTTGTAAACATTTATATCCAATGATCATTATTAAGGAGAAACGAAATAAAAAACAGAACAATGATAATTATATCGTTTCAGTTAAAGCTTTCACAGAATTCTTTTATCAATATTTAAGCTTCAGTTAACAATGACGTCATAGTGATATCATTTACTGTTCAATATTCAGTTAATTCTAGTGTTTCATAGACAGTTTGGAACTTAGGATAAGTGTGTATGGCCCAGCTTATTGTGTATCATGTCAACAAATGCTGGAAGAGTTAAAAGCGAGTGAGTAGTAACCATAGTATTAATTTCAGTACAAAACTAGTTAGAATTTTTCTCCCTGAAATAAGGTCACTTAAACGAAACCTAGATTCACTGTTCTATGTGAGCACCCTTTAACACTCAACACAAAATATTGTTTACCATATCAACAAAGTAACACAATAACATCCTAGTTCATGAATCACAGATTATATATTTTGCTATCCAAAAGGCTTTCCACTTCAATGAAGGCAAAGTGATCTGGTTGGATTAGTCTAAAACAAATCCATATAAGCTCAACACACTTCAACTAACAAGTTTAAAATGCAAAGTTAAGTTATAATTTAAACTTAATTCTGCAAGTTTAACTTTGTGACTACTTGTTTTTAAAAGTATTATCTGATTTAAAATGTGATTCACTACATGCGGTCATGGAAATCATAGAGAATTCATGGTTAAAATACTTTTAACCCCTTCTCTTTATAAAACTACACTGTAATTATTAAAGTTTACACAGCTAAATTGACTTAGATCTTTCCCGAAGTGTGTAAACTGGACGTAATTTCATCCGACCGGTCTCGATCACTGGTTAACCCTCTTCACAACTAAAGTCATAATAATAACATGAGAGTCTGTCTGACTGATATGATATTTAAAATATTAATCATAAAAATTATATGACATTAAACCGGGTCTCAAGAAAAACAAACCAGGAAAAACTAGGCTGCCTTCAGATTTGTGAGTGCATTGACGAAATATCCAGTTCCTGTAACTTAACCATACCTACAAAAGCCGAACTGTAATGGTATGTCTTGATCGTAAAAAAGCATTTAACTTTGTTAATTGAGTGGTTTTGTGCCAGCATTCTCTGTTAAAATGCGCATGAAAAATATACATTAACCTTGTCAAGACTCCCTACTCGAACACTATTGGTCGAGTTGGAACAGCATCAAAACCTTCAATCTCAACAAGGTATTTGTAAAGATTGCTCAATATCCCCCTGTTGAATTTATTTCGCCACAGATTTTCTCCTACAGAAGACACTTTCGTCCTCCGACTTTTTAGAGATCGACTTAAAACATTCAAATAACGATGATGAAGATGCTGACAGAAAGTGGTCTTCTGATCGCCTTGAACAACAATATAAGTATATTTAGGATGCATTTTATCCCTGCAGTTGTAAGATATTGCGTCAGGACTGGTCAGCATTAATGCCTGAACTAATGTTAGAGAATGAGGTAGTTGAGTGTGATGATCACTTCGTGTATCCTGGTAGTCTTATCAGCTTTGGTGAGTTGGTGTCTAAAGAAACCTCGATAGGATTTTAGAAAGTTCTCTTAGCTATAGACAATATGCATCACTCGTGAAGTGTTCGTCCGCAGTCTTCCCCTCTTTACTTCATGGCTATAAAATGTGGCCTTTAAAAATACAGGATATTCATAGGTTACCAGTAGTTGATAACAGCTATTTCATAAGTACTTCTATCATATAGTGGAACGATCGGATGAGCAATGTTGAGTTTAGGCGTAGAATACTAAGTAAGGATGGCGAGTCAGCTGATAAGGTAATGTGTCTTCATCAGTTGAGGTGTTCGGGATATGCATTCTTATGCCCAATCACTGCTTATCTCAATGTGCTGTGTTTTCCGATGTAAAAGTGAGTTAGAATGAAGCTAGGGGCACCGAAAACGAAAAGTAGCATCAGTTCATAAAATTACTAATTGTTAGTCTAAGCCATGTAGATGGAATAAGACTATTTGGTTGTGACCCCCACGAGGATAGCAGTCAGTGGTTGGTAACACTGGATAGTACGGTCCTAAATGAGGGACAATAGTGCAGATATATTCCATTTTCATATTTTCATTCCATCATGTATGCCTTTTTGTTCCATCCTTTCGAATCATGTTCTCAATATTTAATCTTCCTCATTACCACTGGTATTAATTAATTTAAATTCATTTTCTGTTCATCTTGTTAGCTTCATCTCGTTGTGCTAATATGGTATGACAGCTTGGGCTAAATCATACTTGAGCCAAGCTCTACGGTGATGATAACTGACTGACTGAATAACTTACTTAAGCAATGTATATTTTTTAAATGTTTATTTTAAAGGCTAGTTCCATTAAGATTTTTCCGACAATGGAAAATCGAATTCGTAAGCGGTCTGTTAGTGAACGACGCATCATCAACAGAGGATCAGGCAGAAGATCCTGTTGAAGAAGAAATGTCGAATGTGGCTAACCAACTTAAATTAAAAAAGAATCAGATCATAGAAGATCAACAAGAATTACTAGATGACTGTGATTTGGAGGAGTACCAAGTAAATCAATATATCTTTGATCATCACTTCCCACTTTTTGTTTAAATGTATATTTCTATCACTTTAAATTTTACTTGCATTAATTTTTTAATACTCTTTTCATAATGAACTGAAATCGGCTGTAAAGTCATTGAAAACCAGGTAACATTTAGTATCAAATTTATTCTAGTACGGAATTCATCATTGGTGCTGATCTATGACAACGTATAGGCTCGAATCTGTGACCACAGGAGTCATTGTAGATACAATACATACTGCTTAGTTAACTGAAATACAGTGATCTGAGTTTCCAACGTCAGTCAGCGTATAGTATAATCCAGTATCGTTGAACTTCTCTAACCACTATTTTAAAAATCCATTTCGAATTTCCCCACATTACTGATTAGCCCTTAACTTGAACGAGAAATTATTTAGCGTTTTCTGGTTTTCCGTGGTTCTCTGGTGGTAAAATCCGTCTGAGACTGGTAGGCCCTGGGTTCGAATCTCGCGAGGCAAGGTCGGGAATGTGCAGTGCTTCCGGGTTTTCCCTGGTGGTTTAGCTTCAATTGACTAACACTTTCAACTATGAAAATACTAAATATCCTCAAAAACCCCTTCTGATAATAATAATCATATGCTCACCAGTGACTAACTTCGAGAGGTAAATCCTGGAGTTCTAGTGAGAAGCAGTAACCAGTGGAGTTCAAAACCACGTCTGTTGTGAGATAGGAACTCACTGAAGGTAATTGGTGAACGGTTGCTCAACTTCATGGATTGGTTGGAATTAGACATAAACACCATCGGATACCGGCTCAGTGGTGTAGTGGTTAAGCGCACGCGCGTGAGACTGATAGGCGCTGGGTTCGAAACTCGCCAGGCGGGACCGTGGATACGCACTGCTGAGGAGTCCCACAATAGGACGAAACGTCCGCCCAGTGCTCCCAGGTTTTCCATGGTGGTCTAGCTTCAATTGACTCACACTTTCAACTATGAAAAACTGTATTAATTGCTTTATTAAAAATTATCTAACATATTAAAATAAGTTTATGGAAAACGTTTCGTAAAAAAATTAAAACGATATCTGAGATAGGTGAAATCTATTAAACATCAACTTTGAGTACATACTAATATTAAATTCATGAAAGTTAATCATTTTGCACATTTCATTATTATGGTTTTGTCAAATCAATATTATTTTGAACTGTTGGTGTTGGTGCAACAACGATCATTGTTGTAACCTTCTATACCTCGAGAGCATTACAGTCCCTCATAATTCACATCCACTCCTCTTAGTTACTACAACATAAACAATGCTGATAATATTGTGATATCTATGAACCAACATTTTCCTATCTTAAGGCATAAAAGTGCTATTGAATATTCCATCTTTCTTCTTCTTATTTGTGTGAGGTATTTATCGTCAAATTTACGTTGCATATAACACGTTCGGTTTATTTAGTCACGTTAGATCTGTTATGTAATAGAAGAATATCCAAACATTCCAGCTAAAATTGTACAAACCGTAACAATCAGAATATTTAGTACTATTATTACATATTGTATTGTTTAGGGTAATGTTTTAATGAGCATAAAAACTACACCAAATTTTTAATATTAATAAGTTGCCATGAACCTCGGTACTTTTTTGTCTTAATTCATGGAAAAAACAAGTAGATGAAGTTCTTGGAATAATATTTTTCTATGCAAAGTAATAAATCATCATATCACCTACAAAAAATGAAAGAAAATACCGAAATCTAAATCCTACAGCTGCATTTACACTTTAAATTTATTTACCTACTTAAGTTTACTCTCTGAAACACTTGTTAACTCAATGAATTCCCTTCATATTCATCCATCAAAATTAGCTGTGAACATCCGCTAGTCAATTAGTTAATTTAACATTAAGTTATAGGTCAGATAAGAAGTATCAGCTTTTTTTACAAGCGTCGTTAGACCAATTCATAAGTCTCAATATGTTTAGTTTCTTGGTAAATATATTCAATGGGAAATCTGAAAATATAAACAAATGGTTGTATTTACATAATGTAGAATCACTCTTTCATTCTCAAATTATAGCAAAGGACGTATCACGAAATGATATCACACCAGAAAAAGGTTTTAAACTTATGTTAATAATGAAATCTGATTATACACAGAAATTATTGATAATCATGTCTGTGTTAAGAATAAATCCATTTCCTTAAACAAGTCCTTCATTATGAATTCCGAACAAAGAACTACTTTAGAATGACTACAATCACGATTCTGGAATAATTAACAACACTTGTTATAAAGTTATGATATGGTATGATTATTGTTATTTCTAATGGTATCATTTTTGTTATAAATTAAATGAAATATATTCAAGATAAAAACCTTTTTTATCAAATTAAATAAAAATGTACGCTTCTGTACAACTTATCAGTGGAGGAACATTTATACACTTTATGTATATCTAAGTGCTACCTAATGATGACATTGTAATAGAATTAAGTTGACTGAAATAAAAAGTAGTAAGACAAGTGTAGTTCTAATTTTAGAAAAGTTTAATAAACATAAAATTCATGTTTTTCAAAATACAATACCATTAGTATATATATTATATTGTAGAATCTTACTGGCGATTGGAATGTAGCCAAAATTGGTACACTTTATACGAAATCATTGCCGAATGAATTCTTTTGGCATGTACAAGGTAAACCAATTGAATGGATCGACTTCAAAGATGAATGTAAAACATGCGAATTCAAACTACCAAACGATATTAATCTGATAAAAACCAATCCAGTTTTAGAATGGATAATTAAACGTCTATATAAACTTAATTTTCCGCCAACCGTGAGTTCATTAGTGTACATTGATAAAAGAACCGTTATTTCAACTATTCATCATTTAACAAAGTATTTTTTTCGAAATATTTGCCTAGTCCAATGTTGGTTTTTGTCAAGAACTGCTATCAGTTGGAGATGCAATAAAAACCAGCGAGGGCTGAATGATAGTTGGTACATAAAACATTTCATATATTACTAGATTATATCACATAGGTGCTCAATACTTACCTATTTACACGAGAAAATAAAGGACATAATATTCCAAATCTTTATTTTCAATTCTATACTCCTATTTCTAAAAACGTAATTCATCGAAACCTAACAAGATAAACCTTAATAAATATCTCTTTTGAAAAAAATATTTTGAGATCAAACACTCAATAGCATTCTAAACGTCCCTTGAAATAGTGGTTAGTAATGACTACCTCAGTCACTTTATCATCCTACATATTTTTATCCAAATCACTTGAATGTTTCTTGCTTTATTTCCAAATAAAATAAAACAAATTGTGACTAGAATAAAGTTAACATAAAAATGATAATAATTAATGAGCTTTTTGAATGTATATTTTAAAGGAGAAAAAACAGTCTTTTACACCTAGAAATAAATATAGGTAATAATTTAAAATAAACATATCCATATAGGCAAAGATAGATAGTAGCTAGCAGTGGAATCCAGTTTGACGCGCGTTTCGTCCTATTTGGGACTCGTCATCTGGATGTATCTACATCTCAGAGTTGATGTTCACTCTGGGACTCGAACACAGTACATTTCGCTTCCATCTTTGCTTATAATGCTTGTGAATTAAGGCTATATCGAGGCAATACGCACAGTATGCACATATGCTAATAAGAGACTGACCAGTTGCAGTCCTAAACATCAATCGGAAGATTCAAACAAACAATACTAAGTGAATAACCATATAGGTTTCATGATTTTTGAAGATTGCTTCATTTTTTAGTACTGTATAGTTTAGAAAAGAAGCATATCAAGACAAACACTTTACAGTATCAATTAAATTAGGTTATACTCGCATACATTGTAACATCATCCAACTCATTGATGAATGACAAGTTCATGTACTGCATTTGGGTGGAAGTTTGTTTGAGAGTTTGTACAACTATCTTAAAGAAGGCAATAGGTAGTAGGAATGTATGTTGACTGTAAGAAGTTACACAGTACTAACGTAATACATATAAATAGCCTTCAATCGTCCATCTGCATCTTTTGGTATGTTCTCCAATCCAAACAGTTTTATCGTCTGGTCTCCAAGTATTCTGCCAACGCCATGCTTTCGCCGTATTGAAACTCTTCATTCCGTCTGACAACTTCGAGTTTAAGTTGCGAAACATACTACTTACAAGCAATGGTGTAAGTAGCGTCCACTACACTATCAGCTTTCAAACAAACGACGCTTACTCCTTTTAGTTTAAGGACACTAGATCCATATAGTATGTTCACTGGTCGAAACAGAGCGAGCTCTTATGAAAAATAACCTTGCACAACTATAAACTGTCTAGATCGACGTCAGTCAATCAAGCTATAAATTTAAATTCTGATGTTTCTTCCAACTTCAAGTTTCGATAATCAAAGATGATTGAGCATCTCAACGATACATCAGTAAGTTTATCATATCATATTCCATCAAACACAATTTTTAGCTAGTACTAGATGTAATATGTTACCATGATTATCAACTATTTAATAATTTTCTTGTTTTTCAACCTTGTATTCATTTATTCGATGTAACTGTGTTAATAAAAACCTCATGTATAACCAGGATGACTCCTACATCTTACCATGCCCTCAGTTAAGTCAACATATTGCAATATAAATTAAGGTTAAGCCACATAGAGTATAATGTGGCCTTGGTTTGGAACCTGAATACCGTCTAGATTGGGAATGTAGTAAAACTAAGTCCATATTAGATGAACCAAGCAGCATGAGACTTATGCACGACAGTGCAAAGATTCAAGTAATTCTTATTCTCCACCATACAGTGATATAAAGGAAAACAATGAAAATATAAAATGGATTAAAAATTTATGCAGAAAAATAAAATCAAACGTCTTACCATCGAAAACAACAATATGTTAATGAAACTTTAATTCCTATTTATTCTAAATCATATCATTTATGCGCTGTGATTCATAACTTTAACACCAAAATTTGTGGGCCTGCTGAAACATTTGGGCTACCTACTTTATGTTTGAGCGAATACATAAGTTAACCTTTCAGTTTTAAATTTATTTCAAGTGAATCAATATGGTTACTAACTGTATACACTCACTTGCCAGTTTAAAAGACTTATAAATACTGAAAACTCAAACAGAAATGTTGCTATTCTCTGCACATTTATCTTTTTATTTATTTATTGCTTGACAAAATAAGAGACAAATTCATTGAAATTCAAGTACCTTACATACAACAGATTCACAAACAGTTGTAACAGCTGAACTGGTAGAAAACGTTTTTTGATTGTGGATGGAAGATACTGGCTGTTAAAAACATCAATAAAATCTACTTTTCAATAATAACAACTTGAATGGATGATAAACAAGAAACTATTCCGATATTTCATAATTAGTTTTGAGAATTAATGACTACTACATTACTTAATATAAAACCATTATTATTATTATTCTAGTATTTCCAAATCGCTGTTATAAGTTAATACAGAATCTACTTAAAATGCGTTTATTTCATTAAAGTTATTTAGTGTTATTCTCTGGGTTTTTTTCTATTCAATACAGATTGAATCAAATAAATCAGATTTACCGGAATTCCCTATTAAATTAGCACTACTTGGTAAACCTTTAAGTGGCAAAACAACTATAATAAGCCAGTTAGAAAAGAGTAATTGTCTTTTTTTTTAAAAATTTTAATGAACCATTATTAATATCCATGATAATAATTTTCTTAATACATTTCTTGTTCAGCATAACAACAGTTGAATAATTTTTTTCGTGGAAATAAACTTTAGTTAAGATGTCGATTGAAATAACGGGTACAAATAAACATTAAATTGTATTAAAATGTCAAAAATTTGTTTACAATGCTATAATATCCTTATCATAACAAATCCGTTCGGTTTTATGAAATAGTCAAGTCAGATATCATTTAGTTCGATACACTGATAACAGACCAATAAGATGGTAAGAAATTACAAGCGGAATACAGCATTCACTTACAGTTGATTTGAAAATATGGTGTTATGATTTACTTAATCTAACTGAAGTGACGGTGTGACAACTATTGACATCCTCAGTTCTAAACTAACCAATTTCTGCTAGTACATAAACTACTTACAGTCTTATTTAGGTTACATCTAAGAGTGGAAGGTATCCAGATCTTGAAAACGAATCTCATTCTATTTTAGGTTTCGTCAGTTTGATATTAGTTGTCGTCGTTCTCATTGAAATATGTATTTATGAGTGGATCGACTAGCCGGTGTTGGCATAGGAGTTCCTTGAATATATGTTTCAGTATTTCTCACGACTCCGTTTAAATTGTCGAAATGATATTAAACATGAACATTAACGATCAAACTTGGTTTAAATATGAACTGAAACAATAACAACTTCAAATAATCAGAAAGGGGTTTTATGGATATTATAGTAATTTAATAGTTGAATTCATGAGTCAATTGACGGTAAACCACCATGGAAAGCCTAGAAGCATTGGACTCCTCAGAAATCCTCATCCACAACCCTGCATGCGGAATTCGAACCCAGCACATATCGGTCTCGCACGCGAACGCTTAACCTCCAGACCTTAAAGCCGGCATTCAACAGTGTTAATGTCTAACTTCAACCACTCCACGAATTTGCGCCACCTTTCTCTTACTTTTCTTAGTATATTCATTTAATTTGATAGTGGTCATTGTTATGAAGGAAGAATATATTTCTGAGACGACTTATTTAAAATAACTTCGGTTGCTTTAGAATAATGTAATATTAAATGAAAAGAACTGTTCAAGTGATAGAATGAAATGTATCTCATAAAATGACAATATCACCAATATATATATATATATATATATATATATATATATATATTCTGAAGTATTCCAAGACATCGTATGAAAGTAAAGTTACTTTTATTCTCAAGGCGAACAGATTTTTCAAATGGATAAAGATGGTTTTCTCAAATCCTTATCATTATTTAAGGGAGCAGAAACTAGGTAGTAATGAGTGTGTGGTTAATTTTAATCCAAGATATTCTGGGGCAGTTAGCTGTTGACATTGTCGCATAAGCACGTCTAAAGATATCGTATCTTATGTTATGGTAAAAACAATAAAAAAACAAATGAAGTTTAAAAAACTACTGACCACTGTATTCTGGCTTATTGGCTAAATGGTAACTGTTGTAGTTAGTGCTGTTTGGTTCTGTGAAATTCAAAAATGACCTGTAACAGTTGCTTAATTTTTCATGATTTTATTTAATACTTTAGTTTCTATTTTGGAATGAAGATGTATCAGTTTCTTTAAGTTACCAAAATCCAATACTAAGCATTTAAAAGTCAATAAGTATATTTCCATTCATCACACTTTAATACATTTTCAACTTCTAGATAATCGATGTGTTGGAATCAATCCATACAAACTTATAGAAGAGGCATTAAAAGCTTATGAAAATAAAGAAACTGACGAATGTTCCAATACACCCGTTGAAAGTTCTACACTACCTGGAACAGAAACCTCTTCAACAGTCACAGTATGCTAATTAATTTATCATTGCTGTACAACAATGTTTTTCTAAAGTAAACTTTAGTTACCTATAATGATGATAGTGTTTCTAATCATTTCCCCAAACAAGATTTATCCCGTTTTTAGTTAGATCTTTTTCATTTTTCCTCCACCGATGTATAGTCTTTTCATCATTTCTTCAATACGAATCAAATGCAACTCAATGAAGTAAGTTGAAATAATGGCTGAGTTGAGATGCTGACTTTGCACCTATCGATCAATATTCAGTTTTTAAAATATGATTCAAGAATTTGAAATAAAACAGTAAAGGTAATGATTTCTTATTTTCTTAAACTAGTATCTTACAACCTCAAGAATAAGGAAACTATGAGGAAGATATATTTGAAAATCCTAAACGTCGAATTCCATGTACAGGGCAATGGTTATGTTTTCTTTTTAATATGTAAAATAATCGAAGGTACACACAACCATACTCCTTTGTTGTCAAACATACAACAGAAACAAACCATAGGGTTGATTTTAAAATTGTCTTTAAATCCTTATTTGATACCAGTAGCTCTAGATTTTTACATTTATAAAAACCCTGTCAATCAGAAAGTTTGTGACCTTTTGTATGCTTTCAAAAACAATTCGTGTTGGTAATGCTTAGTCCAGCGTGGTATGAAAACAACGAATTCTATCTGGTACATACCCTCCCTGCGAACTTTATTCGCTTTCATATAAAAATTCAATGAGTGATCGGATTCTTTACAACATATTCAGCCAATACACTACTTTTTCAAATCATTTTTATCGTGTTATACTATTTAGATTTGCACAATAATAGGTTTTTTCCAAGATTTACGACCTGTTATGTTTGCTAAAAACTAATTTGTCTACCAAAAGGCAGTCATAATATACATGAGTTCAGTCTTTTATCCTGGTACTATCTGGTAATTCATGCCAAGCTATGTTTACTTTATGACTAAATATCAAAAAAAGACTGTGCTAAAATCTCTTTTGAATTAATTATTCTTGCAATTTCTAACTTTTAATACTAATAATAACAATTCAAACAAATCTTCACTTTCTAGTCTTTTAAAACAGTCTAATAATAAATTTAATATTTCAGCTGTCAGCTAAAGCGAAACTCGGTGAAAGCTTATGGAATGAATTAAAAGTTGGAAACGAAATCTCCGACGATCTTTTAGTTGACTTAGTATATGAAAAAATCAAGTAAGTCAATTGCTTGTGTTCATTTTCATGACAAATTACACTACCTAATTGAAGTTTAGTTTAAAGGATATTGAGTTAGCATTAAAATAATTAATCCACTATATATTCACTAAACCTTATTCCATAAGTAAAAAGTCCACATAACTATACTTACATAGTTACCAATGACATTTTTAATGAACTTTCAGGGTTTATCACATCTCTGTCGTTCTAAATAATGAATAACTGCCGTTAAGCTTTAAATGCTAAATAAATGTAATCTATGAAATGTTTGAAGTTTCAGTAGTTCAGTTATTTTGTGCTTCTAAACAGATTTTATTTTCTGGGTAAACAATACTTTGTTTAAATACCTTTGACCAAGTCCTCACACTGGCTCGAAAACTGTTGAAAAACAGAAAATGCTAAACATTTGTCCCTTCCTAATTTGGGACTACTCATCAATGTATACCAAAGACCTCGTGTGTGGTCGGAACGGCGATGATTAGTGCCCACGGTAAAAACGTTACATTTAAAACGCTGACTGAAAATCGAATGGATCGGATTCCCAACTTTACTCAACAGACAATACAGCTTGATCATCATCCAACCTCATCAGTGATATCTGTCCCCACTACCAACATTGTTAAACTGTATCAGTAACAGCTTCTAACTAGAATTTAAGGGATTCTCCTAGAGGTTAGCCACTACTCAACTTGACTTATATTAAGTTAGGGAGCTTCTAGGATTATTTCAGCTGTGACATTTTCAATTAATTTATTTTCATCGAAACAGGATAATTTACATTTAAATTTCTTACATCGTAGCAACAACTGACATTGCACAATTTAATCGCCTCAATATACTTGAAATTTTCTATTATTTATTAGAACTTTTGTCTACAAATTGAATATGTATGTGCACTCAACTGATAATAATAACTCTGAACTCATCACCATATATAATGTTGTTGGAACTACTAACAACACATTTTGCTATTTGTGGCAGTGAATTTGCAGATTTTAAACTTTTAACAGTATTGTCTCTGCAATGACGTTAAGGCTTAAATAACAAACATATGTGCAAAATGAATGACCCATAAAACCTTATGTTATAATCTATGTTTTAAGATGGATCTAATCACACTCTCTTATCAGCTAATATTTTGCATATAAATGTGTCTTTTACTGGAAAGAAGAAAATGAGTTTATCGGTTACCTTATTCGCTTTTTAGTGTCGGTTGATTTAGGGAGTATAAATCGATATTTCGTCTCGTTAGGTGATTATCAACCTAACATTTTTTCATTATGCTCCACCCATCACTCAATACTCTTCTAAACATTTCGAAAACCAAAATGAATTCATGAAAAACCTGAAAACCTCTTCCATGACGGGTGATAAGCTAAAAATTGTGAATGAAAGGCGTTAGAATTCTACTCTTTTAAAAAAGCATAAAATACAACGGATAAACACTAGGGACTTATATTAACACACAATATTTGAATTCGCATAATTCCAATGATTGACTAGAATGAATTTACAACCTACCTAAAGAAAAATCTCCCAAAGCTTACACCATCAACCATATTCAGTTATCTTGTAATTATTTCGTTATTAGATTTGTTATATATCTATATAAATTTCTTTGTACTCTTATAATATTTTTTTGCTTCTTTTCCCATCAAGATCTCTTCAACCAACAATTGGTTTTATACTAGATGGATTTCCAACAAACTACAATCAAGCTAAATTACTGGAACAAAAGTTAACCGGAAACAAATCGAACAACATTCCACTACTTTTAGACGTACAAAACTCAACAGATTTGAAGTTAAAAAATGGCTTAGATTTGATTATTTTACTAGATATATCAGATGAATTAATTTTAAAACGTGTAGCACATACAACAATATCAAAGACAGCATTAAATGATTCTTTGACAAAGTATACAACCGCTGAAGAAATACCATACAATAACCAAGTTGATATACAAACGAACACATCATCTAATCAAATTCATACTATGAATAATAATTCAGAAGTGGACGAAAATCAGAATTCAACGTATTCCGATAATTTTAATTATTCTTCATACATTTTACAAGAAACCCATGGTAACATACCGGAACGGTTAGTTAATTTCATTCAGTCTTGGCCAAAATTGTATAAATTTTATCAAAAACAAAATTCAAATTTATGTGTTGTAAATCTAACAGATTTGTTATATAATACAAAATTCTATGATTATGATATAGAAAATAATGATGAATCCATGAAATTAGCTGTTTATTTAGAAATTGAAAGACAAATTGAAGAATTTATCAAATGTAAAGAAAACAACGCTTTGGTTAAAACAATACCAGTTGAACAGATAGAATTCACTGGAAACGATCGAACCATTGTAATGAATGTTGGTGAAGATGTTGAGAAGGAAAATGATGATGAGAAAGAGGCAGAAAGCAAACGTACATTATTCGCAAGTTCTACCAGAGAATTAACCAATAATGATGATCAAAATGATCATTATAATAATAAAGTAAGTCTTATTTCATAATAATAATAATAATAATAAAGAAGATAAAAATGTTTTTAATTAAACTTTGAAATTCCTTTGGATACATCTTATCATTTAAAAGGCTCGAGTTATTCTGAATGTGACTTAATTATTCAGCAGTTTAACTTAAATATATCAACAGTAAAATAATAGCTTCAATTTAATTCCATACTCCACATTTATGAAAAATAAAAAAATTATTAACTTAATTTCTCATTTTCGTCATTTTCTTTTGTATTCATCCTTTATTTTTATTCTTTATAGAAATCAGATATACAGGATTATAACATGAAAGACGACAAGTTGAAAGCTAGAAATGGTAGCACCAACTCACTGCGTTTGACTCAACGTCCTGTTACAGCTAAAACTTCATCTAGTGGTAAAAACTCTACAACTTCTAGGCAAAGTAATCGTAGTAAAAAAGAGGGAAGTGCTGAAAGTCAAAGAAAAACAGGTGATTTACTAGTCATAACTAGTCAATATTTGTTTACTTATTTTTCAGTTATTTTGCATATTGAAAGTTAACCGTCTGAAACATGAATAGTCAATAAATTCGCAGTTAAAATTCTATTAATTTAAACTCATGAACAGATAGGTTTTTCTTTGTTTTTTCAATTGGGTCATTGACGATTGGGATATAAACATGTTGGGCAAGTGACATTAAATCTGAAATTGTATCTGTAATCATAACCGTAGTGGTTAAAATTTGAAAAGTTATAGCTCATCGATCATCAATCTGAACTGAGCTTCTTTAATGGGGTCATCAGGATCTCTGAAAGAAGATAAAGTGAGAAGCAATTCTGTTCTCTTACTAATATCTATAACGTAACTAGAATAAAACTGTTATTTCTTAGTTCATGCATTTTTTAATGTTCCTATCATTTCCAAAAATTTTTATGTTGATTTGTTTTAACTAGTGGGAAGTAGATCTCCATCAGGAGGACGAAGTGCCAAACAGCATGATAATAAAGAGAGACGAACAAATTCAAATGATCGTAACAAACAAGTGGAATCAGTCCAAAAAGATAAATCAAGAAGTCGTTCTGGTAGCGAAAAGAAACAACCAAAGAAAACAAAGCTGAAATCTACTGATTCACCTCAATCAGTTAAGGAAACTGATAAAGAACAAACCGTTATTTTACAGCCAGATTTGCCACAACCTGGTGATGAAAATTACCAATTCGTTGATTTGCCAGTTATGAACGTTAGTTTCATTTTTAGAATAAAAGTTCATATTGGTTTATACGGACATGTCTCATGAAGCTTTTTTTGAATATCCTTATTTTACACATAAGTGATTGATAAACGCAAGTATTAAATGATACTATTCGAAAATGTTTTTTTGCAAAACTAGTAACGTTTTATTTCAAAATACATAAATAACAAACTATCACCTTATTAACATACCCCTAGTAACTTTTATTTTGACGTATAAAAAAATGTAATTTTATTCATCAGCCAGAAAAGAATCTTTTAGAAATCCTTAAATATGCAAATTTTGGATTAATTTGAGAAGTTAATGTAAGGTTATGAAGTATTCCAGTCCTCAAGAAATCATTTAACAACAATTAGGCGATAACTCAATTTCAGTAAATTCTTTATAAACCACGGCTCCTATCCTTTCACCGTCAGTGATAAACATTGAATTTTTATCACTTAACGGTTTATAATACTGATGACTTTTCTTTGGCTTTTTTAAACTTGATATTAAAACAGTTTGCAAAACCAGAAACTTGAACAAAGTGATATCTGCACGTGGTAGCTACATGCTAAGTAGTAGCAACAAGTCCTGGCTACAAATAGTAAATAAATAATGTGAACATCGAAGTGATTGATAGACATTTAGCAGACGATTTTGCTTTAAGAAAGATTTCCTTCCTATAAAAATTAGCTGTTGTTTTTACCTTCAGTATTTCTCGAGTCCATTCTTTGAATTTTATTTGTTTTATTATTTTCTCCTACCAGGAATCTGCCCATATATTATGGGAATTTTGGAATAGCACGGAAACTATATACAATCGGAATTTGAAGTCAATTTTCCGCCAAATACGTTCTCTGAATTCAAATATTATACCGCATATGTATCACATTAAACAGCAGTTTTATATTTATTTATACAGACCTGATTCGAAACAACATTTCCTGAACCAGTTCATTAGTGTAAGTTATATGTTTTTAAAGACAAGTGACAGACCAATCACCATCTGAGTCGTTTTTACCTTTCCAAACTATTTACAATTATTAATTATCGGTCCCCACACTAGTTATCATCATTAATGATTGGTTAGTCAAAGATTGCTGAAAAATACATACCTTGAATCTGAAGGTTAAGAAATGCCGCCTGCAAGCTCCCTAATGTAATTGACCTAGTAGTTTCCATTTTGTTTACAGATGAATCTATGATATTTTTAGCATCAGAGTCTTATATGTATTGCTTTTAAAAATAATAATGATATACATTTTGAAGATAGTCACAGAATGTACACTAATTTATAGGGCTGATCAGGTTAATAAAAAGTATTGACAACATTTTAAAAATATGAGTATATTATGTGAAAAGATGAAGTTCACAAACTATTTTAACTGAACATTTGTGACCGAAATGATAGTAACGTCAATAATAAGAAAAATATGTAATCAAAGTTTACACTACACGAGTCTTCAAAATCGCACTTTTCTCTTTCACAAAGGATGTGTGAAAAACGTAGGAAAATGACATAACTGAAACTTCATAACCGATAAGACCCATTATTTAGTAATCAGTATTTTTTTAATAGAAACAACAGGACGTCTTGTTTGTGGAGAGGTGAAATAAATAGTGCAAAGTAAGGTGGTTTCTGTCCAGTTATGGGGTGCGTTCAACCATTTACAACTAAAAAAAAGACAAAAGCCAAGAGCCCGAAACGGTAACCACAAAATATTAGTCATAGATCTCTCGCCATATTTGTATAAGAATAAATTTTAACGTATCGATTTATGTAGATTTTCAAACTGATCAACTGTTCGAAACCAATTCTTACAGGAAAGAAGCGATGTAAGTAGGGTAAGGTGTGAGATTACTCTAGTATAACGCACAGCGGTCCATAATCTAACCTCGTGGTTGAGTAAGGCCGTTAAACATCAATCTGAAAAGAAGTTTTATGGGTATGTTAATGAATAACAGTTTTGTTGCATTTAAAGTCTCTAAAATTTCATTAGTAGGTTGTAATATAATTGTTGGTTTATGCACTAATATGGCCGAATCAAAAGAGAAAAACTTTCGATCTGCCATATTAACGATGGTAATGAATGCCTTTCACTGAGAAAATGTGACAGACTGTTCTAGGTTCTCGAAATTTTACTTGCAAAGTTGAAAAATATTCGATGAAGTATAAGCTACCACTTCCATGGAGGATCGAGTTCTGGCTGAATGTATCTAAAATTATAGTCTAAAATTATCGTCCTTAATATTCCAAAGTGTAAACTGAAACTAAACAGATTGCAATCTAAGTTTAACACTGCACAACAAAATACTTGATCCATTGTTGTGGCAGTTACGCAGTAAGCAGCTCAGAATTCGTGGTGACTAAGATATCTGTGTTGTGACCTGGTCTGAAGAATAAAAACTATGAGAATATGTGAGTCCCAAGTTTACCATTGAACAAAACCCATGTAGCTCTAGGCCTTTTATGGTGAATTTAAAATTAAGATAAGTGTCATCAAAGCAGACTAAACTACGCTTATCAGTCCTCATGACAGAATTCCATTTTAAATACCTTAAGGCGACCTTTCTGTGCTCAGTTCTGAAATCATTTTAGATTTGGGCAAATATGTGGGCAGAAATTGAACACATTACCTTGAGATCACTTACATACGGAAAGAGTTTATTCGTACTGCAGCAATTACAGATATCATTTGGATAGGCTGGAAGGATCTTAAGGCCATAAACACTAACTTGTGTTATTCCACTTGTAATAGGATTACCATGCGGTGTGAAAAATTTTATTTTAGTTATTAGGTAGTGATAACTGAGAAGAGAATTTACCCATACAAATATGAATGATTTTTGGAGCTTAAGATAGAAGATTGCTTTTAGAGAAAGTGTAACAGCTTTTGTAGACCGATGGGGTAAGAAAGAATAAAAGTTTGAATCTTTAAAAATATGTCACACGACGTCGGTTCGCCATATAAACTACCTGAATTTCTACTTGATGATCACAATGAGCAAATAATATGGTCGATTTTTGATGAGGTTTTCAGTAATGAAACGCGTATTCTAAAAAATTAGGTTGACTATCTGGGTATACGTTCACATATTAGAATGAACTATCAAAAACGTACTAACTGATGGCATTGCTAATGTGGTCAAAAATCTTTGGGTTATACTATGAACCTATTATCCATTGCCATACCATGATTTAAGCCCAAAAACATGATTGTGTAAACCTATCTTAGTGAATCATTGTCAGAAAATCAAAAGGATTCATAAATACTATGGTAAAGTCATGCTCAAAAGTATTTTTCAAAATACTTTGTGGATAAAGCATATTCATGTCACAGAATATGGATAAAATGAATGAAACTATTGAGAATCGGAAGAAGATTAACAAACTGAAACACTTTTTTTGTTATAAATTATGTAACCAGATGTAACATTCACTATCTGGTAGATTTGTATCTACTCTGGTGGCATGTTATTTTTAGCTAAGGTGGAAACAAGACCTGAATGTGAAAATTTTAAATAAAAGACAAGAAAAGAAAACATGAGCCAACAACTGAGTAAGCTGATATTATTCCGTTTCACCTATGAGTGAGGAGAATCTTCGGCAATAAATGATGTAACAACGTTAATTCATGACTAGCAAATAGGAAAACTTAAAAATAAATTAAATTTTGTTGTGTCGTACCAATGATGTTGATTACTGCTACTGATATGGATATTGGTTATGGCTACGAAATAACTGCTTTCTGCCACTTTTCGATAGAAGTAGACTGAAATAGTTCGATGAAATGAAGGCAGAAAGACAGTTAGATGAAGATTTATTTGTAAATAAATAACTGATTTAAATGACATCGAAACTAATAGTCAAATATATCATTTTAAATGTTCGGTCAATAGACAAATCCGAATGCCTTGAACTAATAATTATTCAGCAATGTAATGTGTACACAATTTATAAAATCAGTGAACCAAAAGGCTTTGAATAACATGCAATTAAATAACTGAGTTATATATATACTATTCGTTCTTAACACCTCAACCTTTTTAATTGAATCCGCTTGAGTGAGGTTTTCTGTCGGCAGGGTCAGTTTATCCTTTTTAACTCCTTGCTCTTTTCAAACCGCTGGATATAACGAGTAACACATGAATATATCCATTTTTCATCTCAATTTTCAATAGTCATTTAATTCGCTATTAAATGAAATGCGTTCAGATAAAGAGACCAAAGCAGATTTACATTGTCGAACAGATGATCTACGTGATACTTTATATGAAATCATTGATGAAACAAAACAAGCTAATGAAAATCGTTTGAAAACTTTACTTGATATACCTGGTTGGTTTACAGATAAGCAAATATTGTTGATTAATTCATACTTGTCATTATTACAAATTGAATTAACACGTTTTCAAGAGAATGCACAATTAATAAAGGATTATTATGAGTAAGTTCTTGAATAAATTAGTTTAATTAATTGTTGATGGCTAAAATTCAAGTAAATTTTAAACTGAGGCTTGGTTTTCTAGAGGTTTCATATTCAATGTATATTTTTGTAGTCAATTCAAATTAATTAAACACACTAACCTGCATATGAATGAGGAAAATGTAACAAAATACAACGGATTCATCATTTTTAGCAGCTCATACTGTTTTGTTTATATTTGTGGAACCAATAATATGAAAATATGATATTTATTGGCGTTAAGTTAGATTAGCTTATGTTTACAAGTAGATCATACCTGAGTTTACGATATTACTTAATGGAATTTTTCTCTTGACATATAACGAAATAAAATTATCTAATTAGTGTGTAATACCAGTATTTGATTAATGAGAGAGAAAAATATCATGAAGACGTAGCCAATAGATGAGTTTTTAGATTATGGTAAAAAGTAAATGTCTTCATCTGTGAAAGTGGCTTCATCTCTAGCTACTCAAGATTTTCTATTATTGACAGCTCATTAAATGATTAACCTGTTATGATAAATATTGATATCTAACCCTGATACTTTTCAACAAATAGCACTAATCAGACGTTAACGATACCTTAAAAACGCAATTTGTCTTTCGTCTACGAACTTACTTAGTACAGTAAAATATACTGTCACATAATATCCCTCTGTTTTGGGTTAACACTGACATTGTTGATCTCTAGAAGTAACATCACTTAACGACTGCAAATGGTACCTTCTAAATCTAATAAAAGGTGCTAGTAATTATTCTTCAAATCCTTGGATAAGCTATCCCAAAAGAGCTTGGTTAATCAGTGTCTTTCTCAACTTCCTACTTATTGTAACACCTATTTAAAGACTAACTAGAATCCCTAGCCACGTCACAACTGTTTGGCCAACCTTACTTTAAGTACAAGAACTAACACTTAAGTAAGGCTTCAGTTGTGTTGTTTTTTTCCTACTTTTTTTTCAAGACTCAGGTGGCTAAAAAATTGGATCTCCATAAGTAATTCTTGGAGTTGTTTTCATTAGCGTTTGGTTTCCAGACGTAACCTCATTCATACGTCTTTATCCATTTGTAAAAAAATTGTCGTTGAGGGCCGTTTTGTGAAATGCCAAACTAGTATTAAATAATTCTTCGGCTTATATGATCCTAAAATTGCCTTAATTTTATTCAATTACGTTTCATTTACATTATCTCTACTACGTCTAAAACCTGACTATCAGACAGCAAAGAACGCGCTTTTTATGATCAAAATACCAATAAAGGGACCACTTTTTGTGTTTGTGTCTTCACTAACTGAAGACTACATTTTATATCTAAAAACGTGAGCACCTTTTTCTCATGAAAAGTTATTTCAACGTAAATGCAGTTTCGTATAACTTAGCGATCCAAAGGAACATAATGACACTCCAAAATGAAATAGATAAAACTCCAAAATGTAAAATTATATCAAGTGCTAGATCATATGAAGATTACCATCAGTGAAAAAGGTATCATTTTTGATTTCTTGAAACAGTATGTTGAACGGAAAGTGAATTTGTGTTATATTTTATTACTGAGATTCTAAGTTATTAAATTACTTTGGAACTAAAACCAGTTTTGTGAGCTCGGTTTAAGAACATACTTTTGCAACCTCATGACCATAAATTTATATTTCCAGTAATAAAAAGTGACGTTATTTTACAGGGTAAAGTTTGGTACTTCCATCGTATGTGAACCTCACGATAGCAAGAAATGAATTAATACTCTTTTCCAGGTACTAACCATCACAACTCTCTTTTTTACGTCATAGATACATGATAAGAGTAAAAATAATATCACAGACACGATTGTTGGTTCACAATTAAATGTTTCAGGTATATAATTTGTAAATAATCCTAGTGAATGAACTCAAAGTTCCTTTAGTTACTGAAAATTAACTCAGTATCTTATAATTCACAGTTAATAACAACTCTGTACATATCCATTTCAGAGTTATGGAAGCTAGACCTCAAACAGTCGAAAATGAATCGATTCAAGCTTTATCGGGAACAATTGACGCAAGTCAAATTGAATATACACGAATACCATTAATTAAAGTGGGTTATATATATATAATCATTTCATTCTTAGTTAAAACGATTGCTAGAAAATGATCTGTCAATGACTGGTATCAACTGATGTTTTAAAAATAAGTTATTTTTAACTAAGAATAGACTTCAGTAGAAATATCTACAAAATCCAAGAGGTACTGAGTGTTTGTATTATTTTAGTTTTGGACTAGAACCTACGATCTTATGCAAGATCGAACTTTGAGCCATTAGACTTCACGTCCAGCAAGACAACCATAAACGAAAATATTTTATTACACAAAAGTGTTTACAATATTTCACGTACTTTTCATCAACAAACATCCTGGTAGAGGTTTATATGTCATACAACTTCGGAATTCTTTTTAAATTTAGAAGAGATACTCTTAGTTTGTTGATAATACCTTTGAAAGATTAACTACTTCCTGAAAGTCAGAAATAAGAAAGTCTTTTATTTAAGTTATTGGTAGCTTTATAAACACAGGTAAATTTTCATTAATGTCATAGTTAAAAAAAAACTGTGATCTTTAAAAAGGTAGTAAATAATAAGAAACAACTAGTTGGTGGTATTGCAAGTAACTTTTATCGAATTGATGTTGGTAAATATCGAATAATGATTTTTTTTCTATTCGATAAACCAATACCTAGAATACTCCTATCACCGCTTGAGAGACTTTATTCAGCAAAAAATCCAATGTTTCGTATGATTCATACCAGAAAATTATAAAATAGACAGTAAAAACATTTAATTTTTTTTCTTTATTTGCTGTTTCGAAACATTGTCTCTATAAGTTTTGTTTTATGATCGCATTCTTCAATATTTTCCTTTAATTGAAAAGTAACAACAATTTCTCGATGCATTACATCAAAAATACCACTCAATTTTTAGCTTCCTGATGAAATTGTAGAAAATGGTGATAGTTCCGGATCACGTAAAAGTACATCAACAAGACAAAATTCTTCAAGATCTAGTTCAAATAGATTGAATAAATCAAAATTAACGGATTCAGGCAACACTGTTTTGTCAAAATATCCAACTCCGATTGATATGAAATTTGAAATTTTACCGAGTGAATTTCGTAGTCAAATTAATTTACTGAATCCTAATTCATCATTACAAGAAATATTTGCAGCATTTAGTAAAAGTCAGTATGCAACCTGTTTGTTGTTAATTTTAAAAAAATTAAACTGCTTAATGTCTTATATATATATATATATATATATATATATATATATATATATATATATATATATAATTACTGGAGATCTGTATCGTCGTACTTCGGGACTTCTCAGCTGATATCAATGATGAAAACTATCTTCAAACTGGAAAACCCTACAAAAAACTGTTTGCTTGAATAATAATCATATTCTCACTTGTAAATAACTTCGGGCTGTATTTAAGAATTTTCTACAGTAAACCGTGACCTGTGGAACGAAACACTAACTGACTGGTATAGTTAAATAAGGATTTCTCTGAATATCTAATTGAGTAAAGTTAAACATGTGAACCATTTTATTTCGATTCATTGGCTCAGTACTAGCATACTCGCCAGCGCCATTGTGCCAGTCAGTGTAAATCTGCCAAGAAGGCCTTAAATCATATAGTTCTTACATTCTTACTGAACCATTCAGCTATTTCTTAATTTCAACTTCGTTAAAATATTATGTACAAAATTATGTTTTTGATAAGTAATAATTTCTTGCAGTCGCAGACAAAGTGAACAGTCTGCTAAGCTTCATGATAGTCCACACATCAATGCTTAAGATGGACTTCACTTCTTCCAAACATAAACACCATTTAGGAGCTGCTTGTATGGATGTTCTGTTTGTCAATCAGAAATGAATTAGCTCAGCGCATAGATCACTTCATTCATACCGGTTCATAATAACTCAACATAAACACGTCAAACTCACACATTTGTCGCTTCACGTTACCTGTTAAATTTTATTTTCACGTTTTAGCTCCAGCTTTTATTTGTTTAGATCTTGTATGAAACTGCACTACTTACCAATACTCAGTAGCTCATGGTGGGAAAACATTTTTACGTCTTTCATGGAACTTATGACATTTTTTGATCTCAATAAACCACTTATCTCATCCTTCATACTCATATCTTAATGTTTGTAACCATTTTTATACTCGTAGTAATATTTCTTCTCATTGTTTGCCTCCCCTTTAATATCCTAGGCCTTGAAACTGTTTACTATGAAATGCTGGCTTATTTTTGAAACACCTCTTAATTGATTTTTCGTTAATTTCTGTTCCCCTATGGACAAATCCATAGAACTTTTCATTTAACTTCTCTTTAACTGCCATATTGATCGTGTAATTAACGTCTAGACAGCTGATAAGACAGTGTTTTTAAATGCTTAATGTTGACATTGTTTTCCGAAATCTTTGGCCATTTTCAGACAAATATCGCGTTTCAGTTTTACGATTTTATGTGTAAGTTATTCGCTGGGTGGGAAACCTCGAATATCTTCTACTTCTCTTATGGTCCAAATGATACCACAGTCTACTGTTTTAACGTAAATGCGATGTGCGGTAGTTCACCCTACATTGCTACGCAAATATAAAGTAAGACTTCTGAAGATAAAGGATAAGTGTAACTTGATAGGGAGTCAGATTAATTTTTAAAGATGGTATGCACCATGAACTAATTTTAGCTGAGAAACTTTTGAGAACCAGGGAACATTGGACAGTCATCTCGTTCTGGTCTTTTATTATTTCATTCTTCTCCTATCCTTAGTACAGATGGTTTACCTTTGACTAGTCAGACTGTTTCATCCAATCAGCCAAATCAAAAAGGAACCAAACCTGGTGCTGTTAAAGCAAATTCAATTCAAGAAAAAGTGACCCTGTCAAATCCAATCAATCTTCTCCTAGATAAACCGACTCCATCTACAGATTCATCAATTCAATTTTTATATAATGTTTTTTTAAGTGCTATGCAAATTATTTTGAATCAGGTTAGTTGAACAACTAGTTTCTAAGTTAACATCAAGTTTTAATAGGTACTTAATAAATTAATGAAAAGTCATAATGGAGATACGATTTTTAAAATATGCACATCCTTGTAGTTTAAACTGATTAAACACTTTAAACTAATGCTACTTATTATATAAGTGGGATATGATTAACGATTTATGTGAAATACGTTTTAAAATGAGATATTCTATTTGAACGTGGAAAAAAATATGTATTTCACAAATGTTTCTTTTCTTACACAATAACATCGCCATTAATTTCTCGAGTACTTCGAAACGGAAACCTAAGAAATAATTATGCATAAAATTTATGAAAATTCAGGGAATAATAGTACACGTCTAACAAGTCAATGAAATTTTTTTTATCTGATTGTGATTGACCAACAATTGTAACGTAGATGTTTTGTTGAAATTAGTTTAATTTGCAGTTTATGTTTGTTTCAGATCGATCTCACTTGATATGCTATCAGAAATCAGGCATTACTAAACAGCCGCTTCGTTTTGGTTTCATACGCCCAATCAGTGTGTGTCTGCTACTATACCAGAGATTTTACCCGGGACCTCCAGATCTCAGGGTAGATCACAAGTTGGTCGAACTTTTAATTTTACCGCTGGATACTGACTTAAGCGCAAGCCGTGAAACCCGAAGGTCCTTGTTCGGCCCAGTAGCGAGGTGACAAAAAGTCTCATCGGCTCCCAACAATATCCCAAGTGGGAACGGTCCGTGAAAAATACAGCCTACAAACCACCGAAGTGTTAAATCACCTGTTGTTTATTTTGGAGGTGACCTTCACTATTAATTGACGTCACCGAAGAATCATTAAAAGCTAGAGATTGGGGAAATCCAAATCATTCTAGTTTCCAACCCTTCAGCAGTTAAGACCCTTAACCCAACACAAAGTCGAACCTATAATGTTCAAATTATTATAGTAACTTATAGGGATTTACTTAGTAAATTTACAACCCTTCAAAATTCATTTACCTAGCAGTCCGATACTGATCTTATGATTTTCTTTTATTATCTAACAAAACATTTGATACTAAACATTGGTGAAAACAAGCAAAACATTGCATAAAATGCTAGTGTCTGAGACTGCATTTACGTCTGATGAATATCTACTTAAAGTTCAGCGCTTATGAATGATAACCTCTTTAAAGATTCTGAGAAGGAAGACTCATGGTTTTCACTATCGCTCTAAAGAGCGAGAAAATCTACAAACCGTCGAATCGTTTAATCCAGCTATTGGAAACAAAAAATTTATTGTGAAAATCTTGACTTTTGGCTCATAAATGTCTCAGGTTTGTAAATCTTTAGTTATAAACTTAACTGGAGCTAGTTATCATCGAAATTTGACCACTCAAACGCCATCGTAATCTTTGTGAATGATTCAGTCACTATAATGATCACTTTTGCTCTCTTATATGAACTGAGTAGTTATACAGTATCTTTATTATTCTCCATCTCATATTATCTACACGAATGTTTACTGGTTACAAACCGTTCGGACATTTCATTAATTGCGAATCACATGTCAACACTTACTCTTTATTCTCACCTATATGCAAAATATCATAGGATGTATTCAACAACTTGAAGTATTAGCTATCAAGGCCTTATACCCATTGGTTGACAGATTGAAGTTGATGCACTAATTTCAATAACTTGAAAGACAATTAGCAAAAATCTCTGATAACATCTAAACTATGCTTAGCTGTCTTAATAATGTTGTAGTACATCCAATAATGAATGTTCTCATCTAGAATACTAACGTGAATGTTTCGAAACTGTTTTTAAAGTATTATTATGAAGTCACATTCTTTTTAAAATTGTCCAACAATTTATTGCATCAATATTAACCTAAAGAAATCCATAACATTTCCTGTTTTTAAACATGAATTTTGAAAGCCATTTAATTTTCATGTTGTCTATTTGCTTACTGATTATCTTATAAGTAACTAAGTTATCTTAGTAGGCTTTAGAACCACACGCGAATAAAGTGTTAAATATCATGTTCTATAGTTTCACCTAATATGTATTCTTTTATTGTTTAAGGTACAAACAGAACGGAAGTCTAGAGCGAATGAAGCTATGTTAGACGGTTATACAGTGGATTTACTGATTAAGCCTACAGACACAAAAGGTGGCAAATTAAACTCAGCAGATAAAAATAAAGGTGGGCAACCTCGTAAAGGACAAAGAAAATCGGTGGGGCCTAAGGAAAAGGGATCTAAACCTGATGAACAAGCAACTACTCCAGGTCGTTTATTACTTTAAAATTCACAGAACCTTTTTCATTATATTTAGCTACTATACTACATTACATACACTTTAGTTTGAAAATACTTTACGAAGTGCTTCTGAATAACGTAAATAGTTAAACACCATAGAATAGATCAAAATATTTGAATAAACAAACTGGTGTTCCAACAAAAAAGATTCCTCTTCACTATTAAGTCCTAGAAAGTAATGTACGATCGTTTCATCTTTGTTAACAACTCAGCAGTGGACACTCGGAACTCTATTTCAGATTAAAACTAGCATTCACTGGTGCCTTAAAGTACGTCAATCCACTGAGTTGGTATCTAGTTAGCTACACTTTTAACTTGTTTTAACTTAACAAACACTATTATGAATACTTTTCATAACCGAGTATCAACTGTTATTCCCTACTAATGATAAGTAAATCAAGATTGATAGGCATCGACACCAAGAAGACTGTAAATGAAGATTTTCATATTCGATAGCGGTAGATTAGCAACTGGTCAAAAACACACTGGATTTGGTAGAATTTACTAGTTTTAGGCAATAGTTAAATTTGAACACATTAAATTGAGAGGCAGTTAGCATTGATTAATCAATGATTTAATGTATGTATACAATTCAAAAGATCAGTAGATATATATTTTACTTCTTCCTTACATCTCTCGTTTTCGACTGGATACGCATAAATAGGGTTTCCTGTTGGAGAGAGTCAATTTTAACGCGGTTTTGGGCTTAAAATTAGGTTGGGTGACTAGTGGAAACCCCACCTAAATGACTTTACATGTCACGGGCTCACGTTAGAACTTGAAATTAATGTTGAAGCTAGTTACAAACTTACTAATAGACTGCTTGGTTAAGTTGAAATTTTCTTTGGATTTGAGGTTAGTTTGTATCATGGACTGGTATCACCAGCTAAACCATCTTAGCAACTTCTAATTTTGTCTAAAATTGTAGGTACTTTTGATGTAGAAAATTATTACCAGCCTAGATTGTTAAAGATTGTGCACATCATTATGTAGCGAATCTACTTAGATAGCAACTTACCAATCTACAAAGATTGCTTCCTGGATAATATAAAAGTACTATTCTTTTCTTGACTGACTATTTGTATTTGATGTGTTAAATGAGAAAAAAAATCAAGGATTTAATACTCTATAATCTAATTAAATGGTTTTTAAGTCAGTGAATAATACAACTAAGAATAATTATATAGAGTCGCCTTCAATCCTCTACATCTTCTCCAGCCCTGTTTATAAAATCCATTACACTAATATTTAAGAATTTATCTATATATTATGGATCAATCAAATTAATCATGTTTTTCAAACGAATGTTCAGGTTTACTAAGTACAGTTTTCTTTGCTTTTTCTCTTCATTTAGTAGAACTAACTGAAGAAGATCAAAAGGCTAGAGAAGTTAGGCAACATATTAGAGAAGAACATATAGCTGCACTAGAAAAAGAAGGTGAATATGTAATTAAAGAAATTTATGGACCAAAACCCATATATTTTGGTTTACTATAATTTGTATATCATGATTGTGTAATGATCACAGTGCTGGTTAGTCAAAATACTAAAAAGACATTGATTGATACTGTTCGTGAAAAAGTGTCATATAGCCGAGTTGTAATTACTAATTAAGCTAAATTTACTCATTTGTTCCATTTACTGACTAAACATAACAGCCTTAGTTGTGCGGTGGATGAGATGTTTGACACTGAATGGAAAATCACAATATTGTTGATACATTCACTAAAGAAAACTTCATTTAAATTTCCCTCAACTAACCAACATCGTCACTCTAGCATGTCAACTACATTATGGACTGTAAGATCGAAACCAGACACCAGTTATCTCAACAAAAATCACTTCCCTGTCATACCTTAATGTAAACGCTGAGTACGAGAAAAGTCATATTCTCAACACTAGTACAATCCTCATAGATTTTATATCACGAACTTATTTCATTTAGACCACTATTTAAAACCTGATAGGACTGGACTGTCGTTTCATTCTACCATGGAGCTCCACAGCAGTGTCCATCCACGATCTCGGATCCAGAAGTCTGACTCAGGACCTTCGGTTTAACGCATGAACCCCTAACCCCTAGACCACTGAGCCAGCATCCAACTATTTTGGAAATATTTTACAATATCACTACAGAGATTGATCAAATCATTTTGGTAAGATACCAGTGAGAAATAAACACTTTACTACTGTGATGTTTTTCAAGTTAATCTGCATCTTCGTCTAAAAATTGCTGCCAAAATGTCCATATTGTATGCTAATGTGTTAAAGTTTTAATTATAAATGTGAATGATCAGTAAAATTATCTACGGTAGATAGTTCTCTGTTACTCCAGGCCAGGAAGTTAGTCATCGACATTGTATGATTTGATACGAACGCGTGTTAGTCCGCGTTTTCACAATTCACATCAGTGCTGATTGTAAAGAAATTGAAAAAAAGTAGCGTATGATAGAAATAATTGTAACTTCAACGAAAATCTGAACAGAGGTCGGATTAAAAGAAACAAATAAGATCAAATAATGAAAAGTTAGGGATGAACACCAACTTGTTGTCCTGAAGAAAAGAGAATGAATGAAACAGCAACTAATTTTATACCATGGGACCCAATATTTCCAATACTGATTGCAAAATTTGTGCGAGCCCCAGCTAGGAAACCTACATCCACCAAAGTGGTCTAGATCAGTATACAATTATTTCAGTAATTGATCTCATTTCTTGACTTTCTGGCTAGCGAAACCCAAACTTCTGATTTCTAGGTGGATAGTTATATCTCGTCATAAAATACTTTGTAGAAATTATCTCCATCTCTTCTTTAATCTCTTTTGATTTTGTAATTTTAAATAGCCGCTAAAACTGCCTTTCGTTTCACACTAATAAGGGCTCAAGGATCAGCCGTTCTATCAGATTTACAGGAAAAGTTTTCCCAGTTAAAGCAATTTATGACAGATTGTATCGGAATTAAAACACTTAAAGAACACGATGCGTAAGTTCAACACAGTATCGTTTTGCAACCAACTTTTTGTTATGTCAAGAAGTTACTCATAAAATGAAACTTTAAACATATCATTGGACACACAAGCGGAAGTTTTACAAGAACCTGTGAAGGTGATTAGGATACTTATTAGAAATCGATCAACAAAGTTGGAAGAAAGCCTAGGTTATGGCTGATTTTGAATCGGCTGCTTCCTGGTTACTGACTCAGAGATTCAGTCGTTAAATTTTATCTACATCCCTTATGTTTATTTTGTGAATATAATATATACATTGCATCGGATGAGTATTACATAATGATGGTATTCACCTGAATGTAAGCAATGTCGTTAAACTATCAGATTAGCACAAAGTTGAAAAGGTGGTTAGGATATATTTCGATACTATTATACTCATTTTGATGCTGTACCTTTCATTTTGACTTAAGTGATTATCACTTTAAGCACTGTTAATGGTAACATTCATCATGAAACAGTAGTGATAAAATCTTATTATGAAACAAATAACTTTTTATTATATGCTTGCTTAGCTTCTATACACAAATAATGTATTGAAATATTGTGGCAAATACCAAATGACAACTAACTTGCAAACAAATAGGCACTTTATTCCAGCTCTAATACCCTCACATTCATCCACGGTGCTTTCCTTTCTTGTGTCGATACGTTTTGAAGAGAACCGGGAATTTTTATTGTATACACTACATTGAATACTATCACCAATTCTAAATATATTGCCCCGGCCGTTTCCTTTAAAAGTTTTGGCCGATAGAGTTCATAGTGCTAAGTGTTAAACGAATTTCTCCAACAGCAATGCGCGATGGTTGTGCTACACTGCGAACTGAGCAAATTAGGAAGCGGGATAGCAACATCCCAATTCAATGGCCTAAAAGTAATGTGTTTGCTTCAAAAGTCCAATCTCAGAAAGGGAAAGAAAAAGATATTTGGTTCTCTCCAGTAATTTATGGTTATCTCGCTAAAGTCAACCCAGAATGTTAATTACAAATTAGTTAATTTTCATGAACTACCCATATTAAGTTTTCATTTAGAATTTGATCTCACTAATTATCGTGTAATGCATTTCAGTGTGAACAACACACTTGAAGTTATTCGATATATGATTGAAAAAGAACAGAAACTACCAGAAAAAATGATATTAGACGGTGAACAATTTTATATTGATGAAGTAAGCATTTTATTTTGTTTTCTTTCCATTAAAATAGACTGTTTTACTTTAATTAGAAATATATTCAAACTCGTTCAATGACATAATTTGATCATAAAAAGATTATTTAAACCCTGTTTAAATCGCATACTTGACCAAAAATATCTTACAAAAAGATTTTAAGTATCATGTCTTAATTTCCTAAAGTTAAAAGAGAATTAATGTTTATATATAGTTGAAATCATGAATCAATTGAAGCTAGACAACCATGGAAAACCTGGAAGCACTGGACAGCCGTTTCGTCCTATTGCAGGACCCCTCAGCTATGCACATCCACGATCCCGTCCCACGAGATTCAAACCCAGGACCTACCAGTCTCGCGCCAGAGTACTTGACCGATAGACCACTAAGCGGGCATGCAACGGTGTTAATGTCTAACTTCAACTAACCCACAAATTAATGTTTATTTGTTAGTTCTGTCAATGAATGACCAATACGTAAACTTTGATTTCCAACCAAAATCAGAACAATAAATTGATAAATTAACTCAAACTTATTGATATTTTTCATGTATATGGAACAGCCGCATTACTAACATTAGAGTGATGTGCAAGTTACTAAGTCGAAATGCTAGTACTGTTTCTTGAAACTTTTAATCTTGAAGCAGACACTGTAGATGTTATCTAGAATGATAGTAGAAATAATAAGATTAAATAAATGAGCTCGTATAACTTTACACTATCGAAATCATTTATATGTAGCTTTTAAACTATCCCTATAGGGATACAAACAAAATCAAATTCACTTTATTTATTGTATACACTACTGAATATGTTACTTTTATGTATCAAGTTCGAATCCGGTTTTCTTAGATAAATTAGCTTTATTTTTGTTTACAAATACTTTTTATAAATAAATATAAACAGCTCCGCAAGTTTACATTATTATATATAATAATTTATTTACTTACAGAGTGACACCATTTCACCTATTTCTAATGATTCATTATTGATGGAAAAACTTCGGATTAACTCACCAGTTATAAATAAACCAACTGAATCGGAACCCCAATATTTTAATCTTAGTCAGTTGAAATATCTATGTGATAAAGTAAGTCATAACATATTTTTTCCAGTTATTAAATACCAGAATTTTCGAATTAAATTGACTAATCTGATGTTAGAAACATCATCTGTTGATTATGTCCCTGCATAAACCAGCTCTTTGAGTGAGAAAACTAGGGATGAGTAAGAAACTTTTGTTAGATGACACAACTAAAAATATGGGCACGACTCATTCATAAATATAAATAAATATCCCTCAGAAAATAGAGTAATATTTCTAACTAAGCGTATATCCACTAAGGGTAAAATGCTGAGTTTAGGCATTTGGTAACAAGTAAAATTAAAGTTGGTTAGTAAAGTATTGAATATTTATCAACTGAATTAGTTAGGATATATGCTACATTTGTTCAACCACCGCCTATCTTAATGCATGGTGTCTGCTGGCGTAGAAGTTCAAATAAAACCGAGAGCGACCAAAAAAGATATGGCATCAATCCATGATTCATTGACTTTTAGGGTTCAGAATTGTATGCAATACCGTAGATGCATCTAGGTTTTACCCTCCTCAGTTCCTGACTCCCGAAATTTCTAGATGACTTTTTATTTTACTTTCCTTTTTTTCTACACCTAATTATTTCTACTACCACTAACACTGTTTCTTATCTTGATAATAGTGTAACAACTTACACTAACGTACATATCTTAAGTTCTGCATTTCATATATCTGACTGACTGTCTATTTCATTAGAAACTAAATCCAAATCTTGGCCAATACAGGACCGTCGTCAATATCATTCACTTATCATTTGTCCTATGTCTGAATGGTCCAGTGTATAACCTCAATCTTCTGAAAAAAATTTAGGTTTTTGGATTCTACAGCACTGAAATGAGGTAGGATGCATCAGATTATTAGTGAACGGATGAGTAGTAGCCATTCTCAAGTATTAGTAGTAGAATTAGTACTATTAATAGTAATGCGAGGAGAGACGATAGTATTGTAGTTAGAGACTGTGTTATTGTAAGTCTTCATACTATTATGCATTACAGCAATGGTGTGAGCTGTCGTCGTTGTTGTCATTGTATTCCATGACTTTCATATAAACGAAATTTGTGAACAGACAGTTTATCTGTTTCGATCCATTTTATTAACAGTGGGAATCTGAAATAGATCAGAATTCACTTCTCTATTATTGCTATTGTATAAATCTTTGGTGGATATGTTTCATCTGTGAAGTATCTCTTTTTATCCATCCCCTTCATTTCAAATTACAATACTGGCTAATATTTACCTTTTTTATTTCAAATGCGGAATACCGAGCGAATAAAACAAGTAATTATTAAGTTAGTCTAAAAGACATGATGATGATATTTTAATAAATTTTACTAATTACTTCACAATCAAAACACTTACGATATTCTTAATTTTCTGCTTCTATATTCCCTGTTTTAGTTCTCAACTCTGAGCCAAACAGGATTTATTGACGTTTTTAATTTTCAAAGCATATTGAAACCAATCCTTACAGAACGTTTTACTGAACTAACTGGCTCATGCTCTACTGACACATTAAATGAATTGTTAACATGTCTTGTTTATAAGTATCGTTTATCATTTGAAACGAATTCTGTGAAAATCTCAGCCACTACTGATTATAACGACTTGATTAAAGTAAACAATACACATGAAAAACAAGTTTATTACATTGATTGGCGTCAATTTTTATTAGCAGCCTGTCAGCCAGCTATTACATATCATCATTCCACTGTAATTACGCAATCAAGTCTAGTGGAATTATCACAAAGACTCATGGAATTAGATCAATCAGTTAAACACGAAAATCTACTCAATGTAAAAGTTACTCGAGCTCAATTTCAATTCGCTTCATTTAAGTGGTTTCCAGTTGGAGTAAAGGTAAATACTTACAATTAATATGATATGCTTGATGAATGTATAAGGTAAACGATTTTGAGGTCACAAGGTGAAACAATATCCGAGAGGTTTGAAATGGGGTTAGCTATGAAATTTGTCAATTGTTTTCATATCTTTTATTGGTAATGTTGAAAAATATCGACTGAAACATTAGTTATGACACTATGAATACCCAAATGAGATCTTAAATTTGTAAGCAATTGGAGATGCAATTCTGATTTTAAAAACTGTTGTATATGAATAAAAACGTATCATCTTGTCCAGTCAAAATAAATTTCATTTTACAGGGGGATTCTATTTTACATAAAGCAAAGAAATATGACTATACACAAGTCTTATTGATTACTGAAAGAGTCATATACGTTTAAAATGAAATCTGAAACCTGTTTAGAAAGTTTTTCAACAGTCTTTTACACTTTGGTTTTTTTTAAATAGAATTCACTGCATCAATAAAAAATGGAATATGATCTTAAGCAAGAAGTATTGGAATAATTCCTAAGAAACCTGGAAAACTAATTCCATTATGATCTTATATTGACTATTTTTTATCTAATCCTTCGTTAACCTTTCAATACATTTGTCTTAAAAATATTCTCATTATCTTGTTCCTTGTTTTTCCTTCAGAATTATGAAGAATTGCATGATTTCATATTCAGTATATTCACAAAGAAGGTTAGTCAATCAAAAACCAATCAAACGTATCTCAAAAATGATTCACAGAATACAGAAACCTGTATCAACTCTCAAAATTATGAAACAGTGTCAATGGAAGAAACAGTTAATTGCTCAGATCTTTTATTAAATATTTCAGTTATTCAAGTAAAATCTCCTTATATCGGCTTTCTACGTTGTTTATCAACACTTCTTGGAAGACATGTTCCATATATATCTGTTCACAACCAACTGATGGTGTAAGTCATATTATAAAGAGCTTAATAACATAATCTGATTTATCTTTGCATCACTTGAGGGATATAACATTCCGGAAGTAGGTTATAGTTTGGAATGCTTAACTAACATATATTTCACATACATAGTTCAGTACATGTAACTTGTACTACATGTTATTGATAACTTGTCCACATGAACGTATAGAATTTTATCTTAATTACTCAAACGTATAGTGTATTAATCTGGATTATATGCATATATGTTCATAATTTCATATATTTAATTTCGTTTCTTATGAAGAATCACGTGGCTTGCATATCCATGTGTAAACTTTCAAGTACAGAAACTGATCGAAACTCATCACTAACTAAATTTTCTTTGTTAACTTCGGTTTATACGGGTTGAAAAATGAAAATGAGATCAAGCGATGCATCTGAATAAAAGTTAACTGTTCATGTAATTAGATTTCATGTGTATGATTAGGTCCCTCCGAAAATGAATCCCAAACCCCTGAAACTCAATATATTTACCAACGTCTGAAGGGAAAAAAATAGATATATGAAAAAATTATAAGTTGAATAGCATTTACTTAGACAATCTAGTGCATTGGATAAAGAATGTTCGAAATAACACAGAATACCACGGATATTTAACGAGTGCCCTGAATAACATCAGTTTACCAAACCTGGAAAACAGCAGCAACTGTTATATAACATCTAGGGAACTAATTATCTATTTAGTACTGAACGTAACCAATGAGAAAACGGTAAAGGAATGTTCTTGATTATTACTCCACTGTAAAAAGCTCATCAGGTTGAACGGAATTCAAAATGTTAACGTAGTATTTCCAAGTACAAAGTCTCAACCTTAAGGCCGCTATATTAACTGATAAATTTTTGTTCATATAATCATGAATATAAACATCTCTGACTTATTTTCTCTTTTGTTTTCTCTCTAAATAGAGATCTCTGTGATATGGAATACGAAGGAGTACCACAGAATTGTCCTGATGATCCTATACCTAAAGAAATTTTGGAAAAGGTCATTTCAAAGATTTTCGTAATCTAGGATTTTCCAATATCATGAGATGATCAGAATCAAAATTGTAGGCCACCCACTTCATGTCAACTCGGAGGTCTAAAGATAATTTGTTTTCAACAAGGTCTGGGAACTGCAGTTTTACCTCCTCACCTGGGCCAAGGGCCCATACTAGTGAGGATTCCCATGATAAAGACAACACAGATAACTTTGTTATGAGAGTCGAAGACTTCCACTACACTTTTTTTCTAGCTCCCAATAGAAACATCGCACTAGAATAGCGCTATAAAATTGATGTTTTTGTTATCCGACGTCTGAAATGGTAAACAGGTCTAAATTACGCTAATAGGTGGGAAGTTTTAGAGTATAATAAACTAGTAGTAATCAGTGAGAATGCTGTAGGAAAAATGGAGATTGGTCAAGACGACTTAATGTCCATCTAATATCATTCATGAATAAAGAAAAAAGTAGAAACAGCTAATACTAGAGTTAAGAATTAGAGTTGAAGTAAGGAAAGAAACTTTGCAACTGGATAATTGTTAGTTCGAAAATAAGCACTTCCACCAATAAGTATCAGTCGACCAATCATTGAGGAAATAGGACCAGTGACCAGCTATTTCTTTCTGGTTTGGGTACCTTACCAATAAATACTCAAGACATCATGCGTAGCTGAAAACAAGATCTTAGTTCTTCAAATGACATAATTTATGGCGAAATTTACCTTCGAGTTATAAAATTCAAACAGATCTCAATGAAATCAACAGGAATCAAGTCCCCAGTAGTTCCTAAGTGGAGTTCTCCAGATAAATTCATTTGTGCATGACTTCTATAGTAAATATTCCCGGAGTACTTCCAACTAAAATGAAACAGATATTTATACAACACTTTGTGGTTCCCCAGTCAATACTGACTTTCAATGGAAATTACTTTAGGGTTGATCAGTATTCCCATACACACAAAATTGTTCCAAAACAATAACGCCAAATGTTATACAACGTTTTTTAACTAAAAACGAAGAGTTGAATACCTTGTTGAGTTGTTTTGATTTGTTTACAATAAAATTAACTAGAGGAGCCAATCAAACCATGTATATTTATTCATAACATTTTCCTTGTTAAAAAATGACATAGTACTCCTGCTTGTCGTATTTTTGATGGCGAATAACAAAGATTTGACATGTGAATTTATCACTGAAATATATAAAAAAACAATTCAGCAATGGAAGCCTTTGCAAGAATACTTCAATTCCCTATTAGCAGAAAACACAATTATCTAAAACCAAGCTATATAGAACATCAAACTTTAAAAATTCTTACCCTTAACTAAAAAAGTAAAAGCCAATTTTCATGTTACTTATATTAACAGTTAGTAGTATGATATTTTTTATTAAATAAGAAAGATAGGTTCAGCAAAGTTTCTTTTCGGAGAATTCATTTTCAAGGGCGTACAATCGCAAATATGCATACTTATTTCTCAGGATAACAACAACTTAGTAATAATGATGGTAAAATTCTGTTAGACATGGTGATAGTGAGGTAGGACAAACGAAGGTATTAAAAAGATTTTATTTAGGGAAACCAATAACAGTTTTGTTGTTAAAAGCCTCAATATTCATCATGAAGATAAATAGAGAAATTATAATTGGGGACGCATGGCTCAGCATGATGAGATAAAATGTTGAAACTGAGGTTAAATTTAATCAGGAAAATTACAGTAACAGAAATAAAACAGTTGGGGGTAGAAGGTCTATGGAGAAAATAGAAGAGAGGGATGGCTGTAAAGGAAGGAAAGTGTGAAGAAAGAAAGAAAATTATCAAACATTAAGACCATAATAGAAGAGGTCGCGCCAATCTATTTTGGACACGCAATTTCGGTTTTTCCAGATGTATAGCTATTGTTAAGAAGACGCAACATAACTGCCTTTGTCAGCCTTCTACTTACCTTGTAGAGAACTTTTAACTCAGAATCTGTTTTGATTGAGTAATCTGTGTTCATGAGGTGTTCGATTATTGAGCTTCTTACTGAACCGTTTCCGCCTCTTTTTAGCCACGCCGGGTAATGTTCTTGAATTCTTTTGGATAAATTACGTATCGAACGACCTATATACCTGGCTCCACATGAGCTGAGAAATTTTTAAAGCCGATCTCACTTGAGAACTTCAGTTTATAATTTATCTAGAGGAAGGATAAAAATGTAGAAACGGCTAGTGTCATTTCATACAGATATTCATCATTGTTATAAAGCGTATTCTTTTTCCCCACCAAAAAGTGAGTTATCTAGTGGTAGTTAATTCTTCTTTTACTAGAGAAAATTATCAGCAAGTTTCCATTCGAGTTTAAATTTAATTTAATATTTTAAACAAGTTGTATAGTTGTAAACACCTCTTAATCAGAAAATGTATGTAATTATGAATATTTTCACCAACACAAAGGATCTATATCGTATAACCTATATCCGTCTGCGTACTACATTCCAAAACACAGCATGTTTGTACAAAATAAGGTCAAATGTCATTAATTAAGCTCCTTCATGTTTTCTGTAATACAATAAAAATATAATAAGAAACTGATATCACACTGTTTTAATGAGTAAAATAGTAATGTTCACAATTTTCTAATAAAATAACATGTACAGTGTTATAGAGTAGTTTTATGTAAACTCTTCACTTAAGGTCTATTGTACATGAAGAAAGCATCTAATCCGTAAGTAAATACTTTTCCTCACATGATCTGGTACTTGGATATTCAAACCACTCTTGGAAGATAACTTAAATTGACAACTGAAGTCAGCTGAAAATTTTCAATATCGAACACACATGATAACATAAGAGATCGAAGCCAGTAACTTCAGTAATTTGATCCTTTCTATATTATTATTATTATTATTATTACTGACTTCAAAAGTTATGAAATTGTTGCTGTGACTTATCAAAAATAAAAATTTTAATCTCATTCTTTAAATATAGATTCTAAGCTTTGGTCTAGTTAATACAAACCAGTGTCGAACTGTTCATGATGATCTGGAAACGTCTCAAGTTTTAGATGCGTCTGAACCAGGAAATTTCCTGATATCAGTAAGTACATCAAAAGATGAGATTCAAATTGTCTATATAACCGTATATCATTAAAATATAAGAATTATTTCATTCAATTTCTCAGTCAATTCAGCAAGTGTCTATTTTTATAAATAGACACTTATAAATCTGGCGATGATAAATTAATGTGAATAATTGTGCGCTTGTCCAAATCAAAAACTTTTTTAAAGTATAGACATAATAAAACGGAAACTGGTGATAACAACCTAATTCATAAACTAGCTACTACTATGATTCTCTGATTATCAAAAAAATATATCATGATGAAGGAAAAACCTTCGTAGTCTGTTCATTTACTGAAGTAGAAAAAAGTCAGTATCAACACATGTAAAAGAAATTACGGATATTGAATACAAAATTTCATACTAACATCCCAACAGCTGACTATGATGTTAAAATATAAACATAAAAAATATCAATTAAGCTGAGTAAACTTTTTCCCTGATATTTTACAATTTGAAATAAGATTTTTCGATTGACTGACATTTTCTGAAGAACCGTTGGAATGGATTGTCTAATAGTTATTATATCTTAGTGTGAAACTCCTCATCGGTACAGGCCTAAAATGTCACAGTGAAAATGAAGTTTTTTTTCAGTCATCTAATTCAGTAATAATCCTGTGACCACTGACTGATCATTAGAAGTTCAAGTGGTAAACTATGGGTTGTGTAATCAATCATGTAAAAGGTGAAAATAAATCATTGATGACATTAGATAAAAAATTTCTCTGTACTATGAATCAGCTAAAGTCGAAAATGGTAATCAATGGATTTCAACTCACTGGCTTACCTGTAACGTGCCAGCTGCAAGAATGGTGGTTTCATGAGGTGCGTAATCCTAAAGAGTCAGTCCTAAGAAAAGGTAAAATCTTTACCCAATGCTTGCTGTTCATAGATGATTTTTCAACTGATATGAAGGGTTGCTCAAGATCACGGGTCGACTGAAGTTAGACATTAACACATCTAAATGCCGGCTCAGTGGCTCAGCGAGACCGAAGATTTTGGGTTCAAGTTCCGTACCAGGACGAAACGGTCGTCCAGTACTTCCAGGTTCTCAATGGTAGTTTGGTTTAGATCGACTGTTGGGTCCAACCATTGGTATCAATTTGCGATAAAAAAAATCCCTTCGAATTATGTAATTATAAAATTTTTTTAAATATACATAACTTTTCCAACCATTCATATCTTACCAATCATTTAATTAATTAAGTAAGCTGTGACCGTCTAGATCGGAATCTTTAATTATGAATAGAAAACTAACGACTGACCTTATGATTAAATAGCTAGGGGTAACGCATGATGACTCGAATTAAAATGAGTCAGTTTCAGAATTTAGCTTCTACAGAAATCAACCCATCGATTAGAAAGTACACCTATTGTTGGTTTGAATTTGGCAGGCAAATAATTATTTTCTAATTCTAGTTATCATTCTTAGATAATTAAATAAATGAAACTGACTTGTTCAGTATTTCAGTTCTAAACAAATGGAAATATATGTCAACCTTCTAGTCCCTTGAATTTCAACCCTTATGTGAAGGATCACAAACCAATTCTAGTTTTTTAGTCTCTAATTTTTAAAAATCATATCGTTTACAAATTACCAATTTAATAACCCGATGAGTATATAAAAGGGACACAAAATGGGGTGGCGATAAACTCCACTTTCGCTCTCAAATCTGATCTTGCACCTAGCAACCAACCAAAATGAAGCGGGAATTATTATCTGCACTACCGGAATCCATAATGGAGAGCGTGTTTCGTTCTCTGTCCTTTTATACTGGCTTATATAAAAAGTATTAAGTTTTCTACGACGAAAATACCACCCTATCTTGGTACGGACGTGTCCAGTGTAGCACATTCAGTCATGATGGGAGAAAAATTACAACATAACAAAAGAGGTACCTCGAATTAATTCTATAATGGAAATTATACCGAAATATCTATAATTGAGCGACTAAGTAAACGTAAACAACCGTAATGACTGACTATAATGCACTTAGCTGACTTGACAACGTGGAATTTATCTCCATTCCATTATTATCAATTGTGATATTAAGCGTAACTTGTTTTCTTAAAACGAGATGCACTTTTCGTAATCCGATTATTGTGACTAACAGATTAACTAATTATTAGACGGACACCCTGACTATTACCGATAGGTAAACTAACTGACTGATTAGAGATGAATAGCATTCATTACATTTTGAATTACAATACCAGCAATCACGTGAAAATTGACGAAAATGAAAAATAAAAAACACCAAACGGAACAAAATAAAGTAGACAATATAAGTACTTTTAAAATCAAAACAAGTTAAATCTTTAATGTAACCCAGGGCAGATAAAAATATTAACACAGAATATTATTCGCTAAAATACTGGGTCATAGTGCCATACTTTATTGATTGACAAATGCCATAAATAAATCATAGGAACATATTAAAATGAACAGAAAATATATGAGTAAATAGGGAAGAATAAATATGATAATAACCACTCTAGCCAATATAGCACTCCTCATAAACTTACTTTCTATTATTGTGTACAACTTAATGTTTAGTTTTAACAGTTTCCAGTCGATGAATTCGTTACTTATGGACAACGTTACAAAGATAACTAAATCAAAAGTGATAGCCATTTTTATATTATGAGATCATTTCACAGTTATAAATTGGCACATTGTAAAAAATAGTGTATTATATTCCCCTCACAGTTGAATACATATATTCCATCAAATGTAAAAATGAAATAGATTGACAAATACCAGTATAAAAAATCTGATAAAATTCATCTCTATCATTCGAAACGAGTCCATTGCCTTATCATATAATACTTCCATCTAAATGAATTTGCATTAGTGCGTTAAACGTCTACCTGAAACAAAACTAACCACATATGTTAGTAAAGTTTGATTGTGGCTTGTAGTGGGATCCAGGATGCGTGTTTACTCCCTTTTGGAACTGATCAACTGAATGTCCTTGAGTCCTAGTATTGATGTTCGTTTTGAGACCCAGTACCATTCGGTTCAAACAACAACTCATTAATCACCGAGCCACTGAGTCCATAGAGTCACTAACTCGTTCAACGTGTATGAAGTTACATATACATAAGGTTTTGAGTTTTCCCGTTGTTGATTCTCTATTGTCATATGTACAACGTGAGAAGGTTACTTTTATATTGCCTTTAAATATAAGTTGTAGTAAAGTCCCAATAGTAATTGATCAAATTCAATCCTTAATATCATCAAGAGGATAAATCAGTCCCTTACATAATTATAATCGAAAGTATAAAGTATAAGCATAAATATTACCATTTAATGAGGTAGTTCTGTGAAAAATACTAGGTTTCATTCTTTGTATTGCGCATTACCGAAGAATTTCAATCTAAAAACGAAACAACTTTCCATAACTCCTTGACCATCAACTCTTCTGTACTTGATATCTGTCTGTGAATTTTTTTCTTGATAAGTTTGTTTTAATAATATATCTTATGTTATTCTGTTGTTATTGCATTATTACTTTTATATAATTACAGGATAAACTTCAGGATATTTTTACAAGTCTTGAAAATAATGGTCAACCATCAACACTCAAGAATTTATTACATAATATGGATTTTCAAAATTTATTGATCAGTTCACTAGCACATTTCAAAGGAATAGCACAGTTTTCAGAGCCATGGATAACAGCATTACAAACTTACTTTAATGATTCATTTTATTTATAGTAAAGATAAAACAATTTAAAGGATATCAATGGCAAGACAATTTATCAGTAACTTTCTGAACCAATATTGAAAAGCATGAGCTTTTTCCCCATCTTCACAAGTGATTTTTATTTTATTTGTTGTGGCAAATTATTTCAATAAGAAATTGTGTTACATTTTCGGATTATCGAAGATAACTTTTGCTAGTGTTACTATTATTCTACTGTACACTCTCTTGTTTCTCCAAAGCATTGTAGTAAACGTTTTTGGATTCTAAAATAAATTATATGAATAAAGTGATGATTTTCTAAACACAAATATCACAGTACATCGCAAACTGACTCAAGTTGAAACTGTGAACTGTGATGGTATTATGACTAACACAAGAACTGAATCAGTGGGCACTTTTTAATTTTTAATGATCCTCCATCTGAGGTCAACTGTAACCAAAGTTAACGCTAGAATTTTGAATGATTATATTATTAAAATCTTGATATCCAGGTGCAATGTAATAGTCCGATCTGTTTTCCATCCTCCATACAGCGATCATATTTGACTGCGATCAGGCTTAATAGTCAACATTTGACTAAGTAGTCTAATGAGCAGTACTGTAATATCCTCAATGATGAGTAATGCCCTTAAATATTGGTGAAAACATACGAGTCTACCGAAATCTAGTTAGTCACAAAAAATAAAATGGTGTGTCATGAATCTAACTGCTTTAGTCGGGGCAAACAAAAACATCTTGATAAGACAAAATTTCTCTTATACATATTCAAAAAACTGAGTTGAGAAAAATACTTCTTTCACTAAGCTGTTCATAATCGCTCTACACTAGTATATATGTTCTTCGATCAACAATAAAGCTAGCTCCTAGTCAAGTAGTGGTCTGTTAATTAGCAACTTTACAAATTCAGAAGTACTTATGAATGATTAGGGGAGTAATTCAAAGGTGAGGTCAGAGGAATAATTATAATATTCAGAACTTCTATTAATAAATTAGTTGAAACACGTACTTATAGAAATAACAGATTAGATGACAAATCGTAAAAGATATATTTTTTTCAATGTTGAAAGCGTGAGTCAATTGAAGCTAGACCACCATCGAAAACCTGGAAACACTGGACGGCCGTTTCGTCCTATTATGTGACTCCTCAGCAGTGCGCATCCACGAACCCGCTCTCGCGAGATTCGAACCCAGGACCTACCAGTCTCGAGCCGAAGCCCTTAACCGATAGACCACTGAGCTGGCATCCAACGGACGAAAGGGCCGTCCAGTGTTTCCAGGTTTTCCATGGTGGTCTAGCTTCAATTGACTCACGCTTTCAACATTGATAAATACTAAATCTCCACAAAACCCCTTCTATATATTTTTTTGTTAGGAAGTTCACTACCAACAATAATTACATATGAAATAAAAGGCAAATATTAGTACTAATTGCGTCACAGTAAACATACAACAGGTATAATCTGATAAAAAGAAAAACAGGGAAATTTAGGTTGTTTTTAACTAGCTCTAGTCTATTAAATAAGGTGTTAGATGAAGGTGTAAGCTATGTAAATGTTCAAAGTTACGATAGTGGTTATACACATTCTTTTTGGATCCACAGATTCAGTTTACTGAAATGGATACCGATGGTTTCTACCGCCTGTAATTAACACCTTAAGACATACTATAATAAATAACTCGCTTTCATTCAAGTAAATCTAATGTTTTATATCAATTAAGTAAGGGGTTTTGATCACCGTTGGTTGTTTTTTTCTTGTTGATGAAGGACAATGTTCAGAAATTCTACAGGAGACTTTGTTTGTTATGCAAGCAATATGACTAGATACGCAGGAGCAGTTGAACTGGAAAATATACATCATCGAGGCAAATTCAGGCAGTTTATCTTCATCTCTGGTTAGAAATATCGGGCAATTATAGGAAGTGATATAAGGGTTAGCGATAGCAAATTTCTGCAGAACCATTTTTATACATTGTGCTGTTATTTCACTGCCAGTATCATTTTTGAACTCTAGTTTCAAGATCAAAGGTTTTTTTTCAAAACTGCCTTTTGTTGACCTACTTCTTACACTTATTTATAACATTACTAAATTCATTTAGCCCTATTCGGATACTTTTGCAATCACATTTTGCACCTAATTATTACATTTTTAACAGTCTTTTACCCAGCTATACAAAACTCAGTATTTAGGTAGAATATTTTAATTATGTTCCTAAATTTAGTGAATAGTTGATATTGTCTCTGTTCAGAAAACAACATTTCATCGTTCACAACTTTATTGTGCTTTCTGATGGAAATCTAGAAGTTTATGCTTGATAATACAACTATAAGTTATGTTTTTTATATTTGTTTCGCAAACTATAGAAGATCAAAAGTTATTGGGACCTTTTACATCCATTAAGAATCGAAAAGTTATATGAAAATAATAATCGTTTTCAGCAATAGGTCCCAATATAAACAAAGGGAAAAGCAAGATTCGCCGATACAATACAATATGCACCAACCGAACCACACTTGACGGAGAAGCTATGGAGGATGTAAAAACCTTTACATATCTGGTCAGCATCATCGATAAACACGGTGAATCTGATGCAGATGTGAAGGCGCGAATCGGCAAAGCAAGAGCAGCATATTTACAACTGAAGAACATCTGGAACTCAAAACAATTGTCAAACAACACCAAGATCACAATTTTCAATACAAATGTCAAGACAGTTCTATTGTATGGGGCGGAAACTTGGAGAACTACGAAAGCCATCATCCAGAAGATACAGTTGTTTATTAACAGTTGTCTACGCAAAATACTTTGGATCCATCGGCAAGACACTATCAGCAACAAGCTACTGTGGGAGAGAACAAACCAAATTTCAGTGCAGGAAGAAATCAGGAAGAAGCGCTGGAGGTGGATAGTACACACTTTGAGGAAATCAGCCAACTGCATCACAAGGCAAGCCCTCACATGAAATCCTGAAGGCCAAAGGAGAAGAGAAAGACCAAAGAACATATTACATCAGAAAATAGAGACAAACATGAGAAGAATTAACAAGAATTGGATAGAAATAGAAAGGAAGGGCCAGGACAGAATGGGTTGGAGAATGTTGGTCGGTGGCCTATGTTCCATTGAGAGTAACAGGCGTAAGTGAGTAATAAGCGTTTTGTTCAATGGGTTTTATACAATATGGAGTTCTCAGCACCTAAAGTAAGAGAAGAAATCTTATCCATAATTCGTAAAATCATTGCCATAAGTAAATTGGGTACCGGACAAAAGTTTATCCATCTAAATGCTATCAAAGAGTTATAATCACTTAATTTACCATAGAAATGATCTAGGAATAAAAAATAAAACACTACAATACACAAACCTCGTAAGAATTTCAGTCTATGATTTTTAGCTTCTAACAAAAAGGACTCTAGAACCGACTCAGGATCATCTACTAAAACTTCATAGACACACTTATTTTTTCCCTTCATTTTTTCTAGTTTAACGTTATTCTGGTAGTGTATTTTTCTAAGTTGACTACATATGGTACTGTAAAGAAAAATTCCCACCACACATGTATAGTAGATGGTTTATTATTACTGGGTTGAAAAGCGTAATTTTATATCTACCTCTAAGATTTATGCAACCTCTATATCTAATTTCTTCTACCTCTTGTCAACTAAGTTTGAAACTCTAACCCAAAATGTCACGCTTCACATTAACACAGAGAAGAAATTAATAAAATTGAAGTGAATGAACAACAATGTCAATAATTTATTCGTTGTAAGGATTAATATTTACTCGCAACTTACACTCAAGATTGGTTTTAATGAGTTTCCATCGATATTTTTCCCCCAGAACAGATTCCTCGACTTTAACTACAGTTGGAAGTTTATTACATTTTGCGTAGTCCTATTTTGAACTTGTCAGATGTATGTACTTTAATCCCAGTCGATAATCCCGTGAGTACTGGGTTCGAGTGCCCGTGTAAACACTGATATTAAAATACAGGCACTTCCACTGGATGGGTTATAAATAAAACAAAAGAAGCTCCCAAGATTTCGTTAGTAACCATTATCTAAAATCCAGTCAACAATGTTTATTGGAGTAGAGAACGAAACATAGGAAATGTAGTTTAAACGCAACTAATCAAATAATTAAAAACGAGTATGGAATAGTATTATAATTTAAAATTGAAAAGAAAGATAAAGAACAAACGCATCTGCTCAACTATGAACTATTTTAAACCATATTACCTGTAATTTGAAAATCAGGAGCAAAATTGTCTCGCTGAAAAATGTTAAAAGTTAACTAACTGCAGTTCTCATCATGGATTGATATCAAAAGGAGTGCTACTGAAAAATGGCCATAATCAAACATTTAGTTTGTTCTTCCTCTGACCTTTTCAATAACAAGCACCTACACTCCTCTCAGTGATCATGGTCAGAACCATTAGATTTTAAGCCAACCGCATAACCTTTAGATCATTGAATTAAAATGGTATGGTCCACATTTTCGACTCCAATCAGTTCACGGACAAGTAATCGATACTAGGCTATGATACCGCTGTCCAAAACTCTCTACTTTTCAGTAATTCTCTATGGTTGATCACAGACTGAAACTTTTGTTAGATTGAAATAATCTCCATAAATCTTTTACCTTGTAGTATTTACTGCGTATTTCCCTATCAACATCTATTTATCTTTTTATACAGAAGAACGATAACAAGAAAGACCAAAAACAAAAGGAAAACTTAAGACGAATAAATCAGAGAAACAGAAACCTGAAATTCAGCAATAAACAAAAAAAATAAAATAATCCAGCCAACAATCTTGTTTGTTAATATCTATAAATGGTGGTGAAATTAATCATAGATTTTCATGTAATATTTGTTGTTTTCTGTCTTGTTCTACTACTACCGACAAATGCTTTCTCCGGTAATTTTCTTCTTATGCCACTGCTGCATATATATATATATACTTGGATTGTCTGTCATTAATTAAGTGCAACAGTCAAAGATGAACAAGACACATATTACTCATCTACTGTCCTCCGTGTTTATTGGTTCTTGTTTTAAACAACCTACCCACCAACAGATCAGCACAAAGTCAAATTACCACATTTTAAAAGGATAGTCAACTACACCACTAAATTGTAAACTACAAGATATCTTTGTCTAATTTACCCTGGAGTATTTAAACTTAAAACTGTAGAGAGAAAACAACAAAATAAACTACAGTTTAAGTAGAACATTATCAGTTCATAGTATGTTTTGAACTTTTTTTGTTTTTTTGTTTAAACTAATCAC